GTATTTTTTTTCAGATTTCATTCGTCCCCCAATCCTCGTTCTGGAACATCAATTGTCAATGTGTCGCCTGGGATAGATAATTTTACAAACTGTTTTAAGAGGATGCAAGAAAGCGGTCATCATTCTCTTTTAAGGAAAGCTTATCTCACTCCAAAAATTTATAAGTAAAAAAATAAATTAATATAAGCGTGATCTGCAGAACGAAGATCGAGGCGGTAAGAAGCGATCGATTTCGATAGGTATGAAGTAAGGAATCCTGACGACTTCTCCTACTCCATTTAGAGACAATCTTCTGGAACATACCGAAAATAGTATTCTCTCCGACCATTCTTTGCATTTATATCGTCCTGTCATGGCGTTTAAGTACCCTTTTGGTGTATAAAACGTCCTCGTCGTCTATGTCTATCTCTGCGGGTACTACAGGCCTAGTTTTTTGCTCTTCCTTTAACGCAATCATGCATGAGTAGCAAACGTCTGGCAACTTGACATCATCAATTTTACCGAAAGTAGAGATATTTGATCTCTTTGAAAGCATTTATCATCGATGGGAGAGGTACGAACACCTTGTCGGTAAAGCATGTGATGGTAACAAAATAAGATCTTGTCTCTTGAGAAAATATCAAAGGCTTTTGTAACGCGATGCTTAGTAAAGTAAATATTGCTACGTTAGTATCGAAAATACCCTATCTTTCTACGGCCTCACAGCCCGCTTCAGCCGAGTTAAAATTTTATGAAACTTTTATTAAAAGTGTGCATGGATATAAACATAGATAACATGTTCTAACAAGGTTGGTGACTTATACGAACCCAGATATTCAATTGGCACTTGTCGCTGTGATGATAGTTTTTAGATGAGTATGAACATACCTTAGCGAAATACATCCGGAAGGAAGATTGTAAACGCATGCTGCTAGTATAAATTTACTTCCAGGTAGACGGCAATTTCATAATTACTATATACGCAATGAACCACGAATTGGTAATGGATGGGGTCTGATTATAGCCGATGCCATAGCAGCTGCAAGAATGATGAGCTACGATATTACTATTCTGTCCGTCGACGCGCTTTTTTTCGATGCATATGTACTTTTTCTGCCATCTTAATCATTCACTGTTGACACCTACATGGGATATCACGGTTTCAAACGCTGCCTGAGGCGCACCATCACCTATATACTATATTCTTTTACTGAAGAGGCTACGCGTCACTTACGCACGGTGACCACGTACATATATGATCGATCGTAGTTCAATGTTTCGATAAGTAAATTTTGACTTCATCCAGCAGACTTTGAGCATTGAACATTAATCTACCTCTATATCATTCTGTTTGGTATTTTGATCAATTAATATATTCGCACAGCCCGATGTCGTGAATATACAAAATTTACGCTGGTTATCTTCCGTGTCTAGCCCGCTGAGATCCAATCGTATTTGGTTCTACACATCATATGCGTGGGCCAGTATCTATAAACCTGATATGGATAATGATTCTTGATGCTGACACAAACTGCTCACTCCTACGACGCTATTCTCTTTCCTTTTTCATACAGAAGCTTTTGTGAAGCCTTCTCCATATCTTTACAACTCAAAGTATCACCGAATTTCAATCATCTTTTGCTGAATGTTCCATCTATACCTTCACGTCGTGTATCTCAACGATCCGTTATAAGATGACGTATTCGCTTACATCCCGACCACATTCAGATAGTATAATATTTACAAGAATAGTATATATATATTCACATCCAGTCATAGTAGCATGGTCGAATTACTGATACGCGACGTCAATTATGCTCAATCAAAGAATGTCGGAAAAGTGGTTTATTATCGCGCATATCAAACGCGTACAGCTGAGTAAATGGTTTCGAGCTAAGTTACTGAATTTGATTTTGCATATGTTCGTCACTATCTCTTTTTGCAAACACACTAAATTACGCAAGTACTGACTCACGGGTACGCTGCATGGTCGATACAATACCATAATACGTCATCGCAGTGACCACGAGCAATCTCCTCGATTATCATAGCCCATTATTGGTTAGGGTCTTACCTTAAAGATCGAATGAGATACGATCAAATAAGTATGTGTAATTTAAAAGATGCGCATTTCTGGATATACATCTGGATATATGATCGCCAGTCTTATAGATCGGATGGCCTATCTGTCTGACTTTGTAATCGTTCGTGATATTGTTCACCTCATTAAAATTGATATTTACTATCTCGAAACGATTAGTGTCGTGTACTTGGCAATTTGAAAGGCTGCTAAGGAGGAATTGATCTTACGCGGCGGTAATTGGTCACGCGATAGTTCGACGCCAGTAGGTCGTAGTGGCATCTGCACGATACTAATCGATCCTCTATATCGGCTTCTGAATTTGCCAACAAAGACGAATATTATTAAGTTTTCTCGATGTACCAAGCGACAATGCTAATATACATATTGCAACCACTTGTTTCGCTTTAACTTCGGCGATCTTATAAGGAGGTGAAGAAATAAAATGTCATCAAATGCGATTATTGCCTCAGAGTATAAGCTTTGGATCAACGACAATCACCAAATGTCCATGGAACAAATCATCTCGTAGCACAGTACGTGATTGAGGCTCTCTCACATTATGTCTAAGAAGCTGCAAGTACAGTAATTCGTCCCTCAGCAATCCCACCAGATCAAGTCACAAGCGTTGAAATGCAATTATATGGCTGAGTTGCTAATATATGCATATTTGCTGCGATATTTGCTGTAACGGCAATGAAAACTTACGTATTTTTGGTACTATATGGGGTTGTATCTATAGCGGTGATTGACAAAAACGAAAAGTGAATGTATCCCTATGTTCCTGGTTGTCATGTTTTGCGCCTTGAGCCTCTTAGTTTACAAATTACACGATAGTGGTCGCCATATCACGCATTACGAATTGTTACGTAGCGCATTATTGTGTGTCACATCTCGCATTACCTATCTTAAGGTCGTGCATTTGTAATTGCCAGCTGGTCGAGGCTCTTACTTGACATCAAGCACACGCTCTTATAATATTGATCTTCATTCGCTACAGCCCACTCAAAATATGCTAGACATGCTTAATCGCTTCGTGTGGAGAACTAAGAATGCAATTATCTCTTGTTTCGACATGTTGCTGGACAAAGGGAAATATGTAACATAAAAGGGTGTACATCTAGCATATCACGCCTGAAATTAAATACACTATATTGGTTGATCGAACTTAAGTAAAGTGCATGGATTTTATTTTTTGACTACTTGCTGTGTCATCTTTATGTCGTTTTGTATGTAAACACCTTTACGAAAGCTAATGAACTGGGTATTGATTGTCATTCATTTTGCGTTTATGACGGTCCCTCTTCCGCTGACGTCTTATTCCATTTTCTCTCTTTGAACCGCACAGATACTTCTACCGATTCACATAATCTATCAAGTCGCCATAACCCATTACTCGCGCAGCTTCTCATTGTGATCGCTAACGTGTTGATGCGATCCCAACTACTAATTATACTGTATAGTCGTCCGGACACCTACCCGCCGGCGCCCAGACAACCAAATAATGATACAAGAGCTCAGAATTGTTGCACATATGTTTCTTTGCCACCGTCTTTTTTGTCTGAAGGGCGGATTGACTCTTAACACTGCCAATAGTGTGCTATTGGTCGTCGGTGTGGATAGCAGATGCGATCGGTCATGATTCACTATAGAGAGGCCTCCCTGGAACCATCAGCACCCTTTTCTCTCCATATTGCTACTTCATCACACGCTACCACCGAGTCTTTACGCGCGTGTGCTGGGCATTGGGCGCAAGATTGGCTGACCTAAAGACGAGAAACCCTCTGCTGAAGCACACTTGCTCGGCACTTAATTGACACGGCTCAAACGACGAATTTGACGAGAGAGACATCTTTTACTGACAGCAAGTATCACCGACACCAGGCTCGCTTAAGGACTCGGCGCTACCGGTCGAAAGCCTACAAGAAGTGCCTCTCAAGGCTCGATGGTAGGCATTATCCGACCTACATAAGTAATTGCCATATCGTTGTCTTGAGCTCGTTACATTCTACTCCACATGATCGATCTCTTCTTCTACTTCGTGGAAGCCAATTTTGTAGCTCGTCACTGTTCGCTCTCTTCTATGCATACATCCCAATGATAGACAGTCGATCTTTAGCAATGTTGACGACACAACACGCGCTCGACGTGCGAGCTCAAAACGTCTTAGCCATCAAAGGAATCGCCCTAGACGGTGTAGGTCTTGACGAACCTTTCTCACAATCCAGTGTGGTATTCGTACTTCGACGTTGTGATTTTTCTACACTACATCAACCCATGATGCGGGAGACTTTTGGTCTAGCTTTTGTCACACTGTCCAGAGTTTAATACATTGGCCACTTGGCAGTCGTCGCATGCCCTTATGAAGGTGGAAAAGCAAATGCTGACTGGGCTGACTGTGGTGGTCAGGCATATCCTCACTGCGGTCAAACGCAAAGCAACAGCTCTGTGCATGTTTCTTGTTCTCCGTCATCCTTCAGTGCTTACTCCGGTCACGTTTTGACTTCAACTCAGTACTACAACCTGAATCAGCGGTACCCAAAGAATGAGCTCTAGAGCTTTTTTGTTTCATCCCATGGTCCAGTGCCACGAGTGCGAGGACTCATGCACCGCTTTCTCTTGTCACCCCAATCGTACTTTTGTTTGTGCTCTTGAATGATTGTACCGATATCCGCACAAAAAGCAGATAAAAAAGGCTGCGTACCTAACGCGCCAAGACGAATATTGTAAAGCACCGAAAAAAGCGCTTTCGAGGCCCGTGTGATTTTACTATTGACGAGGTTCTTGACTGGCCGCTACCGTTCTCGCGCTCGTCCCCTGACCGTCGCGCGTGCAGCCGCAGTGCATCACTGGCTCGTTCTCCGCTTCGATCTACGCTCCAGACGGGAAGCTGTGGACCTGAGGATAGCGCTGTAGTTGTGCGCGGAAGCCACAGCGAGACATGATGCGAGCCGCGTCGTCACCGTTGGAACCTCTGAACAAGAATATTTTGCTGGTAAGGAATAAACAATACGCGAAAGTGGTCTTTTTTGTCGTTATACATTGCGGTCTGACGTTTGTTTGGCTCTTTTGATTCGATGGCGTGATTGGGTACGTAGGCAGGAGAAGTGATTGCCGAGAAGTGGAAGATTGGGGAAAAGATCGGCGAGGTAAGAGCGCGTGTGTGTGGTTGTTTCTGCCCTGTCTTTGCTCTACTGTTTTCTTGCTGACGTTCGGTGGTTTTTGGTGCTGTAGGGTACATTCAGTCAAATCTACTCGGCGTACTCGATTGGGAGTCGGGACAAAGTTGCAGTGAAGGTCGAAGCGCCGAGTGCGCTCAAGCCAGTGCTGGAGTGGGAGAGTTTGATCCTCAAGAGCCTCCAGGACTGTCCTTATGTGTGTCGATACTTTTACCACGGCAAGCATGGAGACAGCACGGTCTTGGTGATGGAGCTCCTTGGGGACAGCATGTCAATGCTGAGAATGTCGCCAGATTCGATCCATGGTGTTCCACTGGCCAAGTCAGTGTCAGTGGGACTCGAGATGCTGGATTGTATTGAAGCCTTTCATCGACACGGATACGTGCACCGCGATATCAAAGCGTCGAACTTTGCGCTTAGCGCTGCTGATCGTCATTTGCTGAAACAGCAGCGATACTACATTATTGACTTTGGCTTGTCGAGGCAGCATATTGGAGAAGATCGGCAAGTATTGCCGGCGCGTCCCGTCGCTGAGTTCCGTGGCACTTCCATGTATGCATCGTTGAGCTCCCACCGTCGACAAGAGCTGGGACCAAAAGACGATTTGTGGTCGTGGTTTTATCTCGTTATGGACTTTTTGCGCGGCGAGTTGCCGTGGGCTACGGACGCGCAGCAAAAGAATCGCCAGACTGTGTTGAGTTTGAAGGAGCACTACACCGAGCTGAACCCACGCTTGTTGGTGGAAGGTCTTCCAGGTGCCACGCAATTGCTGGAGATGATGGTTTATTTGCAGTCGCTCAAGTACGAAGACCTTCCCGATTATGCCAGAATTCGCAAGCAACTCCAAGCAGTCAAGGATAGTTCTCTGGTGTTGGACAATAGTGACAGCGGCGAGGAAGCTAATGCCAACAAGAAGGATAATCACATGCTGGTTTCTGCATCGGAGATCGATTGGGACGCTTTTGAGTCCGAGCGCGAGCGCGCGTTGACTTGGACCAGAAAGGCAGATGAGCTGAAGAACGGTGATGGAGCGCCGCACACGCTGCTAGCGATTGCGAAGCGATACAAGACGTTCTTTGACAGCGACGGACTATCGTTTGACGAACAAGTGCGGGTGCAGAGTGCAGTCTATCACATTGAGAAGAAGTTGCGCACACGTTCAAACTTTCTTGCTCCTCCACCCATTCAGAGCTTCGTCAAGCGCCGTCAATCCGAACAAAAGATGCGGTCCGATGCGTTGCGAAAGCGTCGTGAAAAAGATCTTGTGGTGCGTCAAGCTTTGGAGATCAAGAATGACGAACGAACTGGTTTGGCCACTTCAACCCAGGGCTCTCGCAAGGAGTGGCCGGGTGGCGCTAGTGGAGAAGGAAGTGCGGAGATGCAGAATGGGAAAAGGCCTGATTGGGTCCCACCAGTGAAACCGAAAAGCTTCACGGAAGTTTCAGACAGTAAAGATGTGCGAACCAGGCGATGTGGTACTTTTGTGGAAGCTGCCGTATCTGCTCCGAACCCTCGTGGTTCACCCCTCGATGAACGGCAGCATATGGATACAAGGCCAATACCGCGACATCAGCCACCACACACGATGCCTCTGACATCACCGACATCTCGGTGGGATCGCACCCCGAATCACGGTGGAGCAGTACCTGCACCCGTGCCTCCTCCGGAGATGTCATCTTCATCACTGCGTCCGGATGGGACTGGACACCGTTTTCCACCCGTGTTGCCTGGACACCGTTCCATAAACAGCCACAAGCTTCCTCCACCCACGGGGCTTTCGTCTAATGGTGCACCCATGCATCGTCCTCCCCCGTCCCCGCGCGGCGCTGTTCTCGAGCATCGGTATACTTCTATACCTGACCGACACCATGACAAGTCGGTGGAGACAAGAGACAACAATTTGTATAGCTACCAGCGGTCCCTGAAGTCTCCGCGTGAAAGCAATGGTTTGCCGCCAGCTCGACCCTATACGTCAGATACGAGAGAAGACCGTGGGTACTCGTCTCAAAGAGTCCAGAAGTCTCCCGGAGAGTTTGGGCCTGATCGACACCACGATGCGTTGAGGGAAGGCAGGGAAGATCCTGGCTACAGCCGCTGCCAACGGTCTCACGATCCCCCGTTGGATGTCGATCGTCGCTTTGACTCCAAAAGGGAAAACAGGGAAGATCGTGGATATAGCAGTTACCATCAACCTTCACGAGGCCCAGATGTGTCCGTTCCTGCTTCAAGACGTGATGCAGTGACAGCAGTGTCAGAAGACCGTGGGTACGGACCTCGGAAAGCCCAAGAACCCCCGCGAGAACGTCACGAGCAGTACCGATCAGGCGGGGTGTACAAGCATCCAGAAGACGGGCGCTATTCCGAGAGCAAACGACCGCAGTCTCTCTCGCGATCACCGCGACATGGAGAACGCCGCACCCATCGGCCTCGTTCTTACTCATGTTCATCATCTCGTTCCCGCTCTCGCTCTCCCTCGCAGTCGTACTCCGAATCATCTTCGCGGTCTCGTTCCCGATCATCGTCACGACACAGTCGCTCGCACCACCGCACGGATCGCTATACTGACCGCCGTCCGATGACTGGAAGACGTGGCTCAAAAAGAAGTCATCCGAGCCGACAACACTCGCGATCGTGTAGTAGCTCGAGGTCGTCGAGTTCTCGGTCAGTGTCGGCTTCGCCTCCTGCTAAGCACTACCGTCGACGATCGCCAGAGCCCATTCACCCGGAGTCTTCGCGCCGGCGTTCGTCGCATCATCGTTCTTACTCGAACGACCGTCCAAGAGAGTACGTGCACGACGATCCGGAGCAGTATACAAAGGGGTATCCAAAGGAGTACGTGAACGACTATCCGAAGGAGCACGTGAAGATTTATACGAAGGAGTACATGGCCGACCATCCGAAGGAGTATGCGAAGGGACCATCAACGAAATATGTGGGCTATCCGAAGGAGCGCGTAAAGGTTTATGCGAAGGAGCATGTGAAGAATTATCCGGAGGAATACGCAACAGATTACCAAGAGACGTACCCCGCGAAGAAGTACCCGACCGAGCACGCGAAAGACTATCGCTACCGTTCGCCCTCGCCTGATGGGCGACACTCATACGCCCCGCAGCCACAATATCGGCATTCGCCTTCGCAGCATCGGCAGTCTTACTCGCGAGACGACAGCAGAAATGACGGGTCCTGGGACGTAGATGCTCGTTCGAAGCCAAGTTCAGCTCCTGACAAGCATCGCCGATCCACTCGATGGCAACCAAGGCCGTAAGACCTACGGGAAGCTGCGTTGGCGCAATTGGACAAGGACCGGTCGTGGTTTGTCCTTCATGATGTTGGGACTCTTTCGTCAAGGAGCACGGCATGGGTTCAAGAGGTGATAAAAAGACAGCGCCGTATTGTGAAAACGGAGACGTTTGCTGCGATCGTACGCATGGGTAGCGGGTGGCCTGCGTGAAGCTGGCTTTGTGTCTGGAGTCTTTGCTAATACCAATTGCTGTTCGTACTTGTCGAAGCGTGCGGTGCAAATGTTTGCAGCAAATGGCGTTTTTCGATCGTCCCTGAGATGCGCTATCCACTATAGCTCAAGTCGATTGATTACCCATCCTGACAGTCTGCAACCACACGAGCAAACATTCGGGTCTCATTCGTAATCGGAAGATTCTGTCGCATTTAGCTCGAGCTACAAGTTGCGTCACGCCCAAGTTGCTGAACCGTCAGCAAACCGTAGAATCGCCCTGCACGCTCCTGCTGTCGTGATGAGCACGACGTTTGCTGATCATCACTCAGTTGCAGCGATGATCAATAATGGACTTGTCGTCCTGACTGATTGCAGAAGCCGTCGGATGGTAAAGCTGCGTTCAGCATGCCGCTCGTCTGCTGGTCGCAAAATGGGCTGCAGGGCAATGTGCAGCGTGGACGAGCGATCCGTAGCTGAATCCATCGTGTCGGACTTTGTAGCGGACGAACACTCGGCTCATCGCCAGCACGTGCACATGTTTTGCTGGCAACGGTTTGGATTCGCACCCGTCAACACTTCATGATCGGCTCTATTACATGAGAACGAATCGTTGGTGAAGAGTGGCCATGCCAGACGTGTCTGCGGGTCCGCCTGCCTGCATTGTCTACTTCCATGCTAACGGGCGCAAGTCCACCATAGGCTTCAACCATCACGTGGTCCGTTTCGTCTCGGCTGGCTGCAACGCTTTCTACTGTGCGTCCATCACGAACGTCTGTGACGCCAGTAAATGTGCAGCTTTTGATCCGCAAATGTCGTTTGCAGTCACTACGTCGACGTCGTTCAGCTCGGGAAGTGTCCATCCTACCACTAGAATATACACAGTCACACCAACACATAGTGTGGTCAGTCAGTCCATCGCAACAAAGCAGCCAACCAGCCAGCCAGCCAGCCACGCAACCAAAACAGTTTAAAACAAACCCCACCCACCCTCGCAACCTGTTTCAAACACTGCACGCACGAAGCGAAAAAAAACACGCGAGCGCCCGCCATCATGCCCATGCCGCCCGACGTCCACGCCACGTGCGCGCGTCTGCACGCCGACTTGTCGCGCCACCCGCTGGCGTGGCCCTTCCTCGCGCCCGTGGACCCCGTCGCGCTCAACGTGCCCACGTACTACGACGTCATTGCGCACCCGATGGACCTCGCGACAATGGGTACAAAGCTCGCGGCCCACGAGTACAACGACCCCGTGGCGTACCGCGCAGACCTGTTGCTCATGTTCGCCAACGCGATCGAGTTCAACCAGGACGACGAGCGCGAGAACTCGGTGGCCGCTGTCGCGCGCGCGTTCCAGCGCGTGGCGCTCGACGAGTGGGAGGACCTGTTCTCCGAGACGGCGACGACGGACTGGGCGCTCAAGGCCGAGAAACAGGCGCAGCTGCGCGTTCTCGAGCGCGCAAAGGAGAGCCGCGTGCTGCGTCGGTGGAAGCGCCACGCGTTCGTCATGCGGCTCAACCGGGCCAAGCTGGACGAGCGCCGGCGCGGGGCCGAAGCCAACGGCGAGTAAACGACACGTGTGGCGCGCGGGTGGCGGGGGGTGCGTTCCGTGCCTACGGGGTGTTTTATTCACGTGTTTTGAACAGCATTGGGCGCAAAAAGCCGCTCGACGGTGGGCAGCAACGAGCACTAAGGGAATTGGCACTTTGCAGTTGACATTGCACCGCAGGAACTAACCGACAGGTCGGGAGCGATGCCACGGCAGCGACTGTACGCTCTGGTTGGTGGTGGTGGTGGTATTGCAAATGGCAGCGAAGACGTACGTACGTACGTGGCGAGAGAAGGGCTGCGCACGCTGGAAAGTTAGTCGCCTGGACGGCTTCTGCTGCTATCAGTTCGTTGGCCTGACGTGCAGCTTCTCGTGGACCGTTTGACTCCGACGATCATTGGAAGTTTGACGCGAAATGGATTCCTTTGTAACACCAGTGATGAGTGGCCACGTGTGGGTAACACTGACGTCGTCTTGCCAAGAGAACGCGAGCAAATGTTGCAGTTGCTCGCGGATGGGATTCGCCAAAGTGCTCAGCTGCTGCAATTTCGATGGCGCGCGGTTTGTGATAGTACGGCACGTGCCGCTCACGATCGACGGTGGAGATCGTTTGTTGTAGCCCGAAACATACGTACGCTCAATATGCTGGTCGCAGTGGCGTGGACAGCGCTGAGATGAGACTCGAAGGACGCACAAAAAGAAGGCGCATGTCGTGACCTGCTCATTTGCTTTTATTTCGGCAAACACCACGCGGATCAGCAGTGCCTGCTCATAATATCTGGTGCCTCGTGACGGCTCGGTAACTGCTTTCCACCTGTCAAGACCGTCTTCTTGCACACTTCGTGACAGCACTCAGCAGTCAATCCTTCTCGCAAGAACAACCAGAGTGCTGTCATTGGCCCTCCTTGATCATGCAGTACCACTGCGCACGGGTGTCACTTGCAGCACTTGACTTCACGGACGCAAGCACCAGCTACATTCGTGCCACAAGACATCTGCCCCGCTGTGCACTCTCATCCTCTTCTCAGCTGCTCTTCCCCAGTGTTTACTCTCATCCACTTCTCAGCTGCTCTGCCCCAGTGTTTACTCTCAGATGCTCTTCTCCTTTTGTCGTTGCTTCCAAATTGCAATGTCCTTGTTCGCCTGCACACGCTCTTCTGCGGATAAGGCATAATAGCTCTTGTCCATCGCGCGCTCCCACTGAAAACACAACAGATCCCAACACAACAACAACCACAGCACAAAAACGTCAGCCTGTCCCCACTTCTCCCCACCCTCTTCACATCCCCACCACACACCACACCACCACACCACCAGTACCACCACTGCCACTACATCACGTCTCGTCTCTGTCTCGTACCTGCTTTACCTCCCGCACGGAATGGCGCGGCGGCTCGTACGTGTGCGTGGCCTTAAACTTCTTATTGTGTCGCGCGACCACTTCCTGCACCTCTCTCCTCTTCGTCCTCTCGCTCGACTCGGTCCGCGTTGTTCCAGCATTGAGTCGATTTCCCGCATCCACAAGCGGCTGCCGACGTCGCACAAGCGCCACAGGCGCTCGCGCTGCTGGCTGCCCGTCCTGTTTGAGCCGCCCCAACTCGGGTTCCGCTCGCTTGTTCGTGGGTTTGCGGTCTCGAGCGGTCGTCGGAAGGTGCCCAAAGTGGACCACACCACTCGCGTCGCACCGCTTTTTGGTACGCTCGTTTGCCGTGTTTCGGATTCGGTCGTGAGGTTGAACTGTTTTCCGTCGGGGCACGTGGTGCGGCTTTTGCTCTTGCTGCTGCTGCAACCTTCGCACGACATCCGCGACTTCCCGCGCCAACTCGACGCTGGGCCGGCTATGGTCCGGATGGACCTCGTCGAACCAGGCGTCGTGCGTCGCCGTTGGCAGAGGAATCAAAGGCGCAGTGAGGTCCATGAACGTCTGCGGCGCGTCGAACTCGAACAAGAAGTCGAGCGCGCGGGAACGCGACATGTGGGGGCAGCAGGTGGCGCTCGGGCGCTCGGACGATGGTGTGGGTGAATGGGTGACTGGACGGACGGGTGAATGGGTGAGGATGGGTGAATGGGTGGATATCAACTGTGACGTCTCTCGTGTGTGTATACATACACACACAGATGTGGAGCAAATAGAAACGAGAACAGTCGCTTGTATCGAAAAAGAGAGGTGTATCAAGACGTTGAGCTGTGCGTCTTTGTGCGTGACATGGTGTTGCAAAAGCAGAAGGCGGTGCAGCGGCGGTATCAAAAGACGGTCGAGCAGAAGAAAACGAGTCGTTGCAAATCGAAAGCGCACAGCGAGGATTAAGACGTGTGTGGGACCGACTGCGCTTGAGCGAATTTACTGTAAATAGAGTCGCACTTGAACGCGTTGTAGGCAAAAATAGGTGAGAGGGGTCGTACGTAAACCACCTACAAAAGCTGAGCAGCAGTGGGCCGGAAACGCATGGGCTGTACGTGGGAACGTATACAAAATACACACCCGAGCGGTGGAAAGGTGCGAGCAAAGCATGAGTCGGACCTGTGCAATCGAGAACACCCCCTAGCGACAAGCAAAGGACAGGATCGCACAAGTTCTTTCTTGTGGACAGCTCTGTTTTACATTCGTATATCCCGGCCGCAGGTCTGGACTCCAGGCGCGAAAACCTTATTGACCGACCGCTTCTTGGTCCGCGCTATGGCTGTCTTGAATTTGCACTTCTTGGGGGATCAGTCTTTCGACCTCTTGTACTTTTCGCCGTCGGCGAGCGTTTCAATGCTTTGACTGCAGATGCATCGAGGGTCGTAGTCAATTGCGGTACCACAAAGTCAAGCAACGGGGAACTTTGGACCTCGTTTGTTGAGGTCTCAAGCCCGTTCGGTCTCCAGCTTTTTGCGTGGCTTTGTCGGTGCTGCAACTAAGATGTGATGCAGTCGAAAGTCACTGGCGGACACGATACGACATGTGCTGCAAACGCACGTTTGTCCACTGAAATAGAGATGCAGCTCATGCAAAACTGTTCAGCACCCATTTATCGAGTTTTTTTGTGTGGTCTTTCGGGCTGTATCGCTGTGGCATCGTCAAGGTGTTGACAAGTTCATTTGTAAGCTCACTCATTGGGGTCCACGAGATTGTCGCCACGTTTCCACGTCGAATGTCTTGTCTTGCCTTAGTAGACCACAGAATCGGTCGTAGACTTCTATCCATAATTTGTGAGTTTGTTCGTGATGCGATAAGTCGGCCACCAAAGCTAATACTCGACTTCAGACATCTTCAGTGCTAGAAGAAGAGCGTCTCCTTCCGACATACAATCACTTTGGACGGCTTCATTGCTACTCCGTCGTCGACTTCGTGGAGCTGTCGCTGTCTTTTTGCGCTTTTTGGCTGGACCAGCTATCCTTGCTCCGGTGCTCTTCGGACGTTTTGCTGACACTTTGCCCGCCGGAGTGGTGGAGACTGCCGTGCTTGCAGACTCTGCTTGTTCCGCATCGGCCACTTCTTTCGGTGTCGTCGTTCCCCTTCGATAGTACTTCGCAGACGGCTCTTGCTGGACAGATTTCGCATTTGCTGATTTTACCACTGGTGAGCCCTTCGTAAATGACTTCTTCGGCGGCACTACTGCAGTAGATGCTGCATCAATCTGGAATGCAGCTGGCTCGGCTACAGAGGCGACTTGACCAACGCCTACTGTTACGACCGCCGCTTGGTTTTCGCTTTCGCTGTCGTCGTGAGGTAAAAACTGCAGTCGACGAGGAGTTTGCGGCCGCTGATGCTGCGCGTCTTCGTCTGCAGGAGCCGCAACTTTGCCAGCCGACTCGACTTTACCCTTGACTTCCTTCACTTTCTTCTGCTGCTTTTGGGAAGACTTCTTCGCCCGGGGAGTAGCTGGGGTCAGTTTAGATTGTGTCGGCGTCGGTAATGCTCCGCTAGCTGGTTTTGGTGGCGGCGGTGGCTGTTCAGCACGCAAGGAGCGATGCTTGTCCTCTACAGACAGTCGAAACGCTTCCTTCAGCGCATCCTCCTCACACATTCCCATCTGATACTCGAACGCTTGTAACACCATGGCTTGGTCAGCTGCTCGAAAGCGCCTCGGGTTCGTGCCCTTCGTTTTTGCGGTCTTCTTCCTTGCAAACGCTTTGGCTGGCTGCTTCTGTTTCGTTCTCGCTTTCGTCAGTACCGCAGACGATTTGGTACTCGTAGCTACCCCTGCCTTGTTCTCGCCCGTCGAGGCTACAGCAGAAAAAGAAGAAGATTCAGCAACTCGGTCGTCTTTACCGTCAAGTCGTACTTCACTTTTCTTGTTTACGGCGATGTTTGCGTCACTCATGTCGTTGACGGGACTTGGTTCTGCCATCGTTTCGAGTGTAAAGCTTGCAGGTCTTGCCCGCTTTTTCCCTTTGCTCGGCTTTAGTGCAGGTTTTGCTTCTGTCGCAGCTGTAATCTTTGTCGCTGTCTTCGTCGTTTTCGCCTTTGCTTTCGCTGTTTCGGCAGCTTTTGCGCTTGGCAATGTTTTCTGTAGCTTTTCCTGATGTAACGGATTTGTCGGGACATCTTGACCGGCCAGCAACGTCGGAGCAGGTGGTGTACCATCATCCGTCGCTAGTACAGCTGCAGCCGGTGTCGCATCGGTCCTTGACATTTGAAGTGCAAGCAAGTAGGCATCGTCCTCCGACAAGTCCATCTGGTACTCTTTCATCAACCGAGCTTCTTCTTGGTCCTCGTTTGTTGCACTCGTCTCTGCGTCTTCGACCGCATCATCATCATCCGAACCACTAGCATGATCATCGTCTGAACTGTCTTCCGTTACGAGAGATAACTCAGAGTCATCATCGCCCTCATCTTCTTCCTTGAACTCCTCCTCCTCCTCCTCCTCTTGATCAACCGCATTTGTCTCCAACTCGTCGTTTTCCTCGATGAACGATTCCGTATCCGACAAGTTAAAGCGTGACCTCGCCTTAGCTTTACCTTTGCCATTGCACGTCAGCGGCTTCGTCGCGCTTTTATCCAAGGCTGCATGCACACCTGTAGCTTTGGCGAAGCTCCCAAGCGTCATTGTTTTTCGCCCAACATCTGTTGCATCTTTCGATTCACCTCCAGCCGGCATGCTCTGCGCCTTCATCGAGTGATTACTACCCCTTGATGCAACCATGTTCTTCGACCGACTGACCTTCTTAGGTGGCGAAAAGAAAGTAGCGATCAATGTGTCGAGTACCTCGTGCAGCTCAAGCAGGATCACAAGCCCAGCGTGGCCTCCGGCAGCCAGAAAGCATGGATAATCGCCTGCAGTGCTCGAGGTTAAGCGCAGGCGGTGTAGCGCAGCGTCTCGCTCACGAAATTCTCGCGTACCTTGACCCGCGGAATCCGCAGTTGCCAAGACAGATTGTCTCGCGAAGGACACTGTCAACGACTTGAACGGCTTCTCAGCGCTCGAATCTTTTTCGCCGGAGAGGCGGCACAGTTCTACGCAGTTCTGGGGTGCGCGATACAGTCTCTTGGCTGGAGCCGCTCGAATGCTACCGGATGTGCAAGACGAGACAAGCAGTGGTACAGGACCACGCCGAGCAAGCTGTAAGTCCCACACAGGTGAGTCAATCTGCGGGTGGAAGTGTAGTTTTTGATAACTGCCACTCTGTGAGCACCGCATCAAATACCGTGTAAGACCAGCGACCAGTGATTCCAATACTCTGTCAAAACACAGCATGTCGTACCAGAATGTCGTACATATACACGGAGCCTTGGTCGCCGGAGATATGAATTGAAGTTTGATCCAACCATTGGAGCGCAAGTCCCCAAGTGGAGCGTATTCGATGTGATCGAAGGCACACGCGGGGCTCACGGATATCCCATACCTTGAACACCGAGTCCTATTGACGCACAAGGAAAAAACGTAAGCACATAAGCTATCCTGAACCAGTATTGCCCTTACGTTTCCAGTGGTAGCAAAGATGTGCTGGTCGAACGGTGACCACGCAACAGCGCGGACTGCAACCCATCCACAGCCCCAGTCAAGAGCTTCTTGCTTCCCAATCGTGTCGGCTACAGACAAGACACGTACATCTCATGGCTTTGAGACTCTTAATCTTTTGAGCAATCGATTTTCGAAACCAGTGCCCTTACCGTCCTGGAAACGCCGTTGTGGTTCCACAGGCTGTTGGTCAGTAGATCTGCTTTCTGCCGTGTCACTTTTCTTGACCGCACTTGTAATATTCCACAGCGACACAGAACCTGCAGCAACCAAACAGCAGTGTCAACGGCTCGTTCAAGCCTCACATTCCGGATGATTCGAGTCTACAAGCGTGACGTACCGTCGGAGCCGCCCGTCAAAAGCATGTTCCAATGATGTGGAGACCACCGCACGCTCAGCTGCATTATATGTGGTACTGTCGCTACTACAATAGGGCTGGTCTTTTCCACGACGCAATCTGCTGCTGTGTCTAATTCAGGCTGTAATCGCTCTTCCAAAACTGCAGGGATCTCAAACACTTTCACACTTCCGTCACCGAAACACACTGCCAAAATGCCTAGGATACCTTCCCTTCGGTCACACTTTGGGAACTTCTTTACCAGTGGGCACCACTGCAAATCCCAAGCAACACCGCTGTCGTGATCAATCGCATACACTATCCGTGGTTTCACCATCGTCTTTTTCGCTGTCCTCTTTCTCCACAACTTCCCTGCTTCTGCAACTATGGTCTGTTGCACTGGCACGGCCCAGATCTGGATCAAGTTTTGCCCACCTTCCGGTACGTCGTAATAATGGTCCGGAGGCGTAGGTTTCACCACTTTTCCTTCTTTCACGAGACACGGAGGATGTGTTGATAAGGCGAGAAATCGCCACTTCATCTTGTCGTCGCCTTCGTTTTTTGTAGGGTCACTAAAAGCTGCTGTCCTCACTCCATCGACATCTTCTGCCGTCTCCGATCCGTCCGTCTTATCGCCGTTCAGAGCCTTCTTCGATCCTATTCGACTGGCCGTCGAGACCCTTCCAGCCTTTCTCGGCTTAAACTTAGCGAGGACAGCAGCTACATCTTCAGAGTTGGCTGCTGGAAGCGACGGTACCCAGTCCATGGCCCACACGGGTCCTCCAACATTCAGCACCATCTGCTCGTCGTTACTTATGATTTCACTAGTAAAAGGGGGTATCACAATAACGTTCTTCGCTTTGACCGTCTCTGGAACGATATCTTGAGTGCCATCCGATTCGATTGGCGTCTCCAGAGGGTCCCGTGGGCTCGACGTGCCGTTACAAAGGTCCAGTGCTGACTTGGGACTGGTCTGGGGCGAGTTCTGCGACGGCAGAGACGAGAGCTTTTGCCCTGTGCACGGAGACGCATGTTCTGCATCAGATACGACCACGTGCAGGTGGACCGGCTGCAAGTGCGCGCCGAAGGACACTGTCTCGCGCCACGCACTGAGGTTCATGACCTGCGGTGCCCAATGCGTGAAAAGTGACGTGCTTGACAAATTATGAGAGTTCTGTAGAGTTGCTGTAAACCACTGGCCAGGTGCGAGCTGAAGTAATTTACATCGTCCGGTTATTGTTGGTAATTTATTCTGGCTTGGCAAAAGCTGTCGATGATCACATCAGCACGTCAGAAAGAGCGGCAGTGATGAATAATAGTCTTAGACCCACTCGGGAGGTGGGGCCTTACCAAAAAAAGAAGAACTGTCGGGTGCAGCTGCTTCCTCTGTTTAGGCGCATAGACCAGCCAAACTGTCGCACGACGTGCCATGCCCGACTTGCATAACTCAATGTGTCGACATTATATCGTCCTGAATCTGTCGTCGCTTGTAGGTTGAGCTAGACAATGTCGCTGGACTCGGCAATCCCTATTCAGTAGTCCAGCCATGTTTGCACTGGAAAGGCAGAGCTCGGTCTGTCTTCTTCCGAAAAAGCTCCAATCTTGCATACAGGCAGCTGAACCAGTTGCACCGCGTTCGAGCACATGATGCGTTGATTCGAGCGTTCTGCTAGCCCAACGACATCAATGCAACGGCATTTGACGAGTAAACTGTTGAAAAGCGCAATAGGCATAGCATGAAACAATGGTACGCTGGATGCTTCACTCATTGCCAGGATTCAGCACGCCGTCCTCAAGATGCAATGTGAACGACCTCGAACACTGTCGACCCGCGTAACGTCATGTAGCACTGAGTCTTGCGTGATGATCGGCCTTTTGTAACACGAGGCCGACACACTCATTGCTTACAACGACAGAGAAACATGCGACCTATTCCGACCTCATCGGCCTCACAAGCGCACTCCTGACTAGGACACGATCGACTGAATCTCCTGACTCAAGTGTTGTTGTATCAGACAAAACGTTTGCGCGACCACAAAGCCTCCAAGCAGATACGCTACGGAGTAAGACTTGCGGGTGGTCAAGTAGCGAGCTAAACCTCTGCGCATTACACGCATTACGACTGCATTCTTACGCGCAATTCGATCAACATGTTCATGCAGAGCACTAGCTATCGAAGTGATGCGCAAACAGCTGTAGTTGTGCACTCAGGTGCCGTTAGCGCTGTACAAACGGCTACATCCTTCGAATCTACCCGTTGGCAGACCATACATGACGCTTTGGTCCAGCAAGAGCCAAAGCCTCGAGCTCCAACTATCGGTCGTCCGAGTTTTTGGTCGCCAGCATGTCCAGGCTCACTAGAACCCATTCCCGTTCTTCAAGTCATTCATCAGGCGTAAACTGCTCACCTACATCACGATGATACCATGCAACTACGTCCAAGCAACGACTGGCTCGGACGCAATCGAATCGACCAACAGCCCTTGCGTATAGCGCAAGAGACTTGCCGAGAGTATGATCTTGGGCTTCGTGAAATCGCACACGCTGAAGCAACTACGTGTTCTTCCACAAGGGTGCAGCTGCATCGTGTATCCGGAGAAAGCGGCCAATGTACGGGCACAAACACCTGGGACATTCTCGTTCACTTGTCTTATCTGGTGGGGATGACAAAATCATGCAGGCGATTAGACCTCGTTAGAGTCAGTACTTGGTTCGTTCGTAGCAGGTAAACAGCTTCCTACATCACGATGATGTAACTCAGTCCGACTGATATCAGGTTGACATTTGTTGGTGCTGACTGACCACCCATGACCGATTGCAAACTCAACGCCTGCAGTGCTGCTGACCAAAAGACAACCGTCGTCTTCGTCTGTTTACCTGGTCAGTGTGCACAAGCAACATTGCAAGTTTTGCCCGTATCTTGGCACATTGGTTGATGGTGAACGTTCGACACATGCTCGTGAACATGGTATTCCTATCGTCATTGGGTTGTTCCACGTCAATACCAGCAATCGACCAGCAACAGAAGGGCGCTACTATCACAGCACCTGGCGGCGGCCTCATCGGCCAGCCATGGACGAACACATGAGCTGAAATGACAAAGAGATCTTCACATGCAATGAGCCGCTTGTTGTGTCTTCAAGAGGTAACCAGCAGTCCATCTCGTTGCTCGAGGTAAGCTCGTTAAGACAGACCTAAGCAAAGAAACAAAACAAGTGAGTCTGTGACTAGTTACTTGGTGAGAAAGAATCCAAATAGTACTTGCCTTGGCTCTTCCCATAAACTGATGGTTCAAAACCTTGTTCTTGTGGTACATCGTGCACCGCAGCAATGCTGGTGGACCTGGAAATGCCGACGGAAGTAGCTTTTCCAAAGCAACCACAGCAGCTCGGTTTCGGTCGTTGACATCAGCAGTCCACAGTTGTGAGACCATGCGAGCGTCTTTTGGATCCACACTGTTCACCCTATCTTCACCCCCAGAAAAGTAACGGCCGCTTACAGGGTGAGCTGCGTGGTTTCTGTGTGTGGGAATGGCAAAGCGAAATACAAATTGATTGTTCGCCGTGCTCCATCGCGGATTGACGCCACCGTCGCCAACTGGGCTTCGATAAGTTTGTAGACTCCACTCGTCTGCCGTCTCCTGTAGGTCGTCCTTAGCGTGAGATAGCTGCAAAAACACGAATGGATCGCTCCATGTCCCTATCCAGCTGCATGCAATCAAATCCTTTGCTTCAATCAATTCGACAGTGACAACTCCGACAAACCGATGAGGTAGGCCCGCTTCCTCAAACATCGCATTTCGCTGACAACGTGAGTAGACCTCAACGAGAAAAGGAATTCGTGGTTCATCTTTCCCCGCAAGACCACGCTCCAAATGCTGGTAAAGTGTACGATACGAGTGAAGACCGTCCAGTTGGTAATGGGTAATGGCCGTCACCAGCCAACCTTCGCCAGCTGTAGCTTTCCACATTTTCACCAGATCAGAATCTTCGAAGACGGAGTTGATAATTCCGTCACACGTTTCCAAACAAACAGGGCTCAAACGGTTCCATCCAAGCTCCACGTGCAGGGGAGAGTGAGCATGGTGCATGTATCGCCACACATTACGCTCCGCTTCAACTTCCCAAGGGTCGACAAACATCATTGACTGCAAGCACGTGGCCTCTGAAAGCGAGTCAATATCACTACGCTCTGACGCAAAGGCGTCGTTTGGACAACGCGATCGTGGCGGGATCACGTCGCATTCAACAAGTCCTGGTGCACTTGCCGATCGTGAAGGGCATACGGATAGCTCATCCGAGGCTGATGAGGGATTAGCAGCACTTGCGCGGTACAAGCGAGAGTCTCGATGATCATCTGGAAACATCTGAGTATCCTCACCTCGGTGAGTCACTAGCAATCGCAGTTTCCGATCTTTGCAGCAGCGACTCAAGAACGCGTGAGCTTGTCGATTGAAGTCAGCTTTTGTAGTGTAGCTGAAAACGTGGTGATGGGCAAACCAATTGAAGGCGTCTCGTAGTACAAAGCTTTTCACGTATACCCGAGGATCCAAGCGAAAGCGTCGCAAGGTTGTTCGCACACCGAATTCTGCGTTCTGCATTAGCAACAGAACGTAATCGTCACTCGCGTTTACCAGTGCCGTGTGGACATCAGCGCTCAGCCCTGTCTCGCGAAGAAACGTCTGCAGACGACTCGGACTACCATCCTCATCCGTTCTCTCAACACCAAACTCTGCCGGAGCTGCACATGCAGAGTCATCCATCTTTGCATCGCTTTTAGCATCAATTACGTTCCTGCTCGTAGCGCCGTGACTGGTGAGCTCTTCACCATCACCGCTGCCACTTTCTTGGTATCTTGGCTGTTTCTTTTCTCTGTTTGCAGCTTCTTGAAATGCTGTGGTATCCAGGCCATAGAGACCGCACAGACACGGGACTTCCTTCACGTTGTAATCCAACTCGCATCTCAAGTGAGACTCGATGAGTGCATGCCACTGTTGAATCCCCTCCAGGGGGCCGTCGCCCAGTACTTTCCACAGTTTTTGAGGGACAAACAACGAGGTCGCAATGTCGACTTCAGCAACCTTTTTGTCGTCTTCGTCAACGTCTTGATACATGCTAAGGAAAACGGCGGCCCGTGCATTCAGCGTGCGAAGCACAGACACCATCAACACCAGCGTGTACATCTTGCGCATCTTATATTGATTCTGACTCGCTGCGTTTTCAACGCCACCCCATGATAGCAGCGATATGTTGCCGCCATCCGCTTGACGTGTTGCAACGGCACCTAAAAACGTGTATCCCACTTTTCCTCCAAACATGCGATTCTCGCGGTCTTCACGCCCACTTGCAGCAGGAGGACTTTCCAATAGTCTGCGTAGCAAGTGCAGGTTATTTTCAAATGCAAACGAGCTCAGGGGAAGGCTTGCGTCGCCTGTAGACGCATTTTGCGTGGTGTCGGGCATAGAAAATGGCAGGGTGAGAGCCTGTCGAACAATATCTGACCGATTCCGTGCCCAACCCAAGAAGATAATCCCAGTTCGTACTGCAACACTGATGTGCGCGATCACTTGAGGCGGGACGCGGATCTGTCCTTGGGAGTCGAGGTTGAGGATGTAACACAGCTGGATGGTGAGACTTTCCCAGTCGCGGTACGTGTCCTCAGCGATACTGCACGAAGCGAAAGTGTAGCAAGAGTGCAGCATCGACAACGAAACGTACTCGATCCATTTACGCAATGTTGATGTCCTCCCCAGTTCTGACAAAAGGAAACAGACCTCGACGATGTGTAGGTGTGCGTGCGGATGCATCACTGCTAGCCCCGCTTCGTACACATAGTTACGGTCTACTTGGAATTGCTCGCAAAGCGGGGTGCACAACTCGTCCAAGAATTGTCTGTGGAGCTTAACGCGATGGTGGTGCCGTTGAACTGAGGTCGTTGCAATGGCGGAAGCGTGTGAGGAAGAATTGTTGTCGCCACCACGCCGAAAATACACATCCAACTCGGCGCGGAAATGGCTGATCATCTCGCGTGCCACACGAATACCGATCATTTTGCCAACGAACGCGGACGAAGCCCAACGTCTGCACTCAATATCCGCAATCTGTGCTTTTAGCCACGGTGCTGTCGGGATAGGGTTGTCAGATTGCAGCGATTTCCACGACAAAGAACTTGCACGGGACCGACGAGGCGGTACCTTCTTTTCTGCCATCTGTACTTCCGTGCACGGAGGACAAACCGTGTCCATGAAGCTCATCCTCCTCCGCGGTGTGATCCACGCTGCTCGACTCGTCGATCGATTAGCAGTCGGTGAAGTAAAGCTTGACGGCTTGTTTGCCTGTCTCCATCTTGTTCGTAAAACCTGGTTCTTCGCGGAAGTCGGATCATCGAATAGACTCGTTGAGTCGCCTTCCAGTATGGCATCACTAAGCGCGACACTACTGGCTTCAATTGCTGATATCTCGAAACGCGCATGAAGATTGACTAAGTGTCGCGCTTGAAGCATTTCTACAAGCGCAGTATCACTCAGACCATTTCGTTTACACACGTAGGCTGCGAACGAAAACGCATGCTCGATGTCGGCGGCCGACGCAAGCTGTAGGCGTCTCTTTCCTGATGAGGCCAGGGCTGGTAGCGCTGGGGCGTCGGGAAACACTCGCTGATGCATCTTTTGCTTAGCCCAGCTCAGCAGGATGGAACTAACGTTCGAGTGCAGGTGCTGGAAATAGATAGTGAGAGACGTTAAGTTGACGTAGAAGTGCGTCGCTCGCATGACGTTGGTAAGAAGGATCTCCTCTGTAGGAAGCGTCAGCTTGTTGTTTACTTGGCAAACATCAACGTCTTGAAATTGCGGAAGCAAGACGGCCCACGCTTGTTCGAACTCCTCTAGCCACCACAGCGCACAGCTTTCTAACCACACTTCACACTTTCGACGAAAAAGAGGTAACACGTCTTGTTCTAGTAGTTTCTTCGTGATGATCCCTGCCGGCGTGATCCCCGTTTGACTCGTGAACGCATGATCACCGTCAGCTCGGTATTCCACAAGCCTCGAAATGATCAATGCCAAGCTCGGGTCTCCTTGACGGACCGCCAGAACACGAACTGCGTCTTTGATTCGTGGTGGCTCACACAAAAGAAAGAATGATGCTGCCGCCTCGTACTTTTTCTTGCTGAGAAGTGAATACGCGTTCTTCACTGCAGCATTGCTCCAGCGCTTTTGAGAAAAATCATTATCCAAGAACGAGGCTAGACTCTGTCGTCATATTCATGGCCTCACAAGTCAGCATGGCAGTGTTTGATTTGACAAGACCAGCGACAGTACACCAAACGCACCTTGTTTGAGCGCGATTGAGATAGCTTGGCCAATGCACTGAGCACGTTTTTCTTTCCCAGTGCCACGTAGAGTAAACTTACTCCCATAGCGTCTTTGGATCGCATGTAAGAAACTCTCGCAAATCTACGGGGAAGACAGCACAGCAACACGATTAATGCATGAGACCCAGACGTTGATCAAACGGACCAACCTTTCCACGATCCCTCGCAAGTCTTGCACATCCTTAATCCAAAGTCCTAGCCACTGAGGACGTATGTCGTCCCACTGCATGCCAGGTTTGATGCAATGTTCCCATAAAAACTGTTGTGCATCCGAGTGTAAGGCCCACAACAGGCCTGACGATGGAATTTCCTCCAACCCTGGTAACCGAGAACATCCCTCGCGCTCATTCTGTGTGTTCCTCCACTCTGACTTGGTTGGAAGTGGATCAGCATCCCCGTTTTGTGGGTTACTGTTGCAGTTACCAACGTGAGCACGCACCACACTTCGTAACGACTTTGCAAACAGATACATCGAAAAATAGCGCTTTGCACCCAGATCCGCAGCCGAAGCGTCCAGATCAAAGCCCAGAGACTGAATTGCATTGACAAAGCTCAAAATGACTTTCATCTCCAAAAGATGTTCTTCCCCAAATGAGGCGAACAACGTAGACGCATTTGCTTGCAATGGATGCGCTTTGCCCAAGAGCATAGAATCAACGGCTCCCGAAATCACCGCTGCTTCATCCGGTGCCAAAGCGCGCTGGTCCTCTTCGTCAAAATAGAATTTGATTTCATCCGGTATGCGTCTTCGTTGGCTGCTACTACTCACAGGAGCTGCAAACAAGTTCTCAGCCTTGTCGATCTTATCGCTTCGATGAATTGCTGTCGAGTATCGACCGACATAATCCAGCCCACGAGCATGATCTGGTGTAGGTTGCTTGGCAGCCGCTCCTTGCGCTCGATCCGGACTAGTGTACGAGAAAACTCCACTAGAGGCGCTCGCCCGAGCAGAATGCTCATCTTGCAGCACCCTGGCAAGCAGCTTCAGCATTTGTGTCGCGTCACTGAACGCTCTGGAAAACGCGTAAGACGCACTGTCACCCGCAAGTAAAGTATCTTTTTCGCCAACACGCGCATGCATGCCAAACATTGTCGTGAGAAGTACATATGGATGCCACATGGGCAGCTTTTGCGGGGACTCAATTGCTTTCCAGTCCATCGAGCGCTGTAAATGACTTCCTGGCTCATCCCACTTACCAAGCACCACAGGCATTTCGTTGGTTATTGGTTGGAATGACGGTTGATCAAGTTGCGCGTCCTTGCGATAGCCTCCTCCGACTAACAAAGCCGACGAATCTCGTGTACAATCGAACAGAGGTAGCGGGCTTACTATGTCATCACCAATTTGCGTCCAGCGATGCATAGTCGTATCATACTGATACATCACTGTTGCATATTCGTATCTTACCGCAAGAGCATCGACGTTAAACTCGACATGCGAATTGCACCAGCTGAAACCCGAAATATTTCCTCGGCCGTTTGACGTGATGGATTCTTCTGCGCGTAATATACCAAGTCCAGACTCCGCCTCAAATATCTGTAGCTCATCGGGTCGATCTGCACGCAGTACAGCCAGACGATTCGGATCATCTACTTCAATATGACATACACTACCAGCCACCAAGACTGAATCTCCGCTATGAGCGAAACTCTTTGCTTGATCGGCATATACATACCCACGTCGACAAAATGACTCCAATGACTCGGGTGCCTGATGCCCGTCCAGCGACGCAACATTATCACTTCCACAAACAGAATGGGAGCTCATCATCGTAAAATGAATGGCATTGCCTATGACCTGACATCGCCAGTGCTCAATGAAGCCGGCTGCATCGCCGATAAATATAAGCGAGTTGAGGCTGTTACGTCCTTGAGCTCTCTTGCTTGAAAATGCTCGCTGACGATAGTCTCTTTCGCCGGCAATCGCGGTGATGTTAGCTTTCTTCTTTATTGCTACATCTTGAGCTTGTAGAGGAAGTAACTCGAACGACCGGTATGTGGCATCACGTACACCCTTCCACATACACAGCTTCCCAGGTATGGATGCTATACCGAATATCAACACCGAGTTCGGCACGTATTCACCATCGTCCGCGTAAAATGGACAAACGCAGAGGAGCGACAATGTGCGTATTGCTTTTGTATGAAATATCCGTCTCCAACCGCCATACATCGACACCGCACCTGCATGGATCACGTTGCCAATATCATGCGGAGCTTGCGAGTTACCATTCTCCAGCGATGACGTGACATTTTGCACATGCTCTTCAACAGTGTGCTTGGGATCGCTCAAATTATCGCTGCTGCTGAACGTAGGCTGGAATGGAGCAGGCGGCGCCGAATCAGAAACAACTTTTTGCACAGATGGTACTCTCGACTTCGGACAAAGTTGCGCGCCAGTGACTCGAAAACGCATAAGTAGGGCTGCGCCCGGTGACATTGAATGAAGCAGCGCCAAGGCATCTTTCACTGTCTCTCCCACGACGCTTTTGTTGTTGATGCCCACGAGTTCGTCACCTACGATCACGTCCCGAATGCACTTGTCGCTAGAACGATTTCGTCGAACAATCAGCCTTCCTTCTCGCTCCTCAAATTGAACATCGAGGTCGAAGCTACTCGGTTTTTCACACGAAACCTCGTATTCAGAGCTCGACTTGCCTGCCGCGTTGTTGTAACGTGTCGATGGGGACAAACTCGGAGAGCAAGTACGTTCCTGCTGCTGCTGCTGTCGATGTAATTGCATCCTAGGAGAAGACACGACTGAAACGTCGGCTTCAGCAGATCGCCCGAACACATCGATGACACCTGACTCAAAAGCAACGAGAAGTAGAGGTGTGGCGTCGAAGTGAAGTGTGGGTACCCATTGAACGCATAGCACGTTGCCGCTGTCCTTCTCGCAGGGCAGCACACCCGATGGAATAAGCCGAGTTTCCGCAGAAAATGCGGAAAACGAGATCCAGTACACGAGAATGTCATACCTTCGAGCGCTGTCACGTTCGGACGTATATGCATCGACGCTCGCAATCAGTGGCAACGACGGATGCGCCGACAATGCCGAAATAGAGCCAAGGTGGCTCCTGTACCAGGACTTTTTCACAATGTGCGACGGCCGGTCTCCTTCGCCTACTGCAACATTAAACGACAGCATAATGTGATCCATGCGTTGGAGCACAATGTCAAGCTTTGAGGGCATTCCAACGTAAGTTTGCGAAAAGTAGGCCATGACACACACGTCGGCAAGTCTCACACTCCTATCAACGTCCAGTTGATCGTCTTTCTTCCCATGCACTTGAATCTGAAGCGGCGTTTCCTCGACTGTAGGTGACGTAGACGTCATGACCCCCACTAATTTCCACAGTCTCAAAACACCCATCTGATCGACACCTGAGATCCACTCTACGTCCTTGCCCTGCCCATCGTCTGTAGCACGACAGTCCTTCTCATCACTAATGTTCCGGTTCTTCGACACGACCCAGCGCACATTATCCATCACCCACGTCGGTTCGAACGTCAGCACGCGCTGAAAACACGCGTCCTCGCGCTCGGTCCACACACAGACTGTCCTCGTGACTGTACACGTCAAGAGGATCCGCGCAGGTTCAAACCACTGCGCTCTCCTCGTGCCATCCGCCTCCAGCGCGGAATGCCACTGCGTTGTCGCGGGTTTCCACGAGAAATACACCACGGGCACATCGTGCTGCAACGCCTCCTTCTTATCGAGCGTCTGCGTCTCGTCTGCGTCCCCTACGCTCCGCTTCATGCGCCACACGTGCACCGCCAGATCGTTCGTTACCAGCGTCGCCAACACGAACGCACTGGGCGAGTACTTGGCCACGTCAATGCCGCGCGCGTTTACTTCCCATAGCACTGGCGCTTGATTAGTGCGAGCGTCGCAAGTCACTCCACGCACGTCGAGCTTACCGACCCCCACGTCCCGTCCGCAGAACAGCAGTTCGTTTGCATTCCGCGAGAACGCGAGGCCGCGGATGGTCGTGTGGACCACATCGAGCTCAAAGTAGCACACGGCAACAAACTGCACACTGCTGTGCTGCTGCTGCTGCTGAACGTCTCGCTGGGGCGCATGGACGACAATTCGCGTGGCCGAGAGCGACGCGAGTTTGCCGTGGAAGGCGCTCCAGCGGACGAATGCCACGGGCGAGCGGTGGCCGGAGGGCGCGAGACGGGACAGGAGGATGAACTCGTCGCTGTCGTAGAGCCGGATCTCGGTCTGTGTGGGTATGGCCAGCACGTTGCGGCCGTCGATGCGCGTCCAGCTCCAAGCGCGCAGCGCCATTGGGGTTGTGGTTGGTACGTTGAAGGAAAGGAAAGATTGCCTTTGCGTTTGGCGGCGTGGATATCAGGGAGCAACAGGGCAGATGAAACTGCCGGGGGTGGGACCAAATTCTGCGAAATGTGACCAAGTTGGACCTAATCTGTGATCAAGTCGAGTGGCGAGACAGTGAGCTGACCCAACTCACATTTGGTGGTAAGTCGGTCCGTTTGGTGGTCGGAGACCTAAGGACAGTTTGTCCTCGTCCTCTTCTTCCTTTTCTGTGTCTCGTTTTCTCGGCGTTCCTCGGCGTTTCTCGGCTGACAACAGATCGACATGCAGCACGAGAATTGCGCTTCATCGACTGTCCACGGTCGAGTCTAGAGCACGTTTAGGTCAATGTCAGTGGCGCAGGCGCGCGGTGGAGGAACTTGCGGGTTGTAGGTGCGTTCGAATTTTTCGCTGCCTCGTCTGCCGTCGCCATGTGTGTAAAGAGACGGATGATTGCTTACAAAAGTGACAAGAGCGATGCTACAGTCATTCCGGTCCGCTTGCTCATGGCACGGACAGAACAGACAGACGGCCTGCCTATCTCAAAAGAGAGGACGGACTGGTCTGTTGCACTTAGTAAAGCGCGTCGATCATCGGTCGATGATTGGACCGATCGATGACTTGACGACGTATTGTAGGTGCCATGAAGCGTTCAGTCCTTTGCGGCCGTAGTAGTGGCTGCTTCGTGGTTGCGGCCACTTGACCCTTCAATCAAACCATAGAGAATCTTGCCTGATTTATCCTGCAAGAAACGATCGGCAAGGAGGTCGTGCTAAGTAGCAGCAGCAGCAACTCGGCTGCAGTAGGTCGACCAAATCCAACTCATGTAGCCGCATGTTGAGGGCCGCGATATGAGTGGGGACTATACCGCTTGGTTTCCTCGAAAAAGGTCGGAAATATGCTGTCGTTGTGACGTGGCGACAAGGAGTGAGCGCTCGATCGAGCAGCGTCGGAACCCTGTGTAAAAGGCTCTCTGAATAAAAAGATGCGGTTCTAGCATGCGACTTGTCTCTTCGTAGTAACGGCGACCCCACCACCATCTTGGACCGTTGACTAATCCCCTCGCCGCAGAACAACACATGTCCACACGGTCCAGTCGATACAAACACCAAGCGTATCTTCTTGAGCCCTTGATCGCGGATGCGCCCGTTTTCTCCGCCCGAAAGAAACCGCCCGCACAGTACGATTAGGCGATCACGAGTGTAGAAGCCAGCATCGCTTCCGCACGTCGACGTGAAAAAGGCAACCAGTGCGGAAAGCAGCACACGAAAGGGAAACAACCAGTGCGCAAAGCAGCACACGAAAGGGAAACAACCAGTGCGCAAAGCAGCACACGAAAGGGAAACAACCAGTGCGGAAAGCGGCACGCGAAAGGGAAACCACTCTCTCTTTCACTTTGCTCTTTTGTGCAATGGGAAACTGTTGCTCGACGGAGGTCGGCGCTGTCGTCGCGCAGCGCTCGAGCGACAAGGACGAAGCGGGCGCAGTGCCGTACGCGGCCCTGCCGTCCAGTCCGCGCAAGTACGCGGTCACGGAGGACACGGAGCCGCACGGACACCTCGACGACGAGCCCGTGGCGCTGTCGCCCGCGTCGCTGTCGTCGCTTCCGTCCTCGTCGCTGAGTCCAGAAGTGGCAGAGCCGCCCGCGGCCGCCGACGCGTTCGTGCCGCCCCCGAGCGCGGGCAGCAAGAAGCTGCACCGGGAGAACACGCACCACGTCACGATTGGCGACTACAATCTGCGCTACTCGTACTACTCCAAGCGCGGGTACTACCCCGATGGTACGTGCGTGGTCCATACAAAGGTCAACATGTAGTCGACTCTGGTCGACCTCTCGTTTCGTTTCACTTTCTTTGCCTCACCTCACGTCGCCTGTCGTTGCTCGTGCTCTGCTAGCGAGAACGAAAGCCAACCAGGACAGCTACTACTGCGAGACGCACTTTGCCGGCGACGACCAAAAGGCATTTTTCGCCGTCTTTGACGGTCACGGACAGTACGGCGACGTGTGCTCGCAGTTTGCCGCCGAGCAGCTGCCCGAGAACATTATCAAGAACTTGGACGAGCACGTGGGCATCTTGCCGGCTCTCACGCGCGCGCATGGCCAGACGAACCGCGCCATGCACGAAGCGAGTTTCGACGACTCGATGAGCGGCACGACGTCCATCTCGGTGCTCTTTTGTGGCAACGAGATCCACGTCTCGAACGTGGGCGACTCGAGGGCGATCGTGGCGCAAGAGAACCTCAAGGCGTCGACGCGCAGGGGCGAGGCCAATCTAGTGGCCAAGCCGCTGTCGATCGACCAGACGCCGTTCCGTCAGGTGAGACGCGACGTGTGGACGCGTCTTGGTGGTGTGGTCAGATCTCGTTATTGACCCTTTTACTTGTGTGTGTCTGTCGGTCGTTTGCGTAGGACGAGCGCGTCCGTGTGAAGAAGTGCGGTGCTCGGATCTTGACGGTGGATCAAGTGGAAGGGCTGGAGCCGATTCACGAGAACTGGGGCTTATCGCTTGGCGACGAGATTGACGAGAACGGAGACCCGCCACGCATTTGGCATCCTTACGGCCAGTATCCCGTACGTTGTTGTAGTACTACTACGTGTTGTCGTTGCTACTACGTTCCTTTCCGGTATGACGTTGTGGTCGCCCTGACGTTTTTTTGTCGTTGTGACGCTTTACAGGGCACTGCTTTTACACGTAGTATCGGCGACTTGGTGTCGGAAGAGCTGGGCGTGACAGCTGAGCCGGAGATTTTGTGCAAGGGGTTGAACCCGCACGACAAGTTTATTGTCATAGCGAGTGACGGTGTGTTTGAGTTCCTCACGAGCCAGAACGTCGTTGACATTGTGAAGCAGTTTGAAAATCCGTCGGAAGCATGTCACGCGCTGGTCGAAGAAGCGTATAACCGCTGGCTTCAGTTCGAAGTGCGAACGGATGATATCACTGCGATCTGTATATTCTTAGATGGTGACGCACCAGCCAAAGAACGTGATGGGCCTCGCGGAAGCATTTACGTTGGTGGAGAGGTCTTGGATCTACAGTCGATGCAACGGCCAGTGCGCGGGATTACAAAGAACCACGCACGCAGAAACACCATCGTGGGAACAGATGCGATCCGTTTTTCGCTTGCGGGGGTCTTTCCAGATGACGACGACGAATCGGGAAAGTTGTCGAGTGTGGTTGAAAGCGATGGGAAGTCGGACGAAGTCGAGGAATGGATCAAGAAGGCAGTTCACAGCAGTTTTCTTTTTAACCATCTGGGCGACAGAAAGGTGAGCACAGCGCAGCGCGCGACCGGCATTGGTTGTTGACGTCCCCGACTCACTAGTTTCATGTTGCAACTGTCTTTGTGTTTCCAGATTCGCGAAGTCATTTCTGTGCTAAAGAAGCTAGAATACAACGCTGGCGACGTCGTGATGCGCCAGGGAGTCCCGGGCAACACATTCTACCTGGTACGTTACACGTGCATTGACGGGCAGATCCACTTGTATTATGCTCATTGCTGTGCTTGTGGTATATGGGTAGGTGGAAACTGGTGAATTTGAAGCTCGCCACCTGGAAGACGTTCCGTTGGATCATACATCCCGAAACGGTTCCGGGCCGGAAGCGTTTGGCGAAGTTGTGCAAGTGTACAAGGCAACCGACGACTCTCACCCGACATTTGGGGAGCTGGCACTTATCTACCCAAAGCCCCGCGTCAACACGGTCGTTACGAAAACAAAGGGCACACTCTGGGCACTTGATCGAATTGCATTTCGCTCCATCTTGATGCGTGGACGACCGCTGCACGATGTGGTTCGACGGCTCCGCCAGATCAACTTGTTTCGCTCGCTGACGGTTGCCCAGACCAATTTGGTTGCCGAAGAGATGCGCGCGGTTTTGTTCGAGCCAAACCAAGTCGTGCTTCACGAAGGAATGACCGAGCCGGGCTTTTTCTTGATCACTAGTGGTCGGATCGAATCAACCACCAAGATCGATAGAGCAGCACGTCTTGAGCTGAAGACATTCGATTACTTTGGCGAAATGGCGCTGGTTCGAAGGCGATCGATCAGGTGCGGCGTTTGTGAAGCTTGTTATTGTGGCACGGATGATCACTTGTTGCGGCTGACTGACTGGATTTTCTGTACAGCAAACGTTCTGTTCGAGCGATTGAACGTACAGAGTGCCTCTTCATCAGAAAAGATGCACTGGAACTGGCTGTTGGTAGGTTATCTATCGTTTTGGAAAAGGACAAGCTGCGTCGGGCACGCAAGGCGCGAATTTCCGAGTCGAAGAAGGGAGATATGGTGCGTTCTGCTTGATGCGTAAAATCTCTTCTTTGTTTGACCTTCACTAAGCTTGACGCTCGTCTGCTGTGCTGCAGCCGACATCATTCGTTTGCTTTGACTACGAGACCAAGACGATGATGCCCAAGTCCATTGACGACCTGGAGGTCGTTGGAAGTGTAATGTCTGACATGACCAATACTGTCCGTCTGGTGGAAGTCAAAGGGTCGTCTCCACCAGTATGCTTGACTCTGCGGTCGGCGAGTAAGCAGGGCATTGTAGACGCCGGTATGCAGAAGCATGTAAGTGGCGAGCGCGACATTTACGTGTCGCTCTACGAGAAGAACGTGCTGGTGCCACAGCTCTTCGGGATGAATGTGAATGACTCGGACATACATATGCTGTACGACACACAAATCGTGGGTACCCTCGAGCGTTTCTTGGATGGTGAGCCGCACGGAGAGTCTTTTGTGCGCTATTATGCTGCACAAGTTGTGCTGGTGCTTGAGTTCATGCACATGGTACGTCTGTGCTGCTGTTTCTCTGCAGTTTTGCGCGACGACTTACAATTGTGTATGACGTTGCAGGAGGGCATTGTCTCGCGAATGGTCGACCCCACGAATCTCATGGTTGATCGTAGCGGAAACCTCCGCATGATCGATTTGAGGTGCGAGTCTTATCTTGTATGTTTGTCTGCCCGTTATTGTGGGACTTATCACATATGCACTGACTTATACATCGTCTAGACTCTCCAAGTACGTCGGTCGTGGACGAACCTACACTGTATGTGGTACGCCCGAGTACCTGGCTCCGGAGCAAATTACTGGGGAGGGTACGTGTCGCTGCTGCTTGTGGTGAGTGCAACGCACATTCATCTGACGATACATTGTGTTGCAGGTCACAACATTGCTGCAGATTACTGGGCGCTAGGCGTGCTCATGTACGAGATGCTAACGGGTGCGACTCCGTTTACGCGAGAGAAAGAAAACGATTTAGAGATCCTGAACGATATCGCGGCGTTCCAACCGGACCAGTTGTCGTGGCCTGAGCACACAAGTGCCGAGCTGAGGGATATCATCGAGCATTTGTTAAGCCCTGACCCTACGCAGCGTCTTGGGTACACGGTATATCGCGCTGGTGCGTGCGAGCCGATTAAAAAGCACGCATTCTTTGCTGGAACTGCATGGGAGGCCACGAAGATGGGCTCGTTCTCGGTATGTCACGCGTACCATCTCGTTGGATGTAAGATTGGTACTGACCGAGCTTCTGTCGATCGATGATCTCTTGTTTGTACAGGCACCACTTGAGCCGGAGGCTGCATCCGAATATAAGCAGATAGCAGCTAGCGGCAGCCAGGAAGACGTGAACATTGGAAGCACATACGCGGGCAACGTTGACTGGCTTGCCGGGTTCTAGACGTATGGAAATTTGCCGCTCGCACAACATCCGACAGCGAAGCGAGCTGCAACTAAAGGAGCTGCAACCAAAACACTAAATTGAAGCATATGTTTTTGAAACCCAGGCGGCCCGCTTCATCTGTCTTTACGTCGGGAAACCGAGCGCAGTGACCTCCATGTCGCCAAAGCAAACCGTGCACTCCTGCAGCAAAGTCTGGACAGCAACAAGCAGCAACAGCAGCACAAGAAACACACGACAACCATTGGCATACAAGCGCGACACTAATGGAAGAGCTGCGTACTGACTGCATCGTGGTTGGCCCGTTCTGCAATGCTAGGAAAGTATCGCTCAATCGCTTCGACGGCTCTGGCATCAGTCTTGCGCCACTTGACACGTTAGTCAAAAGGTCAACCTGGGACCCATTTTGCTGCAAAAGCTGCTCGTACCAGCAGCACTGAAGACCGAAACTGAAGCGCGTCACTGTCGAGCCGGCAGAGATCCCCTCCAGTCTTCTTCACCACCTGCTCGACTTCTCGATCGACGGCAAAGTGCATCAATGTAAGTCGGTATTCCTGGTAGCCTCCATCCGGACACGCGATGCTGTACATGTATACCGTGCGATCAATACCCCTCGGTGAGCGCTCATTGTATCTCTGCTTTTCTTTGTTGACCAGCCACGTACCAGTCATCCACCGGAATCTCTTCGCCCATCATACCGAGCTGCGTGCGACTGGATGAGCAGATGAAGTACCCCTGGAACCAGTTGCCGTCCCGAGTAAAGCACAGAGCTGCTCGACCTTTGCTGCTGGTAAAGGGCGTCGTTGCCATCATTTTCGTGTCGCAGATCGGTATTTCATACCGGTTTCTGTCCATGGCCATGGAGCTGCGCTGCTTGGCGGACGATGCGGCACTCGTGCGTGCTGTGCAGAAGCTCAACTTGGGCGTCTTGCCAGTGCAACCCCCTTCTTTCTGCTATCGTCGCGCAGAAAAGGATCGCTACCGACTATCGTGGGCTGCCGTGACTCGTGATACGTGTATCGTGCGTGGCGCTGCAGTAGCCGAGCTCGAGCTGGAACGTGGCGGAAAACGCACGGTGCAACTGCGAACACTGGCGGTGTCTCCTCAATTTCGACGTCAAGGAGTCGGACGTGCGATCATGGAGAAACTCTTTCAACAGGTCAAGAAAGCAAAGGATGATGAAAAGGGGGAGACATCGAAGCTGTGAGTCTCCATGTTCACGTCAGGAACGAGGAAGCGCTGGCTTTCTATGAAGCGCTGGGCTTTGTTCGGAAAGCTGAAATCGATGGGTACTATCGTCACTTGGAGCCACGGACTGCAGTTGTCATGGAGCTACTACTTGATTGAGCACGACCAAAGAGGCTTTACGGGGCTATATGCGATGCGGTTCACCTGATGTAATTGGGATTGCTACGAGTGGTCAGAGTGGACGATAAAGAGACTTGAGAAGAAAAAGGTGTCGCTCGTATCGTTTGCATTTGATCGTGGGAATAGAAGACGCTTGCTTTTCCACATCATTCTTGGACCTTCGTGCTTGGTGGCGTCGGAAGCTTGGCACAAGTATCGTTTCAACAGACCCAGACTGCGAAAACACAGCCAGCGTCGCTCTGTTTGCTTTGGCAAACCAGAATCCCATCGTGTGCTGTACGAATATGACTCGCAACGGATGTTGTGAGTAGAAACATGCTCTGAAAGTGGCGTCGTGGCGTGTAATGGATGTTGAAGATGTCGGTCCAGCGGCTTTTCACCTGAGTCTGCTTGCAAGAGCCGATGCTGAACACAGCTGTGCCCCTGCGCTCCACAATGATGCATTAGTCACATCAGTGCGATCGGGTAGCACACCGGTCCTACTCGATATGCGATTCGCACTGCCTGCCATATCTGCTGCATCATGACGGCAAGGATTCCCTACGATACCTTCTAGTGGCATCAGTACTGACGACTGTAGTGTACTGTAACGTTTCGAGAAGTTGTCGACGTCGATCGACCACGGCACTTCGCCCGTCATGCGAGAGTGAATAGCGTCTATCGTAGAAATGTCAAGCATTTTATAGCAATGTCAAGTCATGCATGTTGCTTCGCCACTGCTTCCTATCTATGAGCGCTCACTATTCATCAACAGAAGCTGCAGACGTGCTCGTGGCATTAGTTCCTCGATCGGCTGCATCATTATCGCCATCAATAGCAGCGCTACGTCTCGTTGCATGAGGTTGTCCAGTGTTGGCAGATACAACAGGTGACATACGCAACCAAGTGGATCTACATACATCAAGTTGCAGAATTTTGTTTTCCTGTATAGTGACAGTTCCTGCGCGTTTCGTGTCCACTCGCTACAATCATAGACGAACCATTTACTGTACATTCTTAGCACGCTCAAATTGTTAATGCAGGTCGGATTCAATCAGATGGATCTGTGATTGCAGGAGCCTCAATCAATCCAACTAGTAGACATTGGGGTTAGTTTGTTCAATCGACTCGATCTCGAACTCGGACACATTGACGGCAACGACTTTGCCATCAGTAGTGGCTTGAGTTTGCTGTTCATGATTGCCTGCATAACCTGCACACCTAAAGCGATCGAAGCGTCAGCTATGCAAAGTTTGCTCATATGCATTCTAGCTTCTTCGCCGTCCCTTGTGACCTCAAAGTACCGCGATGTGTCGCACGGTTGCCGTACAATAGCCCCACAAATGTCTACTGGAAAGCGCAAATTGTACGATGCATTACGCTTAGCTGTCTCTGCCAAGTCAGGCAATGAGACAACTAAAGTATGCGAGTTCCTCGAATCTTGTACAATTGTGCTGTCATGAGCCGATAAATACCATTGTTGCTAATAGTATATATAAGTACAGTAGAACGCAGCATGCAAACGAACGTCTTCTGCGGTCCACAGAAAGTGTAAACCTCTTCCGATGCAACTGCCGGTGCAGTCACCAGTCGAACTTGCACAACAGCAGTGTAGCTGCGTCTATACAGGTGGATTCATGTACTGCACCTTTCCATCTTGAACGCCTCTTGTCACGATGGCAAACCCGTCCGAAACTGACTTGAAATCCGTCTTTGGATTGATACTCGTGTCCGCTGCAATCGCTTTTCGGCAGCTTTCGGACGGCACGACCGTGACTTCCGCAGTCACGATCGCTGCTAATGCGCCCACGCACTTGGGTAAATCGTCCTTGGTCACACCAAAAAAGTCACTCACGGGCGAGCTGAAATTTGTAAACACGCCGTTTTGCAGCGAAGAAAGCAGCTCACAGCTGATATACGCGGACACTGCTTCTTTTGGTGTTCCCTCCATCGTTGACGTCCGATCACAAGCGGCCAAATCGTCCACCAAGTTAGTAATCGCAGCAGCGTCTTCAAACGTACTCTTTCCAGTCGCGTACGAGATCGCTCCAGTCGCACTCTCATCCGCGTTGCACTCCAGCGAGAACTCCTTCAGCATATTCTGGAGAAAAGGACTGAGCTCGTATTCGACAGCAAACTCGTCCATGCTCTTATACGTTGTGCCCCCACTCTTGAAAAAAGCACCGAGATGAGCATGCTTTTCGACTCGTATACCTTCAACACCCATGGGAATCGTAGCGGTCGGAGAGATCTGTAGTTTGCCATTGCTACTGCACGAGCCAGTCAGTGATATGCTCTGATTGCAGCTCTGAACGAACTGGTACACCATATCGATCGTCGCGCTACACAGCCATATCATCAACACCAACGACAATAAGAATACCAACACAAACAACAACGTCAGCACCCAGCACACAGATCGCGCATGTGCAAAACTCCAACTCCGAGTGACGTACTAGTGACTGAAGAAGATGGGATCAAAAGCAGCAGCTCGTGTCTCGTACACGCCTCCGAGGATACTGTGCAGCGTGAGCTGCACCGAATGCTCAATGCCCTTGCGCAGCGTCTCCATGATATCACTGGAGCTCGTGGCATTCCTGGCACGGCGTACCAAATCGGCAAACGCAGTGGGTCCGAACTCCAACGACGAGTCGCCAACGCCCCAGTCTCCGCGCGGAAGACACTTCTCCCTGTTTTTGCTGCTTGTAGCAGCGTATGCCGCAATGCTGGCGTTCGCGCAGTTGCCACTCAGGACAGCTTCGCCGTTTACGACGTAGGCGCCAGGTACGATTTCATTGCCTTCCGAGCCACCAAAGTCCTGCAAAAGCGGCGAGCAGCCTTCAATGCCATTGCACGACGTGCGCGTGGACATCCGCTTGGCCGAGTCTTCAAACACGTCCCAATACGGCAGTGTCAAGTCACGAAACGACGGGTCGAGCGACCGCAGCATCGATTCGTACCCGAGCAGGTACTTGCGGTACCACGCAGGCGCGCCGCACGTTCCTGCGACTTGACGAAGACTGCCCTTATCCATATACACGTGCGTGAACAGCATGTGCTTGCCGGACGTCATGGCCGTTTGTATGGCACTTAGATACAGCCCTGGTCGCAACACAATCGCACAAAGACATACAGTGAATAAGTGCGTCAAAAACTGCGGCAAGAGACACGAGACGACCCCACAAGAGCCAGCGCACCTTTTTCCTCGCTGTTAAACGCGGCCCAACTCTTCCTCACTCGCGTCGCATCAGCTGCTGCACTTCCCATTGTGCGTGAGCCGCTCAGTACGGCCACTGCCGCCAGCACAGCGCACATGTACCGCGTCATGGAGTACCAATAAGTCGCTTTGTCCCAAGTGATCCCTTGCGAGTCGCCTGAACAAACTGACTCTTTCGATGCGCTGTACCGGTGAGTGGTCCACATCGCGGCGCCTGTCGAAGCGAATACCGATCGACTACCGGTTTTGCACCCACAATTGCTGGTGCGCGGCCGTCAAGAGGTTTCGACACGTGCGGCGGAGGTCGAAAGTGGGTACACTTCATGACGACGTTCAAGCACCGCGCGGACCTCGAAGAGGCGATTGAAACGTGCTCTGCTACAGTGCGTCTGCTGCAGGAAAAGGCGCACAATGGTACGGACGGCGATGGGCCGCTGGCAGACGTCGCCGAGGAGCTGAAGAAGCTCGTGGCACTGCGCAAGGCGCTAAAGATGTGGAAGCAGAAGGAGAGACGAGTTGAAGAGGGAGACAGAGGGACAGAAGAGACCGAAGAGACAGGAGAGGAGAGTAAGGGGAGGATGGAGAGCGCTGCGAGGGAGCAGGAGGACGGAAGAGCAGCGTTGGAAGACGTTAGGGAGGCTGAGGAGGGCGGGAACGGGGCTGCTGTTGCCAAGGACGAGCTATTGCAGCGTGCGATCAGGCTCGAAGAGCTCGTGGCCGCAGCAAATGTGAAGCTGACGACGTTGGAGGGTGAGGTGGCGCAGGTGGAGCGCACGAAAAAGGCGTTGACGTACTTGGTGGCACATCAAGAGCCGATGACCGAACAGGTCGGGTCGTTGGTGGAGTGTCGAGGGACGACGAAAGAAGGGGCAGGATCAGTGCGTGTTGAGGTGACGACGCCGAAGAAGAAGAAGAAGAAAAGGAGGAAAAACAAAGTGGCGACGGGTGAAGGAGTGGACGAACAGAGCGAGGAGTTGCCGGGGGATGATGCAAAGGTGGAAATTGAGGCAGAGTATGTGAATAGGAACACGACGATGGAAAAGCTGCAGGAAGCTGTGGTTGCGCTGACGGAGGAGAAGAACGAGGCCGTTGTCAAGTTGATGGCAGAGCTGGCGGACCAACGAGCCGAAATGGAGCAGCAGAGCCAAGAGATGCTGCGAAAGGCGAAGCACGAATTCGACGACGTCGAAGAAAAGCTACGGCGAACGGTTGCAAGTGTCGCTCAAGAGAAGGATGCGGTGATTGCGAAGCTGAAAGCTGAGCTTGAGGAGCAGCGTGTAGACTCGCAGCTGGCGGGGAGTCAAGAGGTGGAGTCTGAATTGGTGAAAACTGTTGCAGCGCTGAAGCACGAGAAGGCTGAGCTGGAGCGCAAGCTGCAGACTGCAGAAGAGGCTGCCAAGTGCTCCCGCGACGAGCTGGAAAATGTTCAAGATCAGCTGACGGATAGTGAGGACAGAGAGACGCAGCTTCGTAAGCTGCGCAAGAGTGTCGAGGACGTCCAACTTGCGAACAAGAAGCTCACGGAGGAGAACGCGCTGATTGAGGCTGATGCAAAGGCGATTCGTGACGAAGCAGAAAAGAGGATTGCTGAGCACTTGTCGTCCAAGAGCAAGTCTGAAAGTTCTGCTGCCAAAATTGCAGCCATCGCGGCTGAGCTGGAAGCGTCGAAGACGGAAGTGCAGAAGCTGCAAGCCAAAGTGAAGAAGCTGACGAGCGAGGCAAGTGCTAGTCATGCGAAGGTTTCGAGTACTAAGGAGCGTATTTTGACGCTGGAGCAGGAACTGGCGGTGGCTACGAAAATCGCTGAAGAGGCGTCTACCGAGCTGGAGCAGGTATCGAAGGCGGCTCAGAAAAGCGCTGAAGAGATGTCTGCCGAGCTGGAGTCGCTGCGTGCTTTGTCCCAGGATTCGGCATCGAAGCTGGCGATTTCTACAGAGCGTGTGCAGACTCTTGAAAAAGATTTGGAGGCAGTGAAGAAGGAGCGTGAAGACGCATTAGCTGAGCTCGAAGGTCTGCGCACATGTACGAAGGATACAGAGCTGGCGCTTCTGGGCTCGAACGAGCGGATGCAAGTTCTGGAAAAGGAGCTTGAGCTAGCGCAGCACAGTGCCCAAGAGGCGTCCACAGAGCGTGACGCTCTCCGCACATCGATGCAAGAAGCTGAACGTATGTACAAGGCTGAAATTGAAAAGCTGACGATGCAGGTACAGACCACTGAAGGGAGCTGCAAGAAGGAGTTCATAGCCGAGCTCGAGAAGGCAAAAGACGCTGCCAAAGTTGCACTCGCAGACAAGGAAGAAGCTGCCTGCCAGCTTCGCGCACTAACGGACAAAGGGATGCGTTTACAACATGAAAGTGAAAAAGCTCTGAGCCTTGCGTCTCGCAAGAGTGTGCAGGCGGAAAAGCTTGCAGCGGACCTCAGCTCTCGCTCGGCCGAGGTGACGGAACTGAAAGCTCAGTACGACGAGCTGCTTGCACAGTATACTCGGTCGAACGACAAGCTGCTCAAATTGCAGGGTGGCGCAGCTACGAATGACGATTTGCTCAAGAAGGCACGTGTGTCGCTACTGGAGGTGACCAGTGAGCTCAAGGAAGCTCGTGCTGACTCGCTCAAGTGGAAAAACTCGGCACAAGCAGCCAAGACGCTGATGAATGCCAAGATTGCCGATGCAGAGAGTGCTTACAAGCAGCTCAAGAAGGCCCGTGCCGACGCGGCCTCAGCCAAGTCAGCTCATCTGCAGCTCTCTGCGAGTCTAGAGGGCAAGGAGAAGAAGCTTGCGAGAGCCAAGCAAGAGCTCGCTACCGTCCGTTCCGAATTGACCGAGACGATTAAGACTTTTGAGGCCAACCTGGTGCAGATGAAACAGGCGCATGCTGCTCGAACGGAAGAGCTCGGCAAAGCCTCTGCGCACACGATCGCGCAGCTGACGAACCAGATCCAGTCGTACCGCCTGATGCTCGTGGTCGTTCTTCTGCCGGCGCTCATCGCCACGTTCGTGTATGCGATCTCGATCTAGTCGTCTGCAGTCGGAGCAGCTCTTTTTGCGGTCGCGATGCACGCTAACGAACGAGCGGATTTGGACTACAAGTAGACGTTTGTCGGTTGTTGGTCATTGCTGCTACGTACAGTATAAGACGTCTGTCTCGTATTGTTCTACGATACAGTCCAACAGCACGTCATCGTACAGACGTAACACAAATGGATCGCAACGTGACACAAGTCGAGCATTGCAAACAATTTGTCGAACGTTATTCGAGAGTTCAGCTCTATCGGTGTTTCCACTGGCGTGTAAAGGGAACATGTACAACTGAGACAGCGCGCAGCATACTTCGTCCAAGTATACTATCGCTACATTGTGGATCGAATCGATAAAGGTCCGACTACGGAACTACCGTAGCAAAGAGGTCAACTCACTGTCCGACTTTGCCGTCACTCTTATCGACTCGATTGAACCTGCTGATGCGAGACGTCGACCCCTTGTTGTGTGTCCGTCGGTTGTTCACTTTATCCACAACATATCGAAAACATCCCGAGATAAAACCTCGCGTCGTTCGTCAGCTGCGAGTTTATATGGGATAACCAGTCGATCCCGTTGCGACGCGAATGAAGTAGCACCACTAAGAGGTAATACGTGGGGGAAGGGGACCCGCGTTGAATCGCATGCAGCGAAATCGTACCATAACATCGGCACCCTGTTCCTTTTCCAGCCCGCCCATTGCGTTTTCCCTCCCGCCCGTCTCTTATCCCGCTGACGCAACTGCATCTTCTTCCTCCCTTGCGAATTTCAGCCAATCGCAGCCCGCTGCAATCTTCCGCACGCGCGAGAAGGTCATGGCCGAGACGACCACCGAGGCACCCGCCGCGGCGCGCGAGGGTGGCGCCGGCCACGCGGTCTCGTCCCCGAGGTCTGGTGCGTCCCCCTCGACCCCACGCTCGTTCTCTATTCTGTAGCGGGCTCCGGCGCCCTGCATGCGTCTCGTCTCTGTTCCATCGCTCACGGGCCGTCGTCTGCTTTTGTGTCGTATGATCGTGCTGTTCTTTTTGACCACTCACAGCCGGCCAGGGCATCCCGCACCCCTTTTCCACGTGCGAGCGAGCAAGTGGCACTGACGCGGTGATACCGCCGGACGGGCTGCACAAAGTACGAGCGCACGACGACGACGGCGTCACGAAGGCGAACAGAGAGACGAGGAGCGACGTCGGTGGCGGCGGTGGTGGTGTCGAGCTGCAGGACGGCAGTGGACACGATTGCGCAATGCAGCAGCAGCAGCAGCAGCAACAAGAGCTGAAAGATCATGAGCTACTGGTGGCAGTGCAGCTCGAGCTCCACGTGCAGCAGGAGATGGCACGGAAAGTCCAGCACCGCGATGCTGTGACGATCCAGACGCTGAGTGACGAATTAGCAACGACTGTAGCTCGACTCGCACAGGAAGAGGCACGTGTGGTGATGTGTGAGCAAGAGAAGAAGAACTTGGCAGCGCAAGTGGATTTAGTGTGCATTGACAAGCAGCAGCTGGAGCAAAGAATGAAGGAAGTTGTCGATGTGAATTCGGTCTTGCAGACCAAAGTCGATAATCTGATGCGAGAGCTGTGTGAAGCACGACGGAAGCAGAAAGATGTGGGACTGGTGGATAGTGAACCACCGTCGAGTGTGGATCTGACGCGGAGAGATGATGACACTGCGCTGGGAGTACGAGCGACGAGTAGGAGTGTTATTGATCGAATGCACGAGCTGGAAACAGAGATGGCGGGCTGGAAAGCTGAAATGGCCGCAAATGCTGAGAAGTGGCACTCGGAGCGGCAGGAATTCACACAACAGATTGAGTCGCTTACGTTGGCGAACCAAGAGGCTAGCGCAGAGCTGGCTGTAGTGGCACATATGCGCGAACACTTACTGGAACACGTCGGCATTGATCTGACGCTTGAAAGTGTTGAGTCGCTTCTTGATGCAAAAAACAGCACCATTCAGATACTTACAGCACAACTTTCGGCAATCGAGGCTCCTCAGACACCCGGCGATCGTGAGATCATCGAGGCTGGTTGTGTTGCAGCAAAAGACCTTTGTGTACAGTTGGAAACACTCCAGACCAGGTGTGACATGCTGGCCTCCGAGAGGCTTGAGCAAGACAAGACGATCAGAGAACTTTGTACGAAGCTGAAACAAAAGGCAGGAGATGACGCATTCTCCCCCCTGCCTGAGTATAGCGAGTGTTGGCATGCTTGCGAGTCGATTGTGGAATCCGAGCACTTCTCGAGACAGGTCGAAAACTGCTGGACAAGAAAAGAGCAATCGAACGGCGACTTTTCTGCCACCAAGTCTAAGATTGAAGCGTTGGTTGTCGCGTTGCAAATAGATAAGCCAGCGTCTACTGACAGCGATGCTACATCTTGTCATAACTCACGATCGAAAGAGCTTGCCAAGTGTTTGGAGCACGCTCAGGATCAACTCATTAGTGCAGCGAAGCCGGACCAGAGGCAAGATGACGTAGTGATTCTTCAGGAAAAAATACACAAGCACGAGGTGGAAAATCGGCTTCTTTTGGCTAAGCTGGAAGAGTGTGAGCATGCGCTAAAGGCTCAGACTCGTAGATTTGCTGTCAGAAGGCTCGAGTCTGGTGTCAAGGCAGAAAAAAGTGCATTATTGGGCGCTGATGCTGGCTCTGTAGTGTCAAATGGTGAAATGGTGGATGGTTGTAATGGTTTCTCCTGTGATCTTGAGCGCGACCTGGAAGCAACTACAGCGCAGTTACACGCAGTCGAGGCAGAGATGGTTACTTGTGAAACCGAAAACCTGAGGATGAATCTCGAGGTAGCAGCGAAAGCCGATGGTGTATTGGAGCGTAAACAAGACTGCGGTGCTTCACTTGGAGCGCATCAAGCGAGTTCGATAGAGTTAGAAGCGATGGTAGAGCAGCTTGAACGCGCCAACCGAGTGCTAACGTCGGACCTTGCAGGCAAAACAGATGGTCTGCAATGTTGGTGCGAAGCATTTGCGATGCTAAAAGAAGACTTCCGATGCGTCGTTGCTGATTTGGAGAGCGCTATGTTCGAGGTCAATATGGAAAATCGCAAGATCAAGGCTGACTTTGAGGATGTCAAGACAGAAAACGACGCGTTGGCTGAGCGGATAGGCAAGTTCCATGCTGTTGCCAACGGCAAGACGGAAGTGGATGAGGGACAAGAGACCGACCGCGAAGTTGAGAAACTGCGGTCTTCATTGGTTCAAGCTAAGGTAAACTGTTTGGAACAGAAGCAGCAACTCACGGCTCTTGAGAAGAAGCTCGTGGATGTGTCAACCTCTGGCGGTTTTGCGTGCACAGTAAGCAATGCATCACTGGACGCTGAGCGACGAGAATTTGAAGCCGCTTTGATCGAGATGATTGAGATGGAAAAAAAGCTTCAAGTCGCATACGAAGCAAAGCAGGGTCTTGAGTCCACGCTGCAAGAGCGAATGGAGGCAAAAGCAGAGCTAGAAGATCGGTTGTCTGCTGCCGAAGACAAGATTGCGGAGTTGGAGCAGCAACTGGAACAGAAGATTGCTCTCATCGCCACAATCGAAGAGCAATTGCGGCTAGCGGAGGAGGAGCGCGAACAACTGTCAGATGAGTTTGAGAAGACCAAGTTGCAGCTAGAGCGTAGCATAGGAAAGCTAGAAGAGAAGGCGATCGAATCCGAGGCATTAAAAACAACGACGAATATGCTTAAGGACGAACGCAGTCGCTTGTTCAGCGAGATCGCGCTGTTGAAGGACGATATTGCGAAGTCTGAAGTCCAGAAGGTTGCATTGGCCGATTCGCAGGAGCTCGCAAATGAGGAGCTTGAAGATCAGCTGAACGAGCTCGCTGATAAAATAGCCGAGATTGAGGCAGAAAAGCAGGATCTTCGTGCGAGACTCGAGGACACTGTCAACCGGTCCGAAGAGGACATTCTAGAGCTGAGGGGGCGGCTCTATAGGCTAGAGGAGGAAAAGTCCAGCATGGACGATGACAACTTGAGCCTCGAGAGAACGATTGAAGATATGGAAGTAAAGCTGGATGCTCTGGAAGAGCAGAAGACATTGCTCGAGGCAGCAAACGATCTGAGCGCTGAACAGCTGACTCTCTTGGAGAAGCGAATGGGAGAGGCTGCAGCTGAAATCGCTCTAGTGTCCGATGAGAAAAATAAACTCATTGACTTTCAGCTGACGCTCAAAGAGAATGTGTCCAGCCTTCAGAATGAAAAGGTTGAGCTCGAGCGAACGCTGGAAGAAACTACCGCCCGGCTACGTGATCAATTTGATCAGGTGACGGCACAAGTTGAAACGCTACAGGTACAGCTAACGCAAAGCGTTGCTGACAGGGATGAGGTATCGAAAGCACTATCGGAGCTTCAAGAACATGCTCATGCGGAGAATGAAGCTAGCAAACAAGTGGCGGCAACGCTTGAGTCGCAAGTTGCAGAGAACAAGGTTTTGGAGAAAAAGGTAGGACTAATGAAGCAAATGGCGGAGAAGGCGTTGCTGTCTGTGAAGGCCAAAGAAGACGAGTTGGCCGAGGCGGTGTCGCGCGCGGCCAATTTAGTGGATGAGCGTGATTTGGCGAGGGTATCATTGAACGAAAAAGAGTCTGTGACGGAGGCGTTGCTGATTCAGCGTGATCAGTTGCAGCAGAAGGTAGAAAAGCTGACGAATTATTTGGAGAGCTGTCGGCATCAACTTTTGGAGGAGGCAAGTGCATCTGAGGTAAAGATCTCTGACCTGGAGAATGCTGAAGCAAAGTTGTCGGAGTCGTTGGAGTCACTTCGACAAGACTTGGCTGGGGCTGAGTCTTGTATTTTGACACTGGTCGAGGAGCGCGATGAAGCGAGAAAAGAGCTAGCTGCAAGAGACTTGACGATCGAAATGATGAAGACTGCACAAGGAGAACTTGATCTTGCGGTACAGAAGCTGGAGAATGAGCTAGGTGCTACGCGACGAACAGGCTTAGCGAAAGCTGAAGAAAAAGATCGGGTCATTAGCGATCTTGAAACGGCGAAAGAACAAGTAGAGAAAAAAGCCCAAGAGCTTCAAGACGCGCTGCTCCGGACGGAAGAGTCGCATCAATCGATTCGGGAACAGCTCATTGGATCTGAGCGTCGAATCGACGCGCTACAGAAAGAACGCGATGCCACCCGAACTTCGTTGGATGAAAAGGAGTCGACGCACGAGACGTTGAATGCACTCCAAGAGGACTTGCAGAAGACAGTACGTGCAATGGAGACGGAACTCACGGAGTTGCGAGCTTCAAGCTCGGGAGAGTTGTCAGCTGCGAACGAAACTATTGAGCGTCTTAAGATGGAGGGGACTGAGGCAGCAGAAGTGCTAGCTTCTCTTCGTCTGGAGCTAGCAGAAGCTGAAGCGTGTGTAATGGTTCTTGTTGACGAGCGTGATGCAGCTAAGAAAATACTGAGCAAGCGAGAGTTGACGCTTGAGGTTCTCAGTTGTGAGCATGGAGAGTTACAGCTGAAGAGCCAATCCGTGAAGACTGAGCTGGATGTTTTACGACAGAAAAGCGAAGCGGACGCTCGAGCTGCAGAAGAAGTTGTGCAAACTTTGAAAGTGGCATTGGAAACGACAGCTGGGTCATTGGAATCCGCTCAAAAGAAGTTGGCGGAGTCTGAATTGCATGTGGCTTCCCTGTCTGCCGAGTGTGATGCTGTCAGCACAGCGCTCAGCAAAATCGAAACGGAACATAGTTCTCTGGGTCTCCAAAAAAGGGAGCTAGAACATCGCATCGAAACTCTGGAGGCCACAATAACGACCCTGGAGACACAGCACGCAAGGACGTTGGAGACATTTGAAGAGACAATTTGTGGGCTAAGAACATCGGAAGTTGATTTAAAGAAATTGCTGGAGTCAGTCCAGAAGGAACTCTGCAGCTCTAGGTCCCGCTTACAGATTCTGACTGATGAGCGCGACTCCTTGAGAGATACGCTGACCCAAAAAGACGAAAAAGTAAGCAGCCTAGAGAGTCAATCTGAGCATCTCCAACTCCATGTCCAGTTGCTGGAGAGCGAGCTGCAGGAGCTGCGAAGTCAGCGCGAAACCGACGCTGTCACGGCAGAAGAAGAGATCCGAAGTCTGAAAGAGTCGAGAGCGCAGCTGACAGAGACGTTGGAAGCTGCCCGGCAGAAACTATCTGAGACCGACGCGCGTGCGGCGTATGCTGAAGTAGAGCGCGATGCCGCGCGCCAAGCTGTGAGCTCGGTGGAGGCGCAGCGTGAGGCTCAAAGAGTGGAGATGGAAGGCCTCCAGGAGCGCATCCAGTCGCTGGAGAGCGAGCTGCAGGAGCTGCAAAGTCAGCGCGAGGGCGACGCGTTTACGACAGAAGAGGAGATCCGAAGTCTGAAGGAGTCGAGAGCGCAGCTGGCAGAGACGCTGGAGACGACTCGGCAGAAGTTGTGCGAGACCGACGCCCGCGCTGAAGAAGAGCGCGATGCCGCGCGCCAAGCTGTGAGCTCGGTGGAGGCGCAGCGTGAGGCTCAAAGAGTGGAGATGGAAGGTCTCCAAGAGCGCATCCAGTCGCTGGAGAGCGAGCTGCAGGAGCTGCAAAGTCAGCGCGAGGGCGACGCGTTTACGACAGAAGAGGAGATCCGAAGTCTGAAGGAGTCGAGAGCGCAGCTGGCAGAGACGCTGGAGACGACTCGGCAGAAGTTGTGCGAGACCGACGCCCGCGCTGAAGAAGAGCGCGATGCCGCGCGCCAAGCTGTGAGCTCGGTGGAGGCGCAGCGTGAGGCTCAAAGAGTGGAGATGGAAGGTCTCCAGGAGCGCATCCAGTCGCTGGAGAGAGAGCTGCAGGAGCTGCAAAGTCAGCGCGAGGGCGACGCGTTTACGACAGAAGAGGAGATCCGAAGTCTGAAGGAGTCGAGAGCGCAGCTGGCAGAGACGCTGGAGACGACTCGGCAGAAGTTGTGCGAGACCGACGCCCGCGCTGAAGAAGAGCGCGATGCCGCGCGCCAAGCTGTGAGCTCGGTGGAGGCGCAGCGTGAGGCTCAAAGAGTGGAGATGGAAGGTCTCCAGGAGCGCATCCAGTCGCTGGAGAGCGAGCTGCAGGAGCTGCAAAGTCAGCGCGAGGGCGACGCGTTTACGACAGAAGAGGAGATCCGAAGTCTGAAGGAGTCGAGAGCGCAGCTGGCAGAGACGCTGGAGACGACTCGGCAGAAGTTGTGCGAGACCGACGCCCGCGCTGAAGAAGAGCGCGATGCCGCGCGCCAAGCTGTGAGCTCGGTGGAGGCGCAGCGTGAGGCTCAAAGAGTGGAGATGGAAGGTCTCCAGGAGCGCATCCAGTCGCTGGAGAGCGAGCTGCAGGAGCTGCAAAGTCAGCGCGAGGGCGACGCGTTTACGACAGAAGAGGAGATCCGAAGTCTGAAGGAGTCGAGAGCGCAGCTGGCAGAGACGCTGGAGACGACTCGGCAGAAGTTGTGCGAGACCGACGCCCGCGCTGAAGAAGAGCGCGATGCCGCGCGCCAAGCTGTGAGCTCGGTGGAGGCGCAGCGTGAGGCTCAAAGAGTGGAGATGGAAGGTCTCCAGGAGCGCATCCAGTCGCTGGAGAGCGAGCTGCAGGAGCTGCAAAGTCAGCGCGAGGGCGACGCGTTTACGACAGAAGAGGAGATCCGAAGTCTGAAGGAGTCGAGAGCGCAGCTGGCAGAGACGCTGGAGACGACTCGGCAGAAGTTGTGCGAGACCGACGCCCGCGCTGAAGAAGAGCGCGATGCCGCGCGCCAAGCTGTGAGCTCGGTGGAGGCGCAGCGTGAGGCTCAAAGAGTGGAGATGGAAGGTCTCCAGGAGCGCAATCCAGTCGCTGGAGAGCGAGCTGCAGGAGCTGCAAAGTCAGCGCGAGGGCGACGCGTTTACGACAGAAGAGGAGATCCGAAGTCTGAAGGAGTCGAGAGCGCAGCTGGCAGAGACGCTGGAGACGACTCGGCAGAAGTTGTGCGAGACCGACGCCCGCGCTGAAGAAGAGCGCGATGCCGCGCGCCAAGCTGTGAGCTCGGTGGAGGCGCAGCGTGAGGCTCAAAGAGTGGAGATGGAAGGTCTCCAGGAGCGCAATCCAGTCGCTGGAGAGCGAGCTGCAGGAGCTGCAAAGTCAGCGCGAGGGCGACGCGTTTACGACAGAAGAGGAGATCCGAAGTCTGAAGGAGTCGAGAGCGCAGCTGGCAGAGACGCTGGAGACGACTCGGCAGAAGTTGTGCGAGACCGACGCCCGCGCTGAAGAAGAGCGCGATGCCGCGCGCCAAGCTGTGAGCTCGGTGGAGGCGCAGCGTGAGGCTCAAAGAGTGGAGATGGAAGGTCTCCAGGAGCGCATCCAGTCGCTGGAGAGCGAGCTGCAGGAGCTGCAAAGTCAGCGCGAGGGCGACGCGTTTACGACAGAAGAGGAGATCCGAAGTCTGAAGGAGTCGAGAGCGCAGCTGGCAGAGACGCTGGAGACGACTCGGCAGAAGTTGTGCGAGACCGACGCCCGCGCTGAAGAAGAGCGCGATGCCGCGCGCCAAGCTGTGAGCTCGGTGGAGGCGCAGCGTGAGGCTCAAAGAGTGGAGATGGAAGGTCTCCAGGAGCGCATCCAGTCGCTGGAGAGCGAGCTGCAGGAGCTGCAAAGTCAGCGCGAGGGCGACGCGTTTACGACAGAAGAGGAGATCCGAAGTCTGAAGGAGTCGAGAGCGCAGCTGGCAGAGACGCTGGAGACGACTCGGCAGAAGTTGTGCGAGACCGACGCCCGCGCTGAAGAAGAGCGCGATGCCGCGCGCCAAGCTGTGAGCTCGGTGGAGGCGCAGCGTGAGGCTCAAAGAGTGGAGATGGAAGGTCTCCAGGAGCGCATCCAGTCGCTGGAGAGCGAGCTGCAGGAGCTGCAAAGTCAGCGCGAGGGCGACGCGTTTACGACAGAAGAGGAGATCCGAAGTCTGAAGGAGTCGAGAGCGCAGCTGGCAGAGACGCTGGAGACGACTCGGCAGAAGTTGTGCGAGACCGACGCCCGCGCTGAAGAAGAGCGCGATGCCGCGCGCCAAGCTGTGAGCTCGGTGGAGGCGCAGCGTGAGGCTCAAAGAGTGGAGATGGAAGGTCTCCAAGAGCGCATCCAGTCGCTGGAGAGCGAGCTGCAGGAGCTGCAAAGTCAGCGCGAGGGCGACGCGTTTACGACAGAAGAGGAGATCCGAAGTCTGAAAGAGTCGAGAGCGCAGCTGGCAGAGGCGCTGGAGACGATTCGGCAGGAATTGCATGCTGAAGATGCCCGTGTTGCGCGTTTTGAAGAAGAATGTAAAGTGATGCAGAGATCTGTACAACAGAAGGAAGCTCAGCTGGCGGAAGTTCAGGATGAGAAGGCCGACCTGATCGCAAAGATGCAAGTTCTTGATAGCCGTGTCTTTGAGTTGATGTCTGAGATGGAAGATCGGGGGCACAAGCTGTCGTATGAAACTGAGCGATTTGGAAGGCTTGAGAGTGAGCGGGCTCAGGTTGAGGCGCAGCTTCGTGATCAAGTGCGAATGGTCGAAGTGCGCTCAGCAAAAGAAATTGACTTGATGAAAGAAAAGATGACATCGCTGCTTGAGTCATCCAGCTCAGCCTTGGCGGATGCGAGCTCTCTTCGTGAACAAAAGATGAAAGAAGACGAAAAGTATGCTGCTGCTATTGCTCGAAAGGACGAGGTGATTATGACGTTGAAGAAGAAGCTTGAGGAAGTGATGGCGGCATACAAGCGGGTGAAAGGACGCCTGCAAGAGTTACAGGACACGTTAGCACAACGCACGGGTGTGACTGACAGTCTGAAGGCGTCGAACGATGAGCTGAAGACTCAGCTCTCGAGATCTTTGATGGAAATTGATGCGTTGAAGCGTGAGTTTGCTCTATTTCGCGAACAGTCGACCGCAGAGGTAGAAGAATTGCGCCAGGGAGGCGAAAGGTCCGCGGATTCCGAGGTACAATACAAAGCTGAAATCGACAAGTTAACAAAGCGTGTATCAGCATATGACGACGAGCTTGCTCAGATGGAAAGACAACACGATGTAGCGCTGCTGGCGGCTTCTGCTGCGAACCTGAAGGTCGCAGGGCTGCAGGAGTCGCTTGCAGTGCTAACTGGAACTGTTGAGCGGAAGGATAGCGAGATTCGAAGCATGGCCGAACGTACGCGGCATACTGAAGCGGAGATGGCTAAAGCTGAGAGTGTCTGTGATGGAATTGAGCGAAAACGTGAAGCCGAGCGGACCGAGCTCGAAGCACAGTTGTCTGTAGCGAATGAGACCATTGCAAATCTTCGTTCAGCTACAACCGCTAGCGTTGGTCTGCAAAACGAGTCCATCTCACAGCTTGAGTCGCAGATATCTGAACTTCAGCTGAAAGCCGAGGCCGAAAAGGGGGAAGCTGATGCTGCTCGTGCTGCGCTTGGAACGTACAGGAAACGTGCTCATACTGCACTGAAGAAGGCGTCCAGTGAGCACAAACAAAGTTTGAAAAAGGCTGCAGAGAGTATCATTGAGCTGGAAAACGAAGTAGTGACCGCGAAGGATCGAGTGAGCGTTTTGGAAGCAGAGTTGGTGGAAACGCGGAGACAGCTGGAGGAGGTCACGAGTGCTGGAGACGCAACTGCAAAGGACGCACTCGAGACCTTGAAGGCCGAAAAGCACGCTCAGGAGACTTCACTGCGGTTGGAAATTGACAGCCTGAAAGAGGAAGTGGTACGGTTGGAGGAAGCGCTCGAGAACGAAAAGGCACCTCTCCGGTCACAGATCAAGCAGCTCACAGAGCGCAATGAAGCTTTGGATCGCGAGATTGTCTCATACAGAGAGGAAGTCCGCATCAAAAACGAGTCTACGGAGCGGGCAGTTCTTGCAAAGAACGACGAGATCACTGACTTATCGAAGAAGCTGCATGCTGCGCTCGCTACCGCTGCTTCGATCGCTTCAAACGAAGCTGGTCGTCGCTCGTACTCTCCCACCTACTCGCCAACTGAAAAGGAGAGGCGATCGACGGCGTCATCATCGCGCTCGTTCGAATGCGAAGGGAATACGAACTATTTGTACCGAGCTGCGATCGAGGAGGAGCACGAATACATTGCTGCTGCATTCAACGGCTCGCAGTCAGTCCCATTTGCATCCAAGACAGCGATCGCTAATGGTGCGGAGCAGCACTTGGAGGTTTCAATGGTTGTTGACGACGAAGTTTTGAGGCTGGAACGTTTGCTGAAGGAGGTGCAGGCCAAGTCCCGTACCTTCCAGAAGAAGGTATGTCAAGCAGCTGCAATGGCATTGGTGTTTCCTATTGCTCTGAGCTGACCTATCGTGAATTGTGGGCGTGCTTTGCAGTACGAAGAGGCAGTTGTGCAACTGAGGGAGGCGAATCAAGTGCAGCAGCGTCTGCAAGAGCTGGATGAGCGAACGACCCAGGAGATCAACCTCGAGGTATGGTATACCAGTGTGCACCGTACTATCGATGTGTGGAACAAAGGGGTCTAACGATGACCGCCACCGAATTGCATTCATGTTACAGTACCTGAAGAATGTCATCATCAAGTACATCGGCAGCCAAGTCCCGAGCGAGAAAGAGCAGTTGGTGCCCGTCATTGCCACGCTGCTCAGCTTTAGCCCGCAAGAGCACCATCAAGTGAGGGCGGCACACAGTAGAGCGAATGAGGAGGGCACGGGTTTGTTTGGCGGCGTCCTGTCCCTCTTCGGAGGTGGCGGAGCATCTGCACCACCTCCGAAGCCACTGGCAGCTCTGCAGCATGTCAAGCCTTCCCCTCGAACTGCGAAGGGCAAGGCAACGGGTGTTGCACTCGGCAGCAAGGACAGGAATGGTGTTCTTTTGTTTGACAGCGACCCCAGCGACGACGAGGAGGCGGCGACTCGTTTGAACCCGTTCACGGCCTAGTCCGTGTCACGCGTTCTGGATTAGAGATCCATAATCATGGATGTATCATGTTAGTGACGTGAGAAATAGTAGTGCGCTTTCGACAAGCGCCATTTAGATGGAAGAGCGGAGAGTGTAAAGTGTGTATACTGACTGACCGTGTCGACATGATTTGCCACTCGAGAATGCGTGCCCCATGTGAGACTCGCTGTCTCATCAGCTTATTTGCAGTCTACCTGTGTCTGACCTTATTACTTTCTAGAGTCAGTAGTGGTTGGCTTTTTGTGCCGCGCTAGGACTCAGAATTGCGTCGCAGATCCCGTCGTCAATGTTTGGTCTTTTGTGACAATGTCAACAAGTAAAGCGGCAGGAAATTGTGCTTTGTATATGATGCAAGTCCCGTGTTCGGCTGTCAAGAAAGATCATAATAAGCTCGAAGCATTCACGTGTTCTCCAGAAAAGCGCCAAGATCGCAGGGACAGAGCCATTGCGTACGTGACGTGTGCCAACGTGAGCAAAAACGCGAGTTGTCGATCGATCACAGTAGAGCTGCAAAAAGTGCTTCTGGTCGATGCTCTCGTGTCGAGCGAGGACGAAAAGTAACAGAACGCAAAGAAAGGCGGCACGCAGCAGCGATGGCCTCGGCGACAATCGGCAACGGACGTGCTCCTGTTACTTCAGCCTCGACCACGTTGTCGGAAGAGTGTACCGCCACATACCACTTCGCCATCGCCTCATGGCGGCTACAAAAGATACAGGAGGTATTGTGGCTCTAGCGATGCGCTGACAGTCCCACTTCAAGTGACGTCGTCATCTCTGTGGAACCTCAACGTGTACCCGACGCCTCGCAATACAAAGGCGCACTGTGCTGGTGTACTGTATTCACACGCGCGCACGCACGTATACACACCGCCATCCCCAACAACTCACTCGCTCACAACGAAAAGGTCACACGCACACGCAACGGCACACACCCACACAGTGTCTCCACATTTCAACGAGTATACTGTTTTCTTGTACTAAATATACACCACCGACTCGGGTCCTTTTTCCTTCCTCTTAAAATAACCCCTCGACCGCTCCCAGTCAGTCAATCGCCCACCCCCATCGTCGGCATCTTTCTCTGCGTCTTCTGCTTCTTCTTCTCCTCTGCTTCACAAAGGTCTCGTCGCCCGCCGCTTCACTTGAACAGCGTCGGGTGGCTCAGGTTCATGCTGCGGCGTCGTCGCAAGTGCAGCAGCTGGTCGTCGTTCCGCGCGAGGATCTGCTTCACACTGCTAATGTACTCCTGGCACGGGCCCGGCAGGTCCTGTCCGCCGCGCGTCTTGGCCAACATCAGACACTCCGAGTGGCTGCGGCGTCGACGGTGCGGCTCCTCCTCATAGTGCGCCGACGACGAGCGCGTCGGTCGCGGGCCCAGCACGGGACTGACGGGCGGACTTGTGGCCGCGTCGGCGGGCTGTGCCTCGCGGCTCTGCGGCGGCGACGGCGGCGCGTCTTTCAGCGTCGAGCTCTGGAGCATCTCACTCGTGTGGGACAGTCGACGGGCAAATTCCATACTTTTGGTGGATGTTCTCGAATCTTTTTTGGAAAAAAAGGGAAACGAAAAGGCGGATGCGCGTGAAAGAGAGCACTAGGGCTGGGGCAGCGCTGTTGAGGGGGGGAAACTGCGCGGTTCGGTGCTAGCGCGCAAATTCGCAAATGAGCTCTGGCGGTGGTGGCCGAGTAAGTGTTTGTTTGTTTGAGGATCAGTCTGATTCGTAAGAGGGATGAAAAGAGTGAGAGAGAGAGAGAGAGGGGCGCTTGTCCCTGTCAGAAACGATGCGGTGGTCGTTATCAGGTTCGAGCAGGAGACATCTGATTGGAAAGGGAACCACATGCGGCACGGTGAGTGGCTGAAAACACCGATTGAACTTGTTATTTGCCAGATGATCCGGCCGCGACAGGCGCTTCCTTTTCGACATTCTCGCAGACGAGACACGTGCTTTGCTGGCCAAGTTTTGGACGATCGCTTTCTGCGGGGGCGACGGTCAGCGAGAGGCAATTCGGGCCATTGCCAGTCCGTGCGCTTTTGTATCATACGGATGAGGCTGATGCGGATTATTAAGATGGGGATCGTGCGAATAATACTCGAATCAGGAGGATTAGGGGACGTATTCTTCTTCTTCTTATTATTATTGTTGTTGTTGATGTTGTTGTTGTTGTTGTTGTCGCTGTTGTTGTCGCTGTTGTTCTGGCAGTAGAGAAAAACAAGAACGTATGCTCATCTACGACGTCTCGCACAGCACAGTACACACTGCGAGTAGGGCAGGGAGGGCAAAGCTCGTTGGACGACCTCGTCGTCTGTTTTGCTCGGTCGAGACGGCTGTCGGGTGCATAGAAAGCGACCAATTGAAAAAGAAGAAGTGCATCGGTTGGCGACAGCCACAACACATGACGACTGTTTACGGTCGTCACGGCCGATGGGCAAACGCACTGCGCCTCTATGGGTCGACTGACTCACATGGAGGCGCTCGCTTCGTATTCCCCCCCCGATCGGCTGAGCTTCCATGGAAACGAGAAAAAGTCCGAGAACGCCATCTCCAGTCTGCTAAGCTTTCGAGCCGGTGCCGTCGAGCAGTAGCAAAGCAGCCGCCGAAACAAGAGCTCGTGTGCGCAGCTACCGTGCAGCCCCAGTGTCCTCCCGACTCGCTTTGCAACGTGTTTCTTTCTCCTCGCGTACCAGTCGGCCAAACGAGACGGCAGCTTTTTTTTTTTAATCTCGTACGATCCTCGCGACGCAGGAAAAGCTGGTGATCGATACAGTGGTCGATCGAGATCGATCGCCACCTGGTTTTGTTCCAACGGATACGACGCTACCGTTGACGTTAGGGGCTTTTTGTGGCGCGTGTGTGTGTGTGAGTGTTGTTGTGTGAGCTTTTTTTTTAACTTTCGGTTCGTATGATTGGCGGTCTGTAACTTCAACAAAAGGCGCAGGGAACGGACGGATCGCACCGCGACGTCGCTGCCGCTTCGTTTGACGAGCGTCGGGCGAGCGGACCAACAGACTGACGCGACCGATCGCTGTCGAAAGGGACTTTCACGGGGGAAACGCGCGGGCGAAAAGAGGGCGGAGAACGAAGTGCGGGTCGCCGTATCCGGAGGCGATGACGATTCGCTCCGTTCGTTCCAATGTCAATCAGGAGCGGCGACGCTGTCGCTTTGGCGGCGCATGTGCGGCTTTTGCTTCCTACACCAAACGCCTTTCGTTGCTGCCCGTTGCGACACTGTCTCGACGTCGGACTGGGCTCGAAATGCCTGTAGAGGAACTCTACTGCAATGGCACTTACTGTACTGCTTTGCTGGCTGCTTTGTGCTTTGAGTTGCACAGTTGAGGATCGAGGAAAAGCGTTCCCGGATGCCGCAAAGCGAGCGGCGATCTTTGGACTGATGCCAGGGAACAGTGGTCGAAAACGCCGACAGCCGCAGTCTGTGGGTGGGTCGTGCGCTACGACTGTGCAGTCTTGCCACGGTTTGCCGCTTCTTGTACGCAGCATCTGCTCGTCCGCCGCTAGTGCCTCCCCACTGTCGTGTTGCAAGCGTTTGATCGTCTATATCTTCCACTTGTTCGCTCGTGATTGACTGCCACGAACCTGAAGCGCATTCTTTGCGAAGAACGTTCCGTGTCCTGCCACGCACGCACTTGCACGATCAGTTGCTGCACCTTCGTATCGACTCGTGGTGGAATGCTGCTGCTGTTGATGGGACGCCACGAAATCGTCACTCGGAAGCATCGTATCGACAGGGCCCTATCGTGCGGGGTGGTCGGCAACTGGACTGAGTGCACGGCAGCTCTGGATTTGCTGCCCTGACGAGCGAGCAGCAGGGGCGGAGTCCAGCAGCGCAACTCTCTTGTGTTGGCTATGGCGCAAAGCACGTGAACGTGATTTCGGGATCCCACAAACGCCTAAACTTCCGCAAGGATTAGTATATCCGGTGGCTGAGAACGGATCCGAGATTAGCATGGATTTCCACTGCGTGGGACCCGCTCGTAAGCCAAACGTCTGGAGCTCTGTCCTTCACTTCGCTCGCGCTCGTGCCACAATGCGACGCAACGGTCCCAATTGAGTACATCGATCGGACTTGCATTCCTTCGCTCTCGTATCCACTAGTTTGTAACAAGTCCGTCTGATTCACGCCCGCGTTTACCATGCAACGCCCAGTACAGGACCAGAGACAGATAGACAGACAGACAGATAGACAGACAGCGGTTGTGGCTACCTGTCAGGTGACGTTGTCGTAAGTCTGCCCCTGTTTTCCCGCACTGAATGAAGCCACGTTGGATATGATACGCGTCCGCATCGTTCGTTGAGTCAGGTGACACGCACTCGACTGGTCTGAGCCGTGGTACTTGCACCGAAGCGATGCATCTGTTGGCTATCTTGCTTGGAGTCGCAGGTGAAGTGAGAGGCATTGATGGGTAAGAGGCACTAGCGCAAGTTCAGCTTTGCCTGACAAGGAGCTTCAGGAGCACAAGAACTGAACCAATATGGTCATCGCTGGCATTGTGTAAACGAACGCCCATGTCGTATTCCACGTGACCAGTTGTGTGGGTTGATGCCTCAGCCGTTTACGCTTTGTCGGCTTTTGCTCCTTGCGTCGCATCAACGCTTCATGCGTTGGTCTGCAGCTTTTCCGTCGCAAGGAGTGTCGTTCCCTTCTCATCAACAACGTCTCGACCGTTTTCTCCATTTGCTGATCACACAGTTGGGAACAGACACAGTCTGTAAAAACCCACTTCTTCTGCTGCATCCAAAGCGCCGTGTCAAACAGGTGAGCTTGAAGTTTTGATCCGTCTTATGCAACACACGAGACACATGAGCGAAGCGCGTGTTGACACAAACCGTCTGCGACGATCGATACAAATGTCGCACTTCTCCGAGGCCGTTCGGGCTGCCCGTTGATCGATCTTATCATGATTCTTAGTCGAGATACATATGCATTGTGTCTCAATCAGCTCTGGGCATGTGCGGAGACACAAAGCGATAGAGGCTGCGAGCGAGTCCGTTCATAAGCTGAAGGTTCTCAACTGTCGCGCAGTGTTTAGCTGAGAGACGCGACATCTGAGACTGCATCACGTGTTGAAGCTGTGGCTACAAAAAGAGCTGTAGATACCACCACCCTTGTCGGACGAACCTTCAACATGAACAAGTCCGTTCCGACAAGTCCGTTTCGCCTCCCATTGGGTTAACAAACAACAACCAGGCTTCCACCATCGATCGCACGAAAGCATACGAACGAAAGAAGTACAGCCCCATTCGATCGTCTTGTTATCGTTGAGCAAGTCGGGCATCGACTCTTGGTGATAAACATGTGGCTGATTGACAACGCTTCGTGAGATGCGTCTCTGGCCTCGTGGCCTCATTGTGACTGCTTCCTGAGGTGATTGTTTTCAGCAAACTTAGTATGGCACGATAAAACGTCGGTCAGAATCGCCATGACATTCTGTGCGGTGACTAGCGCTGGACATCATATACGTAAAAACTACTCGGCAACCTGTCGACGATCGGGGTCGAGTTATGTACTAGAACAACAACTCATCGTGCATTCCGCATAGAGTTCTAACAGCCTGTAGCTTGTTCATCTCGATCGATGTTGACGATAGGCTCGTCTTCAAGTACAAAGCCTTTTCGGTACCCGATTCTGCTCACTAGCCACCTCCGCTAGTCGTCCCCCACTGTTCTATCCGAACGTCATCCATTATGCTCTGCGTATGTCAATGTGTCGTGTATAGCCGCCAATCCTGACAAGCAAAGTCATTCCTACGAAAAGATCCTTGAGCTGTTTGTCCAGGTCTGGAGCATGGGATGCAATCATACACTCTTGGTACCGATTCTGTGATGGACTGGTCAAGTAATACTTGCAGCTCAAACGCGCTGCTGTGACACAACAACAAGGCATTGGTGCGTGTGATCATTCGGAACAAATCGCACATCAACTGCAAACCAGTCATCCACAACTTCTGTGAGGAATCCGCCACAACGATGTAATGCTGTCATTGCTGTACTGCACTATTCTCAAAGCGGACCTCATCTGGGACTCGGGAACTTATCGTACCCGACTTTTTCGTTGCAATACGTCCGAGCGCATGCACCCATGAGACGGCAATATCTTCACCTCACCAAGTCCACTTCGTTCAAGCTGTCGCGGGTCATTATACGATGGCTATAGCCGGTGATGACGAGCCAGACGAGGCTATGGGAATTATCAGCTTTTGGTAGAGATCGAGCAGTGTGTACGTCTCGATCCAAGCTCCGCAACAGTCCGGGAGATATTGCACGCCAGAACCACAAGAGCTGACGCAACTTTGATATCCTTGACTCTTCTGCAGCTGCCACGCCTGTGCAACATGGAGCAATGCCAGTCTGACCGCTAGAACGTGCTTAATCAACGTATCATTAGCTGAGTTCCGCGCTTTGCAACATAATAAAGTGTCTACGCGCTGCGTTGACAGGCTCACAGTGAGCTGTGATGCACGTGCCTTCCATATCCTTGACCTTCCTGTGTCTTTTTTTCATCACGCTGTTGCCATTAGCTGCCATTGGTAGCTACACAAGGCTACAGCGCTTCCACCTGCTCGTGTTTGCATTCATTTTTCATCGAAGCTGAAGTCGCGAGCTGTACTTGCAAACATTTTCACCCGAATCTTCCTCCGTTGGGTGTTCGTGCAGGTTCCAGCTTTGTTTGGCGAACATGGTCGTCCATCATCGATAATGACCCGCTTTCGTGTTCATTACGATGTCCCGAAGTCTTCATAACGTAAGCGACAACGAGGCTGCGCTAGCTGGATGTACCAGACGTCCGTGATGAGGCGATGCATGTTCGTGTTTGCAGCGCAATTGTCGTTTGATCCACGCTATCCCCACAACGCATCATCCACAGCGGATTCTCATAACAATTACGTATCACTATAACGATGCTGTTGTAAGACTGCGAAGCCGCTCGTCTGATGACGCATGGCACTGCTGAGCAACACGCGCGATTGCAGCCAGGAGGTCTGCAACTGCTTGTGCCATATCAATTCCGTACGAATCCGTTTGCCGACCCGGAGTTTGACAATAGCTTTCGTCTACCGCAATCTCACGGAAGGCGGAATCAGAGAACCGATATTCACTCAGCTTTGTCCACGGCGATATCTCAACGCTGGGAGCAAACAACGCACGTGCGACAGCAGACGTCGTCTTCGATAGCGCCATGTATATTGCCTGCAGATAAGAGAGCACAACCTCAACCAAGTCAATCAACTCCAACATCGGCCGGTATTGATTGAACGCAACGGCTTCGCACACGATGCCGCACAGTTCGACCACTAACACGCAGCTGCAATTTGACAAAGTCACACCAACGAGAATTAGCGAACTCAAACAATGGCAGAACTTGTCTAGCAATAGGCGCACCTGATAGTGCTGTTGACGGCAGGTACGAGCTTGATGAGGCACGCAACCATCCATTCCAAGCATGGCTGGACCTCGCTTAGATGGAAATCGTGAGTTGTAGAACTACTCTCATTGCACCCAGCTTGGTCAGCTCGAGGGTTGTTCATGTTCAAATTGGCATGATTCAGGACGCCCCGTACGAACTGGCACAGAGGTACCATCGTTTCCAACAAGGATGTTACGCCTTCTTGTAGCACAAAGACGACCGTTTCCCTCACGTAGTCATTCAGAACAAGTTTTCGAAGCTGCTGGAGGCGGACACGCGACATCGGTGAAGGTTCAGCTCGAGAATGCTCGAATGATCTCGTGCATCGACAATCAAACAAGCCACACGATAGATAAAACGCTTCACGGCGGACTGTCCTCACATCAGGACTCAGGTCGCTAGACACACCATAGTAACTGTGGATTCCGAGAGGTCCATCTCGGTCCAAAACGTTCATCAACAACGTTCTCAACGGAGATCGCTGCCACCCGCCTTTGCAAGTTTGGTAGATGTCCGAGGTCTGCATAACGTGTTTTCAGTACTCAAACTTTTCCCACCTCATCGAAAGTGCAGAAACATAGCGTACCTGTGCAAACCAATGCAACAAGCTCGGATACTTCTGTCGTGCAAAAAACAACTGAACACTGTCAACGAACCTAACAGCAGGTGGACAGAAACCTTTGCGGAGATCGTCGTTGGCGTCGCGCAACACATTTCGCTGGCCGAAAAGTCGTTGATCCTCCAGTCGCTTTATTGCTTGCGGGTACTCAGCGTTGTTCGCTTGACGGAAAAGCAACTCCATCGCGTCGAAAAAAAGATTCGTGTCTCCGATCGCCATGTCACCACAGTAGAACAAAAATGCATCCATGCACTGGTACGTGAAGCGAAACATTGTCGTCAGCCCCGTTAGCCTCTCGTCGGCTGACTTCATCGTGTCGTCCATTTCGTGGTACGAACGTCCATCGCTAGTTCCCACGCCAGTCTGACGAAGAAACAACTCGGCAAACGAATGCCAGTTGTGATTCATCTGGTCAATCTGACCACAGACGCGCCGAAAATTTATCTTATATGCCCTGTACCAAGTTAGACAGACACACAAGCGCAAGACGGCCAAAGTGAGTGTAGGGTAAGGCTAGATCAGATGACGCCGACTTCGGCATCAGCACTCACTCGAGAAACGACACGAAGATTCCAGACTGAGGGTTCACCATCTTTGCACGAAACTTGTTCAGCTCATCCCAGTTTTTTGCAGGCGCAGCAACGTACGAACGCCATGTCGTGCCGGCACTTCGACAAAATAACTGGAAAACGTCCAGATGAAGATCGTACAACGTCGACACGTCGTGAAGTCTACCGTCGTTCGCAGATACTTCTCTCGGAAACTTGCACGTGGATGCTACATCACGCAGTATCTGCAGTAGCTGTCGATCCACATTGCACAGCCCGACTGGCTGTTTGCGGAGCAGTTGATAGATAATTGCATCCGTCAGCATGACCCAGGAGTCAGAATATCTGATGCTAGGTAACGAAGTCGAAGCTGTTGTTGTTACCAAAGACAGCGTTGAGTCTCTTATCGAGAACGGCGCATCACCCACCTCGAAAGGAATTGGTTCAGAATTCAGTGAACGAACATCCAACGTTCCCAAAAGCCACGCCATAATGAGTTCGTGATCGGCTCCACTTTGCCTCAAGAAGACCCGGCCAAGCCATTCCTTCTCCGAGTTGTACTTCAAAGCAGCACTTAACACGCGTGATGCAAGATTTCGGGTCTTCATTACCGTAGACGTTACATTGCTCCAAAAGAATTGCGTCTCGCACGTAGAAACCATCATACCCAACAACTCAACCGCATACAATTCGTCACACGCTGGAGCGTCACTTGGAGGGTAGCTGAGTACGAGCTGCTGCAACACTCCTCGCAAATTGTTCGTGATCAGCTGAATCACTCTCTTCTTGCACTCCTTCACTGTCCATGCTGGGGCAGGAGCAGCAGTATATCCAGCGATCGCTCCGTCCAAGTCAAAGGCCGCGAATGCCTCGTCATTGAAATCATCGAACTCGTATGTCAGACATCGTTTGGGCTTATCCGGTTCACGCGGAAGCACGAGGTGGATAATCTCCATCACGGTCTTCAAATCATTGATGGCGACGGCCTTCTGAAGAACACCCTGCAGACACGCTTCTATACCTGAGCTAAAAATATGCTCGAGACTCTTCTCAACTGCAAGTCCGTACGCAGGTCCAACTCTGACGTCGGATACAGGTGTCTCCAATACCTTCTTGACCAGGTCACGCATTTGGTAGAGCGGTGACATGGCAGCACCTATGAGCATGCACCACAGTGTCAGTCAGCTGGACATCCTTTCGTTGTTCGAAATGAAACCTACGCTGAAATCGTCGGCGACTGCGACTCAGGCCATGTGCGTCAGCAGCGTTCATACAAATACCTGCTGACCCTTTTGGAACAACAGATGAGGGGCTTGCTTGCAGGCTTTTCATCGAAGACTCGAGCCTGTCATTGAGACCTCGAAATACTGCGAAAAACTCGGTCGAGTTCTTTTCCAAAAGGAGGGCACCCAGTACATAGAGCGCTTGACTTGCGAGCACTTCACGATCAGGTGCATTTGACGTCCGACGGATGATCTCCTTGCAGTAAAAGTCGACCTCCCGTTCCATGTATCGGACATCCTTATCCACCCGCTGAACTGCAAACTGCTGTTGATCACCACACTCCGCACAGACTCCAACAACAGCAAACGTGAGCAGTACTGCAGTGCTCATCCGTTCCTACGTAGAAGAGGTAACACGCAAAACAAACGAGTCGATAAGAAAGGAACAGAGAACGTACAAGGCAGACAAAGTATCACCTTTTCAACTTCGAAACCTGCTGGAGTTTGCGATGGAGATACCATCGGTCGAGTCGCTGGGTGGACATCAGCAGACGTGCGCTGTCCCGGACGACCCCATTTCCACTCTTGCCCTGGTCTATCCAGCTCGGTTTGTTTGGCTGCTTCAGGCTGTGCTATCCCCCGCCGCTGGTCATGGCTGTCCGCAGTATCGGATATTGCGTTCAAGACCGAGCGCTGAAAGCGACTGCGATGAACGCGCTTTTCAAGTTTCAACAGCTGTATCTGTGAGATAGCAACATTATCGCGTTCAATTGCCAAAGAGCGTTACACGACAGCCAATAGACTAATGGAATGTACATACCCAAATGATTTTGCACAGCATTGCTGCTTGGTCTTCATCATCGTAGCTGGCCTCTCCAGCAAACGCAGCCAGCTTCGGTCGTGAGTTTCCAAGATCCTTGCAACGAGTGATGAACAGCTTCAGAAACATCGGCAGCTCGACAACGTCCTCCGAGTTGCGTGGTACAGCAAGATCCCTCCATAGCAAGCGCAGAATAGTTTCAACGACATCTGTCGACAAGAAACAGATTCTCAGCAGCGCGCACACAATGTATCTCACAAACTATCGAACCTTTGCATGGATACCATAGCTTCGACAACAAAGTGATGCGCTGCAATATGTGCTGCTTGTGAACATCTGTCAACAATGATTAGCCTCTCGACAGGCCAAAAACGACGTGATGTACCTACCGGCGTGCTGTCGATAATCCGATTGCAACTTGAGCCATTGACTATGAGATAGGTCAAACGGGAGGAAGTCTCGTTTGTTCGGGTGAAGAAGGTCTTTCACAAGAGCCCACTTTGCGTCACACCTGCTCTTTACATTTGTTAGTTTGTCCAATCAGCATGGCGTGACGTAAGACTACTTACACTGCCTCTTCGTGTCCGTTATCGTCAACGTCGATAGACATTTGTGTCAAAACAATAAGCAAGTTCCAAGTCGCGTCGAGTGCCAGCAGCTGGCTTTCAAAAACCTCGTCACAATGTTCAGCGGTATCGCCATCGGCAGCTTTTGGCGCGTCGTTTCGTAAATACCCTCCACAAGATTCGCCGCGGACGAAACAACGAGCTAGCTCGTCAAAATATCGTTGCCGGTACACTGCTTGCAGCAGAGCCCAGAAGCGCTTCTCTCTTGTCACCGAAGAGGTTTGACGGGACTGGTCCAGGCCGATCGAACTTGTACAGCAAGTACGGACTAACACCCACAGCGACAGAGCTGGAAATTGGCCACACGATAACCGATTGTTCCCTCTAGCCGTCACACGGTGAGACGACGGAAAATACACATACAAGTCAAACAGGAAGAGCACGATGGCCAAGATGACTCGGTTGACAGGCAATGCCTTCGCCAGAATGTCGTCGACCTCTTGCTTCGTTGTCGTGCCTAGTCCGACTAGCGCTCCACACTTAGATTGGATGGCCACCAGCAGCTTTAGACAATACCAATACGTCCGTGAGATTGCGGTCAAAAGCGGCGTTGATGTTGCATTTCTCGAAGTTACCTCGAGAAAGAAGAAATAGGTTTTGCACCCATTGAACAAGGAATCACAGTCGGGAAGCTGTCGAATCAACGTTGCAATTCCACCCAAGGCTGTTGTAAGGTAGTTTGGCAAGTCCGACGGATCGATTGTATCCATACCCGCCAATACCTGGACAGCAAATTTTGCAATTGCCGAGTGATATGCTTCTTCAAGCGAGATCAACGAATGCCATTCTGGTGTTTGTGCATAGCCCTCTTCCCGAACGTCCACCCCATCCGTCGATAAGGTGTCCATAAAACTGTTTTCTCGCAGCCGGAGGTCATTCACAATTTGACGAAGACAAGCTGCTTGAAGCGAAACAATGCCACACACGCTATCACGGTCCTCAAGTTCATATTCTTCATCGCACAGTGTGTGATGAAGACTTGGAGAGCCACAAATGTCATGACCAAATGCTAGTAGCGCTTCTTGCTCTTGACGCGACATAGCAGCAGCCGTGTCCCTGTCGATCGGTGCGATCACATCGCTCGACACGACCTCAAACACGGCGTCCCAGTTTATCGGTAGCTGCTCTGTATCACTCGAATACACAACCGACTTCTCCGATCCAGCTGTCCGCAAAGTCCTTTCTTGTTGAACACCACCGAGGGAGAGACCTGCGGGGATTGCAGGCTGGCTCATCCTGCCCGTCTGCTGAAAAGAAAACAACGACTCGCGCGGTCGATGCAGCAATGATGGCCGCGAGCGGAAGCGTTCGTTGCGAAGGCGCATTCTTTGTGCTTGAGTAGACATACTGTCGCCATGGCGCGATGCACTGGTGGAACGTCTTTTATGGACCTTGTTTCCACGAGCCAAACCGATCGATGACGCAGCGATTCGCGGCATAGTGCCACTCTCAGCAAAACGTTGCTTCTTGCGTGCCATTTTGAGCCAGTTCCAGCGAGGATCGGTCGGGCTTTTTATCCTTTGTCGGCCGACAACTCGAAGATTCGACCAGAGGCCAGCACTTGATTCTTGCCGCGAGAAATAGTCAGTCATAGTCGATCGTTTTGTCACGTTGTTCCGATGACGAGGTGTTGCAGTCCGACAAGGGTTTGGTCGACGCAATTTCGGTCGCAGCATGCGTGCAAAGCCACCACCTACTTGCTCCATATCGTCGTGGCTGTTTGACTCGCCATCAGAAGAGAACTTCAGCTCATCGCTCCTGGGCACCAATGTCTCCGCGTTTGTCACCTCAGCTGCAGTATCGGTAGCGTCATGTCCATAAGAGTAGCTGGACCCACTACTGTCTGACAGAGACATGGCCAAATCTTCATCCTCGTCTTCAACTCCTCCTCCCCACGTTGCAAGCGCATTTTCCACGGCATTCTCAACCCTTCGTACCCATGAAGAACACTCATTCAACTTGCATTGCCAGACGTCATAATCGCACTCGAAACGCTCCAGGGCACTAGGCTGGAACAACCATGCGCATCGTAAGTGATTATTATATTGCAGCGATACACACACGTAACATTATGCGCAGCTTACCGGCGACCCGCACTTTGCATGAAGACTACCTATAATCGTATTCATCACATCCTCACCTGCATTGACCAGTGTCTTTGTCACGTATTTCCGCAAATCGCAAACCTTGGCCACACATCATACACGGTGAGAAGTTTGCTTTCCACGCCAAGAAAAAGAGAGAAGTAACGTGGCGCACCTTATTGCGCAAAGACCGAAGAGCATCCAACGGCATATCTACTAATTCTTTGACCCGCTCGTTCACCGTGCTCTGTTCGTCGTGAAAGCTAGCCATATTTTTTTGCTGCTGCGCAAATATGCCTTCGAGTTGATTCATCAAGCCCTTCTTCGTGCTTGCTAGCTTCAGTCCAGTTTCCCGAATGACGTCGTCCGGAAGATCAGCTGGGTCGCCTTCCGGCTGAATGAACAAGGCATCCGCATCTTCTCCGTGCTTCTCATATCCACCAACGTAACGCCGGCGCCTTGTTTTTGACTCGTGCCGGTGCACAATTTCTTCACGACCGACTTGTTTGATCCTTGTATCGACCAGTGCTTCGCTACGAGTTACGTCTGTAGACGGCACAAGTTCAGGTCGATCCGGACCTTCATTTCGGTCACCACTCACACCGCCATCATCACTGCTCTCTTCACCACTGCTGTCCACAACACGGTGTCGTCGTCGTGTCGATTGCCTTACGATCAAGCTCGATGCTGCAGCAAGTGTTCCTTGATACTCTGGTTCTTCACCATCACTAAGTAGAGGAATTGACGCTCTTGGCGGCTTGTTTGTGCTCTCCAGCAGCACAAACATCGCCTCGTCAATCTTGGCAACTTTCCGGCGTTTCTCAACTGCTTCCCCCCGATATGGCTGTTGTTGCCGCTTGTCCGTTCGAGTCAAAAGCTCTCGTTTCCTCGAGTGCCCTATTTGTCGTTCAGTGCGACTCGTTGTTGTGCGTTTGCCCCGTTCGGCCTCTCGCTGTTTCCTCTCATGCGGTTTATTGATAAAGTTATCTACACATCGTCATCAAAGGAACAACAAAGTCTTAGCTCCACAAACAGGACCAAGACATACCATCAAGCACCGACATGTCATCCATCATCACGAGCACGTGTTCTGGACAAAAGCACTTTTTGTCGACAAATACCGTTTTTTTTTACCGTACCATGATAATAATCGCGATCCACTTTTTCCCGGTTCGAGTGCTGGTACAAAAGCTCGGACGAGTGAACCCATTTGCTCTCAACGTGACGCTCAAAGCCGCCCAAGACGTACCGCACGTCATAGAACACAGCCTCTGGCTCGCTTTCTCTGTACACACGGACGATCCAGCCAGCGCCTCCCAGTTTGTTGATACCGGGCCACGTCCGCGAGTCCACTTCGACTAATGTCTTGACCGCCAGCACGTTCTTGTCGTCTTTGTCCAGTCGATCATCTGCATCGTGTGTGTAGCGTAGCTCTTTGTCGGTGACTACCGGGGCGTCAGTGTGCTCGGTACCTGTTGTACCTGTTTCTTGCAACTGCTCTCCAACTGTTTGACTGGCAACTTGATGACACTGCTCTCTAACTGTCATACCAGCGGCCCTTTGCTCTTGCTTCGACGCACCGGCTTCGACCTCTGTAGAACTTGCAGCGGACTCGATGCTTGGAAGAGTGCAGTGGTAGTGGTCTTCGGCTAGCGCTAGCGCTTCGAGCATCTTCTGCTCTTCGTCGTCTGACTCTGCCACAAAGTCCGTGGCCTGCATGTCTTGGCGTTTTGCTCGCTAACTGTTGGACTGGCGCAAGAGTGATGGTCGGCGAGACGACGCCGCGACTACCGGTAGAAACCCATGACAACCAGGACAGGAACCTAAATCAGTGAGACTTTGGTGCCCACGACAAGTGCGGAGAAAAAAGTGTTGGCTCAAGTGACCAAAATAGGTCCGATGCAGTACAAAAAGACCGCTGAGTGCGACTGTAACCCGCATCTGGTTCCAAGTTCATGGAAAGACGTGTCGACTTGGACATCCGCAATGTGTTCGATGTCAAGTTGGACCACTCGACTTGGATTCAAGCTCACTACTATTATGTTTCAATCCAACGCGTGCACTGATTACCACATAGAGAAATCACGCGTTTGGATGTAACTATTCCTGGAAGCTGCTCGACAGTCCGCAGTGCATGCAAGACGGCAACTTTCATCCATCTTCGTGAGGACGTTTAGGCTTAGAAAAAGGCGTGTATCGCTGTTTCGAGCTCATCATTCGTGCGTGAGTCAATTGTACTGCACACCACTGTCAATGCCACGCAGTCCGTCACACGTTCATTGCAAAATGTCGATGATAAGAGGTATCGTGGAAAGTGAACTACTGTCACTCAACTGTCGATCATCACGCGATGAGCTCAACAGAATCGATGAACACGTTTATGTGGTTACGAGAAACGGAATTGAAAACACGAAGAATGTGGATCGTCGAGATTACGGCTGTGGTCCGTTCAGTTGCATTCTTTCAAGCTGAAGTGCCCCAACGGTAGACCACAACAAACTCTGGTCATGATGAATGCAGATGCGCAGCTTGAAGACCTCTTGCAAGCCAATGGAGAGAGCCATCTCTATGACCAAATCATCCAACTTGGCCACCCGCCCGTAACAATCTGGTGGCAAGCCATTGACGGATTCATTCGAGCGATCGAAACTGCTCGAGCTGAAGCAGAGGCACCAGGAGGAGAGACGTTGCCACCTGACCCACTAGATTTGCCTGTTGTGGTGACGGTGCAGAAGTTCAAGGAAGCTGTGCTTGACTATATCAAGCCCCATGACAACGCACACCCGTTGGGCACATCGTGTCTGTTGTGTTCCCTGCCGGAGACGGTAACGGTGGGCTACAAACTGTGTGCTCTCGACAACGACCCCTGGGTTATCCGCATTACTGCGGTTCACGAGCCAAACATGCTGCCGATCGCGAGTGTGTTCATGCCACGTGGTCTCCGAGCGAGGGCACTTGACCAAGTGACACCACGGCTCAAGCCTCATCTTCGGACTAGTTTGTGGGGCTAGTTAAAGCGTGTCTGCCTTTCAACACTTTGCTTTGGTCCACCTCGCTTACGTTGCGACTGGAAGCACACATTCTGAATACGAAGAACGAAAGACCACCAAAGGAATCAGCTCATCCTCAAGTTTCTTCTATCTTCACACAATCCATGACGTTTTGACCATCATGTTGTAATGAGGATGCAGCCCAACTCTACTTGATGCGTGTACGTCGCACACTTCTTTGCCGAAACGAATCATGCGTCAGCGTACATTCCTTCACTTTTGAGCAAGCAGCTGATGGCGGACACCAACTCACTCTGCGCTATATCGACGCTGGGGTCGGCAATCTTTTCCATTAGCAGTCGGTCCAAGTGGTGGCGAATGGACTTGATGAGCACGCCGATACGAGCAACGGCATTGAAGCGGATAAACTTGTCCAGCACGAGCAGATTCTTTTCGTGGATCACTTCGAGGTGACCGCCAAATAGCAACAGCGCGTACGGGTTCGCCATCGTGCTCTCTCGCACAAAAATCTTAGACGTTTGTACCAATTCCGTGTACAGCAGCCAGGGCGAATCGTAACTTGTCTGCGAAAAGTTGCACGACGACGGGTGAAGGAACACACGCTCGCGATGGCCTGCTTCTGCTGTCGAGCGGACGAAGTATCGGATCTGTTTCGCGTTGTGATCTCCCTCGACTACGCCGTGGGCAGACTGAAAGTACTTCTGCTCTGGGTACACTACTTCCACCACGTTTGCGTACAGACCCGCACAAAGCGCGGCCTTGATGATGCGCGGCGCGTCCGAGTTTTGATTGAGATCGTCACCTTTGCTCGAGTCATAGAAGCCAATGTTGTCCAACTGCTGCAAGTACTGCTGCTTCAGGTCCAATATCGACTCCATGGTATCGTACGAAAGACCGATGTCGCGACAGAATCCACGCTTCATTCCCTGGCCACGCAAAGGTGCATAGCGCTCGACCAACTTCCAAAGCAACAAGTGGTCACTCTTCCAGCTGCCACCCAGCTCCTTTTTTAGCGCATCTTGTTTTGCGCGCATCTCTGGATCCGTCATACTTGTCAAAAATGGGCTGCGGCTTGAAATACACGCCGCAATGATCGCCACTGGCTGGATGCAACGTAGGATCGATCCGTACACCAAAAACTTGCCGATACGTGCGTCAAGTGGCAGCATGGCTAAGTGGTTGCCGAGTGGCGTCAAGGCCACATCTTCATCTTGACTGCTCTGAATGCCGTTGCGACATTTGGTCGTGGAAGAATCGCCAACCGTTCGAAGTGCCGCAATGTCCACCAATTCTTGGATGGCTGCATCAATAGCAGCCTCAGCAGGCGGCTCGATAGCTTTTGAGAGGAAACCTTTGATCGAGCCAAGTTCCAGCTTCTTAATTTGCAAACAAAGCTGTTCGAGCGACACACGGTGGATCTCAGCAGACAGCTGAGCATTCATGGCTGCAAAGCGATCACGCGAAAACAACCGGTAGCATGTGCCAGCCTGCACACGTCCTGCACGACCCTTGCGCTGGTCGCACGCTGCACGAGACGCCCAACAGTCGAGCAGCTGAGACCGCCGGGTTTGGTTATCATACACCATCTCCTTTACTTTCCCAGAATCGATCACAGCAGTAATGTCGTTGATAGTGATGGAGGTTTCAGCAATGTTGGTACTCACGATGACCTTCGTCTTGCCTGTGGGAGCAGACTTGAACACCATCGCCTGATCGACTCCAGAGAGAGAACCGTGCAGAGGCACTGCCCACACCTTGGACGATAGGTTGCCACTTCCGTGGGTCAGCATTTCAATCAGCCGCTTAATTTCGGCCGTGCCAGGAAGGAAGACGAGGATGGCTCCGTGACTGCTGCCAGCGCATTGTGTTTTTTCCAAAACAAGGAAGCGAACCAAGTGCACAATGAGATCGTAGTCAATCTTGGAATCGTCTATACGTGCCACAATTTCCTTCGACGTCAGTTTACATGCAGATTTTTCATCCTCACATTCGTCAACACCCTTTCGTTTGCCTTTCTTCTCCTTGAGCAAATACTTCGGTACGTCGTAGCGAGTTTGGTCAAGCACCTCTTCGAGAAAGTTGCAATCTACAGGGAATGTAGAACCCGGGATGTCCAGCACAGGGCACGGCGTGCGTGCCGTCGATGAAAAGTAGTTCACGAAAAGGTCTGAGTTCATGGTAGCACTCATCAAAATGACTCGCAGCTCTGGACGTTGTGGTAGCATGTCGCGCAGGATGGACAGTAGGAAATCGGTATCCACATTGCGCTCGTGAACTTCGTCGACAATCACATGCGACACGCCAGACAACTGTCGATCGTTGAGTAAACGCCGAAGCAGGACACCCGTCGTGCAGAACAACAACCGCGTATTCGAAGATTTTTTCGCGTCCATACGAATCTGGTACCCAATCACATCACCAATCTTTTCACACCGCTCCTGCGCGACGCGAGTGGCCACGCCGATAGCAGCGATTCGTCGTGGTTGAGTACACATGATGGAGCATTCGCTACCAGCGCCGCGGTTGATAAACTCATCGAGAATAAATTGCGGGATCTGAGTAGTTTTGCCACAACCCGTTGCGCCACAAATGAGCACTACTTGGTTCTCTTGTACACACTTGATCACTTCTGCTTCGTATTTGCTTGCCGGAAGTTTCGTGCGAGCTGCAGTCATCTGTCGAAAGTCAGGCTGATCAACTTTCGCTTGCCTGGACTGCAAAAGCCTTGCACTCAGTCGACGCATAGCTTCCACGTCAACGGATCTCCGCTGGTTGTTTCTTGTAGTCTCCCTTCGATCACCACTGCGGCCATTTTCCTTTTTCTTTCGCTTTGTCTTCACTTCGTCTCCTGCTTTTTGGCTGAGGGTCTCAGTTGCGACCGTTTCGGGCACAACGGGCGTTTTCAAAAGCTTGATTCTAGGCACGCTACCTGGCAGCCGATTATTGTCCTGGAAGTACGCATCGATTGCGACGTAGATGTCGTACAGCATCGGTTCGCCAATGGAGTGTCCACAGCTCTTCAGTGCTTCTCCACACGCAGCAAGGAGATGTGGATGATGTTTTGCATCAGTCGAGGTCAAGGCAAGAAGCGGCAGCTCGAACGGATATCGTGATGTACTTGGCAAGAAAATGTGCAACGTAAGACCGCCGGTAACATCGAACGTCAGAATCTGGGTGCTCGAGCCATCCTCCAGCATTGTGACCTTCAGCTTTTCATCAAATATCGCTTCCAGAGCAAATATCTCATCTTGGCGCAGGTCTAGCAGCTCTTGATCGACAGGAATCGTCTTTGGCTCATCGGTCTTGTCCAAAGCAAAATGTGTTTTGACGTGCAGAAACAACTTCTCGAGAAGAGCAATGATCGTCAGCATGGATGGTGCTTTCAGATCCTCTTGACTGATATCCGGGTGCTCTTGCACGTATTCGTTCGTCACGAAAAGAGCATCGCGGCGGTCATACCCAAACTTCATGAGTCTCTGTATCAGCACGAGGGTAGGAGCCGGTTCTGCTGTGTCCGACGACGCGGAGCTCAACACGACGTCCAGCTGTGTCCCCTGTGGATTAAACCGTTTCGGCAACTCTTCTTCGGGAATGTTCAAGCACAGCCAGTCAAAGACAGCCGACATGTAAGCGTCGCCGGTGTCACTGCTTGCGCCCGGATCATGCGCACACTTCTGCAATGCTTGTTGGATTTGTGCAGGCGCAAATCCAAACGCCTTTAGTCTCTGTGTGGCCTTTATCTGGCACTTTTCCAGCTCCAACTGTCTCGACTCGACAGCAAGCTTGTCATCCTCCTCTAGTCCATTCCTCGAGTCCGTCTGCGTCTCCTCCAACTGCTTCAAAATGCCTTCGATCAGTTTCCGACACGACGCACTCATCATGACCGGCTTGGGAAGATTCGCTCGCTCTCGATTCTCTCGAGAGCGCTGTTTCTTGTTTCGCTCTTGCTGCTTTGCAAGTCGCACTGCTTCGAACTCTTTCTGTGAAGCAAACTTCCGATCCATTGTCAGCACGACTGCTGCTTGTTTCTTGTCTGCAACAGCTCCATCTCGTTCGACATCTTCCGTGTCTTCCTGCCCCCAGAACTCCATGCGGCCTGCGTCTTCCGTTACGAGCGCCTCCTTTTCCGTCACAACATCTCTACTCTCGATGTTGACCGCCTCTTTTCCCTTCTTTTTCACACCCTTTGTTTCGGATCCCAAAACCCGATCGGAGGAACCCAAAATAAGCCACAGGCCCCGATACGGGTCCGGCAGCTTCCGTTCATACGGACGGAGGGGCTCCACGTGCTTGAGCGCCAGCAAAGCAGCGCAGTGCTTGGCCTCGTCCAGCTTCTCGAACTCCTGCTCAGGGCAAAACGTCAAGTCGTGGCCGCGGTCTTTCCCGTCCGGCAGGACGCACCGCATGCGGAACTTTGTGTCGTTGCGGCTCTTGGCGCGCGCGTAAAAGGCGCTGCGTCGCTTCTTGGCCTGGCAGAACGCCTGCAGCAGCTGCATGGGCGTGCGCTGCCACTCTTTGCACAGGACGCCTTGCTGCAGCGCGTCTTGTTTGCTCACACTGACGGTGCCGGCCCCGCGCTGGCGGTGCCCGGGCTGGCGGTGACGACCCATTTGGTTGCTGTTGTTTTGGGTTCCGACGGGGCGGAAGAACCTCGCACGAGTGACAGTGTGTGCCTTCGTTGTACAGTACAGGTGGTGCGTGACCGGCGTGTTTCGTTTCGCCGTTAAAACGCTTTTTGGTAGGGATGCCGCCGGCGTTACGTCGACAATTGTGCTCACTTGGTGTCGAGTTTTCGCTCGTCGAAGTTGTTTGTACACTTGTTGTGGCGTCAGTACTTATTTGCCTGAATGCTTGTCGTCGTCCGCGCGATGGATCGAGAGGACTTTGTGTGGGTGTTTCCCTTTGCGAAGCAGTGTGCCTTGCGAGCTCATACACAATGGCTCTGTAAGACGTTTAGGGCACGACACGAGGTAGCAGGTATGGAAGATGAACAATCAATGTCAAGAGGCGACATGCGCGTAGACTTGACTGAATGATCATGGTGCCGGTGCAGGTGGGCACGCGGATCTTACGGACGCACGAGGTAAATTGCACGCTACCAGAACGCGCAATGCGTACGAAGGTAGGTATCGACCATGCCGACAATGCTGCTGAGTGATAATGGGTATGATGGTGCATGGATGTTATAAAGCTAGACACGATCTTGCTGCACAGTGCAGCTTCGATGTTGTTGCCATCTTGGCTGCGCTTGCAACGACAACTGATCATGCGTCATGCGTCATGCATCGTGCACTAGCTAGTGCGTCGCCTCGTACAAATGGACACACACTCCACAATGTACATGACCCACAACGTAAACCAACTGCCCATCTGCTGTCATTTATCGCTGTAGCGGAGCTACACAGCTCCTTGAATCAGAGGAGGACTTACCGCTCAATGAGCAACCTTGGTTCTACGAACCCGACTCAAAGAGTCAACAGCTCCGAGAGCTTACAGTCCCTGTTCCAGGGCGACCAAACGTTCTAAAGAATTAAACGCACTGAGTGCACAAGGAGAAGCTGCCTTAACAAGGCGTTGCTATCTGCTCAACGATCACAAACAGCCTTAAAGAGGCACGTGTCTATCGGATCAATATGGGAAATGAATTTAATTTCTTCTTTTAACCTAAGAGAACACCTCAGAGCAAAGTAATTAACCTACTCACTAATGTCCTAAATAAACCTATCAAAAGATCTCGTAATCAACGGTTGACAGACATCAGTCTTCAACAATTGATACTGTGTTCTAATACTACTTTAAAGGGGATCTCATCCCTTGTGTGCACCACACCTATTGTCGACTACCAGTCGACGTGTGCCTCGTTACAATCGCTATGATAACTACAGATAGCAAGGGCCATTATCCACTTTCACGTTCGACTTTCAACCGAACCTAACGGGTTCTGCCGTATAATATACCCTGTCCGAATATAATACCCTAACCATATTTTAAGGTACATAAACAGTATTATACCGTGCCCATTAGTATACCATGAATTGTTATGGTAAAAAAGCGTTTTTGACCAATTATTGCCTTAGATGAATGGTTGGTAGCGGTTACTCGGAAAAGCCCGTTCACCCTCCATACGTTTAAATCACTAGATATAAAGCTCTCTTCGCATTAAAGACCTTCATCCTTTAGTGCACACCATGGCACCCAGGCGCGTTTCCAAGACCAACCTCGAGAAGCGGGAAGTGATCGGGTAGATCGAAGTTCCTGGTGGTGGGGTTCCTACGCGCGCACTGAAGCACTTTCAAGCGGAGCGAGGATGGCAAGTGTCAGGCGCCCAGATTCGCTACTGGTGGAAGAACCGCGAAGCCATCACGAACTCCCCGGCGCAGCAGCTGCGTGTGGCAGGTGGCGGTAGACACCCACGGCTTGGCGAGGTAGAGGATGTAATGTTTCATCAGATCGCTTTCCTGATATCGAAGAAGGAAAAGGTTTTGCGTCAGTGGGTTCAAGTTACCGCACGCGAGCTCGCTAAATATGAGCTGGACGACGATGACTTCTGCGCATCGGACAAGTGGCTCGCTCGCTTCAGAACTCGCTATGGCCTCTCTCTGCGACGGACGACCAACCTCACCGTATTGAGTGACGACGAGTTCACTGCGCGTGCCGTGCGATTTCTTACGTACCTCTCATCAAAGAAGAGCGATCTCAACCCCAGCGGCATGCTCCTGATAGATGAGGCGGCAGTTTTCTTTGAAGACCCACGGCGCGCCACTGTGGACTTTGCCGGCGCACTTCATGTCTCTTTGCGGTCTACAGGGTTCGCTTCGATGTGGATCACTGTTGCGCTTACCGTGACAGCCACAGGGACAAAGCTGCCACCTCTTTTGATCTGGAAAGGCGCGGAAAAACCGATCCAGAAGAGCGGCGCGGTTTACGTTGCGTATCAAGAGCGTGCCTGGATGAACAGTGAGCTTCTCATCAAGTGGACCGACTTGATGTTTCCAGCGCTTCTAAACTTCTGCGACGGCAAAGGGATCGTGTGGACTCGATGCGAGCGCATATAGCAAAGGATGTTAGAGCGAAGTGCATCAGCAATAAAATCGATATGATGATTTTTCCTGGAGGTCTAACGCCGTATCTGCAGGCAGGGGGCATCGGAATATTCAAGTCGTTTAGAGATTGCCTATCGAGCGTTATTGACGACTAGAAGAGATTTGATCGGGTGCAGTACACCAAGAACGGAAATCCGCGGCCACCGAGCGTGGAGGAGGTGGTGGCGTGGGTCAGCAATTCATGGAAAAAGCTGTCCCCAACGGTGTTGTCTGCAAGTCAATTGCCGCATCTGGGTTCGCTGTATACTACCGCGACTGTCATATTGCCAAGCACGACGTGTACGGTGGACTCTTTCTGCGTAAATGGGTGAGTGCTGACGAAGAAGCCCCTGATGATGCAGATGGTGCTGATATTGCAGATGAGTTTGACGATCTAGTCGTTGAATAAAGGTTTTTCATTTTTGTGTTTGCAGCTCTTTTCTTCTGTGCATTGCAATGGATCTGAAATAAAAGGACTTGCGTGGCGGTTCCAGATCCATCCTATGGGGAACCTATGTCTGAGGTCGCTGCTGGGTTTGAACCCGAACTATTTGTGTAACTGTTAGTCTGCTACACCACTCCACCACTGCCGTCATTTACTGACCAAGAGGAATTATTTTTTTTTAAAACATTTGAATGTACCCTGCCTAATACAATACCCTTTTTTAAAATTAGAGAACAATAGGGGAATATAATACGGTACATTAATCGGCAGAACCCATTATTGCACCCACTCATCGTCATCGCTCCCTCTTTTTCGCTCTCCAGCAGCTACAACTCCCGTGTCGTCGGTGGCGATGGCTTCAGCTGCCGCAACTCCTCCACCCGTCGAGCTGCGGGGCCTCACTTTTGCTTTTCCTGCCCCGACGACAGCTGTCGACCAGTCGCCGCGTGGGGGCAGTGCCACTGTCTCCACTGGTCGTCCCGACCATCGCGTCCTGCGTGACGTGACACTCACGTTCTAATTGGGCGAACGCGTTCTTGTCGTTGGTGGCAACGGCGCTGGCAAAAGCACATTGCTCCGTATCGTGGCCGGTCGGCACTTGACAGCGTTCGACACGGCCCTCGTCTTTGGGCGCGATAGTTTTCGCGACACGACACTGAACGCCCGTCGGACGTTTGTCAGCAGTGATTGGGGCCATCGCGCGGTGGCGTTCATGTCGCATGCCATGGCCTACGCGGCCGACATGGCCGTGGCCGAGATGATGGTCCAATTGCAGGCCGAGTTCGCCGACAGACGCGAGAAGCTGCTGAAAGTCCTTCGCGTGGACCCCACGTGGCGACTCCATCGCCTGTCGGATGGCCAGCGGCGCCGGGTGCAGCTGTTCCTCGCGCTTTTGCGGCCGTCTCAGCTTATTGTGCTGGACGAGGTACTGGGTACACTGGACATTGTCGTTCGCGAGAACGTCTTGGCGTTCTTGAAAGAAGAGACGGACACGAGACGGGCCACGGTCTTGCTGGCTACGCACATTTTCGATGGCACGGACGACTGGGCCTCGCACGTGCTGTACATTCGACGTGGTATTAAGGGCTTCCACGGTCCAATTCACGAGTGCACAGACGATCGAAAAGTGCCGATGTACAAGGTCGTCGAGCACTGGCTACGTGAAGAGCTGGCGGAAGATGACCGCATTGAAAGCGAAGCGATTGGAGATGGCGGCCAGCTCAATTTGGCCAATGCACAGAACCGTGCTGGCGGATACGCACCTGGACGCTTGGGCGGTGTCGACATTGACTCGCTGGGGCTTTAGGATTGACGTGGGATGTACAGGGCAGTCTGCGTGAATCTGTTGAGACAACAAGTCACGGCTTGACTTGATCGCTAACGAAAACGCGACATTGATCTTTGGCTCGTTCCATGTCGCCGCTCGTTTTGCGTGGAAGCTGTTGGTACGACAAAACAGGTCAAGCAGCAAACATCATGATCGTTTTTTTCTGCTCGATCTATTGCATGCAATCATCTACGTGACTGTCGAGCCGCGTCAATATTTTGTAGGTCGCCTTCTGGCAGATTTGACATACAGAATGGTAGCAAACGGTCACACACTGTGTGTCTTGTCGCTGATAGTTATTGCGAATGTACGTTGGTGCCCAGATGTTGCGTCAGTTCTGATGTTCTGTAAGCCAGGTAGTAGCTATGCAAGACTTGCCAGCATTGTGTATATTATGTCTAAACTGCGTTTCTACCGTTGTGGTCCAATTCTTGTGACGTGCCTGGTTGTTTTCTGCTGACTATTGCAACGTACGGCCACAACCAAATGGCTGTGGCACCGTATTCCTCATCAAGTCAAGTGTTGGGACGATCAGGCGCCAATTGAAGCAAAAGTCATGGCAGTCGAGCGCAACATTCGTTTTTCCACACGAAACGATAAAAAAATCGGATTGAGATGACCGAAAGCTGTTGCAATCGTACCTAGATCGCACACATCATTCAATCTTCTTGGCCGTGTGTGTGCAATAATAGGAGAAAGGTGTTGACAAGGTATTGACATTGCAGCTACACACGATACACTGGCAGACATTTCATGAAGCTGACTCATCCACGTTACTTTGCATGGTCACAGATAACGTTTTGTTCTGCACTTATGAGGATCCTCAGTGCATAGTGATGGACTTGTCAATGTTTACGAAGAGCAAAGACAGACATTTTGCCTTGCACTCGTTACGAGGTGTATACGTAGCAAAGGGATACGCCACCCCAGCTTTCTCATACTCTGTTCGACATGATATATTATTCAATTCATGCGGCGGTCTGGCACCTCTAAGCGATCGAAGAAGACGTGCTTCTGTGCAAGAAGTCCTCCGCTATCACGCCAATCTGTGAGACAGATTGAGCTGCGCATTGTACTCCGTCGTATACGGATTACACGTGTATCCGAGCACAAGCAGATTTTGTGAGCTAGTAAAACGCGCCCTCCGGGATAAGCAAGCTACCGAGATATGCAGTATCCGTGTGCTATGAACATCTCGGTTATAACAACTAGATACAAGCGACGTAGTCGGATGACTCAGTTGCTTGGTGTAATGTTCGTGAAAAACGCTATTGCTTGCGAAGGTATGAATCAAACAGCCTGTAGTGGTCGTGGAATGTCACAGTTGTTCAATCAACCCCGAGAACTGCTAACGAAAACATCACTGAGATACAAATTTACCTTGAAAACTTGTGCACGCTTGGTATGCAAATATGTTGCGGAGCCTTAAGGGTCCACAACATCCTTGCACATGGCCCACCCACGAGAACGCGTAAACGTCTTGTGACTACTTCACTGGATGACCTCGATAAGTTTGGTTGGTGGCCGTGCGTTAGTCCGACAAAGGAAGATGTGCGCGATATTGCAAAGAGTAACGTACAATGTCGTGCGTATTCGAGTCGGAGTCGGAATAGCAGCAAGACTACACGATATGCACACCATCGAGTAAAGTGAGATGGAGACCGGTATGACCCGTCTTGCAAGGCATCCGTTTTGCGCTTATCGATTGTCAGGACAGCTACAAAGTCCTCGAAAACGATTGATGTGTGCATATAGCTGTGCTACATCAAGATTACTGTCTACAAAGGTGTGCTTTTTTCTGGCGACGCCATGAGACAATCGTACAGCTACGTATGTGACCGACAAGATTCGCACTGCATTTGGGTCTCGACCCTGATGTCGATACCGTGACAAGTGAACAGATTCGGTATAGCCTTATGATGCCAGCCATTTCCTGTGCAGCACATGTAGGCAGACCAACTGCTCTTACGCAGTAGTACATCTAGATACATGGCCATTCGTTTATCGTGTCGTTTTAGACGTGTTTGTCATGAGATTTGCCGTGACATGCCATGGTAAGGCATGCTTGCGTGTGCTGCATTCGACGTCCGATCCAAAGGATGAGCATGAGAACAAAACTTGCCGCAAAGACACCTCCGATCGAATCCTCTCCTGCATTTACGTCAACTCTTTCTATCCTGTGCTTGCGCATGGATTGAGAAGATAGCGCATCTGGAGAAGCATTTGCGAACGCCTTTTGACTTCAGGCAGCATCTGATGCACGCAGACACACATACAGCATCTAAATGCCTACATCTCATTATCTACTCAGTTGTACATATATTTCACGCTGATGATCCCAACAACCGAGCGGTGAAACAAGTCTTCGATCAATTGAAATATGTGGTATTTCGCTTTCATACAGCCATCGGAGCGTCCATCATCAATCATAGCAGTTCGAATTCAGTTTACGTACGAGAGCAAGACAGCCAGAAGGAGTGAAAGGGCAAATGTCACGTAGATACCAACTCGGAACGGGCACAGAAAGACGAAGCATATTGTGCCGCTGAAAGACCTTGCTATCTGTCACACCTACTTGGCTAGGGCGAGCAGAAGTAGAGCCAGTGCCACATAGCTTTATTCCAGGCTACTTTGATATAGCACGATACAGTAGACAGAGACTATGACGGAGAACTACAGCATGAGTGAGCGCTTTGATCGAGTCGGATGTCCCCAGCTTACGAGGTATAATGTGTCAATAAGGATAACTCGGTGTCTACTCCATTACTTCCGATCCAGTTACTACGGTACGGGCTGCCCAAATGAACATGTAAACTGTGGAGAACCACATCAAAGCTTTACGCCATTTGGGGTCGTCAAATCAATCGAAGGCATCTTTGCTCAAGCGCGATGTTGTTGTTCTGACGATGCAGCCATGTTTGGGTCATACGTACGGTGTCACAGCTGCGGCGAGATAAACGTGTTTGTCGCGATAGTGAGAGGTCCATTTGAAGTATACGGCTTTGCGAAATACCTCCAAAACCACGTCAAGCGTCAGGTAGTATGATGCTGTCCGTGAACACTGCACACAAGTGGTCGTAAGCTAGGGCGTAGACGAGTATAAAATCGAGAACGTGCATGTGATATCCTCGTACTTGTTGTGTGGGTGCGTGCTGTAGTACGCGCATCCTTTAGCTCGTTCTTGCAAGAAACACACATGCGCGAGAGCTTAATGAGTTGTGGAAAAGACTTGCAGATCGGCAAGTGCGGACATAATAGCTGAGCGAGTTCCTTTGGCCCCTTTCACGTGACTGTACACCGTATGATTGCTATAGTATCTCCGGTTTGGAAAAGCTTATGCGACCACTTTAATCGCTTGCCACTTTTTCGTGAGAAGATCGATCTGTCTTAGTGCTGTGGTATTGCTGCCCGTAGTAGAAGACAGTGACATCGAGTCTACATCGGCACGGAGTTCCACTTGCTGTCATACTGGTAGACTGAACTAGTCGTCACTAAGTATAGACGACACGCGCTTGATAGCAACAACAAAGTGGCGGGGGGGGGGCGCGACGAAATGTGCAGCACTGCATTGTTACGTGTGATCCAACTACTGCACATTAAATTGGTATCTTTCAATCAAGACTTTTTTATTCGATGGCCAATATAGGTACTGTAGCTGTTCGTTTTTGAGAGCAGCATACGAGGCAGAGCCTACCTAGAAACCTATTCGCATTCGATCGCAGTTATTCATTCTTTGTCAGGCGTTTGTTCATGCTGTCTTGTTGCATCTTTCGTATGCTTCGATACACTAAGGTAGGCATCGCTCTTGCCCATAATAAACAGCGATGAACTTTGCGTTCGAGATATGCACACCTAGAAACCATGAGCTGCATTCGATAGTGTATTGATATGTTTACAACCATGACAAACCACGCAAAAAACCCTACTACCTTTCGACTACGGCGACAGCAACATAATACCGCTCTAGTTACCGTTCAACTCAGCGTTGATCTCCAAGTGGCCTCCGTCACGTGAAATGGGCACCCAAAGTACCAGTGAACCACCTCCTGTGCCAGGAAGGCCCAAGAACCCAGGACGCCAGCGGTCCAAATATAAAGTCTTACCACCCAACTCTTTGACAGTTGACGTCCATCGAGCCGTCCCGCCAGCTCGCAGACCTACTTCGTCAACTTTGTCACCGCCAGACCTGATGTTCACCGTGACATCTTTGGTATCCTTGCTCGTGAAATTAATAATGACGTTGCCGTCACCCTTCCTGGTCCAAGAACTCGTGGTGTTCTTGAAGGCCTTCTTCAGCGCGTTCATACCGAGAGTGGCGTCGTCTTTGCCATCGTCGATTTCACCCATAAACTGCGTTGGACCGCAGATAGTCTGAAGAAACTCCGAAGCTAAGGTTGACAAGTCGGTGGGTTCTAGCCCAGTGACTGATGCCATGGTAAGCGCGTCGTCCAGCAACACGTAAGCATTGTGTTTTGCCGCCATCGACGTTCCGTTGTCGCTCTTGCCATCCTTGATGAGGTCATTGACTACAACCCCAAAGGTTTTGCGAAGCGTCTCCCGCGTTTTGTACGCAGTGTCCACCGTCGACTCGGAAATCATTCGGCTCATGCAGTTGTTGGTGATAATCGGAATGTCGTACAAGATGAGGTCCGACTGACTAATCTTAAGGCGAATGTCGGCTTCACTGATGCCAGGATCTTTCTCTCGGTACTCGTTCACCGTCATCCACACGAGGTTCAGTGCTGACCGCAAGTCTTCGCTACACGTTGCGTCCGACTTCATCGCGGTTTCCAAGCTCGAGATCTCACCCTTTGTGATTTTACTAGCAGCTTCCGTGAAGTTGGCCCGCGTCATGAAAGCCTTGAATTTGCCCCAAGTCGACATGATATCATCACCATACCCAAGCACCAGCAGAAGTACGTACTGCATAGTGGGCAGTAGACCTCGAGCTGCTTGCAGGGTCGGGGGCACTGTCTTGCCCATGCAGGCGTATATGGTTGCAGGTAAGTCGGCGGCAACCCAATTCGTCTGGTACAGCAACAGCAGCAGCTTCTCCTGAGATGTTTGGGGGTCCAGTACCATTTGGTTCCGCGTGAACCGAATGATCGCTCTCGTTGCGGTCATCAACATGTTGGCGCACCGGACGGCCCACCCGACCTTTTTGCCCATCTTTGCGAGCCCGCCAAACACGCCGAACGTCGCCATGCTCAACGTGGACATGGCGACAGCTGATATCTTGGCGACATCTTCCCGTCCGCAGTCATTGTTTTGCTGGATGCACTGCATGCCGCACTCGATAGGGTACTCCATCGGACACTCGCTCCAGCACGTGTCCGTCAGTTTGCTGCGGTCGTAGTTGCTCGGACAGGTTTTCATAAAGTGCGCTTCTCGGTAACAGGCCGAGTCCGCAGATTGATGCCACGTGCCGACCCAATTGCGATGTGTGGATCGAAACGTGCTAACGGCCGTCGAAGGTGTCGCGATAGCGCTCTCCTTCGGCATTGCCAGATTTGCAAAGGTCGACTTTGAAGACCTCCGAGGTGGACGTGGGGTGTCAATCGACAAAGAAGAATCGGAGGAATCGGAAGAGTCGGTAGAAGGAGCAGTTATGGCCGGGGACTTGTCGGAAGATCCCGACACGTGCCCGGACGAAATCATCGACTTGACGCGGTCCATGTAGTCAAGTCCCATCATGCTCGCAAGAGTTGCAGGTGATAACGTCCCAGGCTCCACGACTGAATCGGTCGAGTCGTCGTCATCGTGCCAGAATGTCCAGTCAATGGCTTGTGTGCTCGAGGCGCTGGCAATGACTGCCAAAAGAGTGAGCACTGCTGATGATCGGATCATCTTGAAGTCGAATGCAGCAGCGTTTGAGATCGAGAGAAATCGAGTTTGATTGTATGGATGTGTGTCTGCGAAGGCAAAAAGCAGAATGGGAACTTGAGCTGGGGGATGTGGCAGTGTGCCGAGCCGCATTTTGAACTCCTGCTGGACGATCGACGGACGGCAAAGTGATTTGCAGAAACGAGGCCGTGTGAGTTCTGCTTGCACAGCCGATGGCGTTACAGCTACAAACGCCGATGCTACGATCGATGTCCATACTTGGCAAGAGAGCGGGGCTGGAGAGAGACGGTAGTTGTCCACTCCCGTTTTCATTGCTGATGCCTCTTCAAAAACGGACTGTTTCTTGTCTCGAACTTGTACTTTTGCACACGTCTTTCGATCGTGGCACCGCTCTGCAGAATTGTACAAAGCTGATCCGCTTCAGCAGCAACACACCGCAGTCACACAAAAGACGACTGGGACAACAGAGCACTACATTGCAGCTACGGATGCATCGATGGCACAATGACAAGTTTCAATCTCACTGCAGCTCTCTGTGCAGCTTCATGGACAGTCATCCATCGGCTTCTGCGAAGCTACGATGGTCGTAGCACAGAAATAGGTCTGTTGCTCGTCTCTTCGATCGTCAAATCAAGACTGACGTATTGCACATCTCCAGCGCCAACTGCAAAAGCGGGCGCTGGCAGCACGAGCCGGAGAGCGAACTTACACTTACAAATGGCTTCAAACAGCACCGCTGGAAGCTGTTTTTCTGCACACCACAGCTGTGACTTTCACGGTCGACGTACGGTCTCGGGTTGTAAAAAGCACACGAAATGATGACAAGTGACGCGTCACGAGTCGGCAGCAGCTTCATGGACTGTTTTCGCGCAAATGAAGTGGATACTTTGCAGTAGCGAGTGGATTCCACGCTGTCATGGTCAGATGCGTTGACGTCCACTCGTAGCACCTTAATGTGCAGTGGCTCGACTATAGTTCGTATCAAGGAACAACCACATCCTTGTTTTTACCGCCACCTGTTGTATCTGCAGCACATAGCAAGCAACAGCTCTCCGTATCCATAAATCAGTAGCAAAGCAGGTCTCGAGTTGAGACGAAATTTGCCCACGCCTCGCACACGTGCCCCTCTCATCCTGTTGATTTCCAGTCTGCGAATGAGAGCGTCTTACGCGCCCTGCATCACCGGAACAGATCTTGGGAGAATTGCGAGGAGTGACACTTTAGTCATGAAGATCTGCATCGGACCTGGCTTTTCTTCACTCACGATTTGCTGCGATGCACCACCGCCTGTATCAATTCCGGATAAACGGCAGTCCATGGCATCGTGGTGATGCTGTTCGTATACTCGCAGGGGCTACCTCCAGCTAACATTTGGATCCGAAGGCCTCGTGCTGTACATGCGTGGGCGATGTCGCCCTTTGTCGATTCAGTATGCAGTGGCAATGGAGCTTGGGTCTAGCTACGATCAATCTTTTGACAGTCCATTTCCGCGCAAAGCAGAGGGGTTACGACGACTTTGGCCGCATGTGAGATGGAAATGGACGTGGATTGAGTGAATCTACCAGAGCTTCGATAGACAGTGGCAGGTTTCGATGTCGATCGAGTGCAGGGGCTTTTGCTACAAAGTAGAAGATAGAAGAGACCTATTTTTGCAGCGTCTTTTGACTGGATGGTAGTTACGACTCGATTGGCGAAAATAGTCGGTTCTGACGCGACTGACCCAATTTGAGCTGCTCATCTCGATCGCACCGTACCTCGTGATCAAAAGCGAAGTAATTTATTGTCCCGTCGGCACAAATGCGGGTTGTGGCAACCTTCTTCTTTAGGATCACGTCGTTCACATCTGGAACGTCTCAGACATGAGCGCATGTACGCGGACTATGAGCAACTGAGCCCAATATGCCTCTGTGAGCACATTTGCAGTTTGTTGCTCGCGATACGCAGATCACTGCGCACACGAGATCGATATCCATGTCAAACCAGCTCCTTGCGTCTGTGGATTGTAGATTTCAGCGTGAGCAAGTCCGACTAAGCTCTGTTGTTGCATGTATTCGGAAGATGCTGCTGCTTTTGAGTCATCTGTCCTCTCCCGATTACAACTTCTTCAACGTGCGCCGCTATCGCCATGTGTTCGATTGCTTCAACTGGATAGTAAGCATGCAACGTACAATGATGCGGAGAGTAGACGCACTGTACATGCAGTACCCTCTAGTAAACTCTTGTACCAAGACGTGTGTAGTTTGCACAAACGTCACGCATATGAAATTACTTTGCGATCGTCAAAGGGGCGCAGACTCGCGTGCGACTACGTCTCGTACCATCTTGTTTCGTCAAAGGTGAGCAACGCACGACTGGACATCTGAACAAATCTCTGTAGACACGTAACACCTGGAAAGCTAAGAGATAGCCGGCACTTTGGGCGATCGGGTGACAGAAGTTGCAAGTCAGCTGCGTTGGCGCCTGTTCCGGCTCACAGCCTGAGCAGATTGAACCGCAATGAGCGCCTGTACGTCCATGCTAGCTACTGCACGTCACCACACTGCCACCACATCGTTGCGATTTGCTACATCCACCGATCGCGTCTGGGATCTGTCTGTTGCATCGCACATCCCGAGACGTGTGAACAGATGCAGTGACATTTGGGAGCTCAACAGACCCTATACCAAGCCAGCGTACAAACGTTTGCCACCTGCTTTGCTGTACAGACACGTCTCTTTGCTCTGGCTTCTCAGCTCGCTTGCTCTTGCTTGATAGTGCATCTTGCATCCGCGTTCTTCGCGCACATCATGTTTGTATTTGCCAGTGGTCCCTGACATCAGGATTGCCGCGGGACCTCCACCCTCCATCGTCCTGCTGGCTTCGCAAATAATTTGCAGCACTGAGCGTCAACGTAGCACGAGAGCCCTATCATATTCTTGCATAGCGATGGGCTCTTTGCTGATGCGGCACGCGTCGAAGGACCTGCAGAGCGCAGTAGACGAAGAGAAGAGCCCTCTTCTGATACCAAACATGCTGCGTCGCAACGCTCAGCTCACCTGAATGCCCGAAAACGTCGGCTGCCCACAAAAGAGTCCGTAAGATCGGCCAACAGATCGCTTGTCGCCAATTGAAGTGTTCGATGTCGGTGAACTGGTGCTTGCGGGACATTTCACCTTCAATCAAAGATGATTGCATCACATCTTCTCCTGAGCTTTGCTTACGCACCGTTGTACTTTCAAAACTTCAAGTAGATCTGCCAACGTTGCATGGAAGATCTTGGCATGGATCCGAAGGACAACGCTTTTGAATAGACATTGAGCTGCACTGAGGTAGCAAGATCGCGTCTTGGAAGTGGGTCTAAGAAACCGTAGGAACTTCATATGCATCAATCAAACTCGTCCGTGCCGGACTTGTCGAAGCGGCACTTACAGACGAATGATCGCTTCTTATCGTAACCTTTCAGATTTTCAGAATCGGTACATATCTTCATGTTGAACGTCAACATGAGCTGATAACGGACCAAAGGATCGGGAGCTGCTGTGCAGCACTTGATAAGCGCACACGTACATGTTGAACCTCAACATGAGATGCAAGCGGAGCTATTACAACAGACAATGATGTGTAGCGAAGGTAGACATCAAGACGAAGTGCGGCTGTCACTCGTACGCTCAATATTGCTGCTTCAGACTCGAGCCGATCCTCATTGCTACCACGCACACATTCCAATCAAACAATCTAGGAGGTTCATACACGCATGATGAGGCTTCAGTATCGATTTCAGTCAAGCGTCTCGTACACATTGTTCCAGGCACGACTGCAGTGCTGGAATGAACACGCGCATTATCTTGTCTTTGTAGTGCAACTTGTCTTCCTTTTCGTGGCATTCTTGCTACGTGCTTGAGCTTGACTCCTGCTATGAAGGCAAAATGGATCTTGCTGCCAACCTGCATCCTGCGAAGATTGCTTGACTCATGATCTATCGATCATGCGCTAGGGGGTCAAGTGCCTTGTGCCAGAGCAGTTGACGTATTAGATCGACGACACGGAGTCAGTCGACGATGATCGAAACGCTACACTATTCATTTACAAATCGAGTTTGAAATCAGGGTATGGCATAGCCATGCCGATGACACTATAAGATGTGACTTTTCACGTGAAGAAAAGCCGTCTAGTAGACGCAAGCGTCCACAAAGTCATTGCACGAAAAGTGTCATGGTACGGAGACTATCGATGCCTGTCATCTACGTTCGAGAAATCGGACAACATGAGTCCTTAGCCATGCTGACCGCTGAAGTTCTATCTGCTTCGTAAACCAGCACTATGCCGCATGTGACACAAAGCTGCTCGCTTGAGATGTCGATCGCGCGGAGGATGTCTCACACGTACTGGACCTATTTCACTCTAATCTGAACAATCTTTGTCTGAACATTTTTCGTTGTTGCATCGCTCAGAACTGCACAGCAAGCTTACGGCGTGTGTGTGTGTGTGTGACTATTTTAGTCTACCGTAGGAGGCCAGCTGAGGAGTAGTTGGATCGAATGAATCGTTCTCTTTGACTAATATTTGCGGAGAGTCCACGTGGCAATGCCTACCAGCTTTGCCACGTATATCTATGGTGTACCCAGCGAATTGACAGTGGCTTGTACACAGCATCAAAGACTGATGAACTGTGTGAGTCGATAATCAAAGGGCGTAAAAGTGCTTGCAGCAGGATTTCGTACATGATCAAGTGTAAGCTGACGCTAACAGTATCGACCATGCTCCATCCAGGATAGAGCAAGCTGAGACGATCGCCTTGGTTGCATGACGATGCTTCCTCGATGGCGTCGTTAATGAGTAAAGTTTGAGCTTTCTCCCTCTTCGCGGCGAGAAGCGGTTGCTGTACCGATTACAAACTATGATTGCAATATGGAGAAGGAACAATATGTGAGTAGCGTCATCTCTATAAGTGCTACCTTGCACGGCACAACACATCCATACTATCTCTCCTCCTCCATAAGTGCTTGCTTCGACCGCGATACCCTCACTGTATTGTTAAAAAGAAACGTTCTTGTCTCGAACACGCTGTTTTTGCGGCGTGCATTCGATTGTCATACATGGAGTCGATCACAATTGTAACAGCGTAACACATCTACTGACGTAAAGCATTGTCACCGAAGACGCATCCAATCCTTTTTGACAAACAGAGGCGGTCTTTACGATATGAGTACTTGCGTTGCGAAAGATGACGTGTTTGAACGTCAGCAAGAAGCTGCGTAGGAAATGCTATCTACTGGTTATGGCGCAAACATCGTTACACTGACAAACCAGATATCTAAGCATCGCTGTCTCGAAAGATATGCGCGTATACCCAAAAAAGCTGTGCTAAAAGAGGCTGACCGAGAAGCAATATGCTTTGCATCTCCGTGTAAAGTAGCAGGGTCATGAATGACATTATGTACTTGACAACAAATTAGTACCGTCATGTGGCCGTGGCTTGCTTGTGAAGCCATAGCCTGACGTAATTACTGTATGTATAACTTTAGTTTTACGAGCAAGCCACGGTCACGTGGATGTACACGTACTCTTAAAGACTGCGCACGTGGAGCAGCAAAACAAGACATTCGGCCAGTGAGTTCCGCGACCACGATAGTCAAGGTTTTGTTGAGGTAGACATTATCATCAAGTTGCGAATAGGTATCGTATAACATCATTGTTCTCTGCAAACCTTCTTTTTGCGATACCTAAATTTCTCCATATCAAAGGACGTGTGTATTCATCATTCTCGTTTAATACTCGCATTGTGAATTACGTACTTGTTGCGTTCTCGATGCGTAGATGGCAACTGTCTCTTCTTTTTATAATTTGCTCGAAGAAAACAGGAGAATTATTACATCATCTTGAGCAAATGTTCTAGTAGCGATTGACATCCTACTCGTCCGCATCTAACAATCTATTTGGAGTCCTCTCGTACGAGGCAACTAGCCGACGTCAGTAAAAGATCGCTGGTGGTACAACAGCTCAGACTCATGATTTATTGTCGATTTCATTCTTCTGCTGCTTACAAATGTCTCTTTTTGCATACATCCATTGCCGACACGACTATCGTACGACAACATCAACCGACAGCACCACAAGAGTGCAACGATATATAACAATATTGGTTATAGGATGTTATTCGATTGAACCATTGCAAGCGACGATCACGGCACTAGCGCTACTTGAGCTTGCATCAGTCGCTTATAGGATGATTGTGCACAACATGATCACGCATGTAGCCCATCTACTAGTCGACCAACGATTGTCTAGCCGACTATCATTGACACAGTTTTGTGTCATAGAATAGGCTGGAAGCAGTCAATGTAACGTCGCCCGTAGCTTCGTGTTGAGAAAAAATGAAGTGAGTCATTTCCACTTGCTGGACAACCAACAAACAGAAATGATGGCTTTATGTAGGAGCACATAGAATGTTGTTTCTCAGATCACTTTGCTGCGGTTGTACGCGCCGAGGTTGGCAAAAACAAATCGACTCCTGACACGCTAAGACCAGTGAGCGCCAATGTTTTGCTGCGGGTGATCGTCCAAAACACGTTTTCGCAGGTCGCCGCAATGTCCATCTCCCGTTCAAGTAAGTGTACATCTCTCGACACACGATGTAAATAGAAGGTCCAAAACTATCCCGGCAACATCGTGTCCAGCATATCGGATCCGAGTCCATGCGCAATAGAGTACGATATAATAGCGCTCTCCCATGTCATCGTGAGCCAATCAGCGCCCCTACTATATTCCTCGTCGCAGGATAGAGGGCACACCACTTCCCATGACGCTAACGCCCGTGCTGCTATTAGGGGCATGCGTCCGTGGCTTCCTCTACGCCGTGCCGTCTCTCCACGCGACGCTTTCGTTTCGACCGGAGTTAGTCACACCCACTTCTTCGTTCCACCGCATTCGAGAAGGCGTCTTCCTATACGTCTCGACCGGTTCGCCCTATGCGGGGGACGTGTTCCATCAACCGCCACTGGTGTTTGCGGTACTCTATCCGGTGCTACAACTCGTGCCCGTGGCGCTCCAATACGTTTTGCTATGCGCTCTATTTATTTCCGTGGACTTGCTGCTGGCCGTAGGGTTTGCCCGTCTGTGTACAAACACGTTAAAGCTGGAAGAAGGGCGCTCGTATAAAGTCCGCCAAGACGACATTTGGCTCAGTCACATACCTGTATCGCCTCTATTTCGACCGGATACTTTATCGAGAACTGTAGCATTGATTGCTCTCCTGAACCCCTATTCCCTGGCGTCGAGTGTAGCCATGTCGACCGTGTCGTTTACGCATGTGGCCGTCCTCTTCAGTTTGGTCTTTGCTTCCGAAGGTATTTTTTCGATGTACCACTTTGATGTTACACGATCTCTTCATGCTGTCATACTTATTGTTGTTTCTATGGTTTCTACTGTTAGGAGCTGTTGCAGCGTCAATGATGTGTGTGGCGATGGGCACGTATTTGTCCGTCTATCCCTTCTTCTTGATGCTACCCATTGTACTGCTATTGCACAGTGCTGGGGCTGGAAAGGTGGGCAAAAAATGACGTGCACTTGTGGAAAAGTATAGTGGTTGGCATGATAGCGGAGTGCAACGTTTATGCGCGTAGACTGCAGTCAGCCACGACAACGGGCCGTGGGTGACGCTCGCTTTGAAGTGCTTGGTGATATTCGGTGTCTGGATGGGTCTCTTGCTTTCGTTGTCGCATGAACTGCACGGAGACTGGGGATTTCTGGAGGTTTGAGCTGCTTTGCCGTGGCTTTCTGATGTCGATAGATGTTGTTGCTCATTGTTTGTTGCGTTGCTTGCCGTGCTGATCCAGGAAACATACGTGTGGGTCGCCAAGTACTCGGATTTGACTCCGAATGTCGGCATCTTCTGGTACCTCTTTATCGAGGTATTCGATCGCTTCGTCCCGTATTTTCTCTTTGTGATGCACCTGCATCCTGTCATCTACGTGGTCCCGATCTACCTCCGCTTGGCGTAAGTCTTCTGTGCTGCATGTTTGTGTCCTACGTTGAAACTTACTAACGCTTGTGACGTCCCAAGACATCGACCTCAAGCCTACGCATGCGTGCTATTTGGCATCTTCTCCCTCTTCCAGGCGTACCCTTCATTTGGTGACTTTGGCTTCTTCCTCTCATTGCTGGCCTTGCACCCGCAGACGATCATGAGTACGTATGGATTATCCCGATGTCACTGAGTGCGTGCGTCGACTAATTGTGGCGACGGCTTGCTCAGCGATCAAAAACAGGTTCGCCTACGTGATTGGCCTGGGCGCGGCGACATGCATGTTGCCCGTGATGTGGTTCTTGTGGCTCTATCCGGCCTCTGGCAACGCCAACTTTTTCTACAATCAGACGTTGGTGTACCAGATCTTCAATTCCCAAATCATCACGGCGTTTGTCGGTGCAACGATGAAGCGTGACAAGGATGTCGAGAAGTACCGAGCGCGTGTACTGAAAGAGCTTGCGGAACCCGAAGGAGATGAGACACGAAAGTAGACGCTGGCTGGTCTATTCGTTTCAGCGATCGACTTTCCAAGTAGACGCGCTTTGTGTCATGGTACGATTTTTGCAACGCCTTTCTTCACATCGCTCGTGCTCGCCGCGGCGTTCATGTCGGGCAGCATCGATGTGCAGAGGTGTAGAAAAGGTGAACAAGGCAAACAGCATGCAGTCAGTCATCGGTATTGTATGGGGATATTGTGCGACTCGGTATTGTTGAAGCATACATAACTTACTTCCCAGAGTTGTAATAAATGGTGTGGCAACATGTCTCGATTGAGCAATTGCCGTTCTGCATGACACGTCCATTTCCAGAGAGTGCTTTTACAAAAGCTACGTGTGGGGGAAGCACGTTCTGTATGGCATTGCCTGACAGAGTGTTGCATTAGCATATCAAAAATGCACTTCTAATACTATTCATACGTGAATGGTCATCAACCATCCGTGGTGGGGAAGTTGTGCCGATAGCTACTGCAAGCGTGTCGCTTTTGTAGCAAAACAGGCCATGTGATGTTGTAAAGGACTTCGTTGCCGCATGATTCAAATCAATGAAGAGGATGTCCGAAATCTATCATAGTCATGTCTGGTTGTCCTGGTGAATCTGCGCGGTCGTAAGACATATATATCCGATTATTTATGGGCGTTGCGGCCTAATTGTCTCTGCAAGTAAATTGTGGTAACTTATTGATAGCACAAACCTTCTTATGAAAGTGGGTCTCCATGAATCGTCGTATTGTCGATGACTGGTTGCAATTCTGTCACATCTGTTAAAACAAAGATCTAAGGTTCAAGCAATCTGACTGAAGACAAGGAGATATACTACTTGGCCCAAGTCTGAGTCTACTTTCTACGAGCGTTACGGTTATGTGACCTTGTCCTGAGGTACGTCATCTCGACAAAGTGTGTGATTGCAGAAGCTGATATACTGACCACCTTGCATGACAAAATCGCGTGCTACGGATGTCTACTGGGAAACAATAGTACCGGAGATAATCACGGGAAATGCAGACAAACGTGTTTACAATGTCTTGATCTGCTTGACTTTTACAGATTGGCACAGTGGAGATTACAAGAATTAATGGAAGCAAGTAAATGCTCCTGACTCTGTATGACTCGAGTGGAATTTCATAAGGGTTTGTTTGCCAAGCAAACACAGTGTAAATCAGCATAGAAGCCGTTCATCATTCATGTTGGCGACCGGTTTGTCAAGCGAATCAATAATGCGATCGTTATAGAGGAGCCAAGGAATTTGCAACAACCTTCATCAAGCAGATAATGCTGATAGATGAAGAGAGCAACAAGTTACTACACCGCACGCACATTCGACGTACGGTACGGAAAAGAGCGATATTTGCAGTATCGTCACGAATATCGCTGCGTGCTGCACTGTGCGCGTTTAGACCAGTCACAATGGAGAAAAGCTGCAATGACTAGTAAAGTGGCCTTCCCTTGCCTAGTAACCAGACGAAATCCCAATAGAGGTAATCTAGCTTGAAACTGATTGTGCAGTGCAGTCGACGTTTTTGCTGTCGAGCTTACGTTATGACGCCAGCTCAAAGGCACCACAAGTGGGATTTTGGATTTCGCCGGGTTTTAATCATGGGTGAAAGAGACACATGAAGGCTAATTGTATCGATGACATCAGAGAAGACGAGACTGTCACTACACGCGATACCAATTCTAACGATTCTATTTTTCGCAATGTATCTGACTAGCGACTCAAAGGGCAAGGTAGTTGGCGTTGTTATCTTGCTTACAGGTATGCATGTTCACGGCAGGTATAGTATCTACGATTTCGAGTACACTGGTAAACGGCCTAAATGTATCCGCATAACTGGATATATATTGTACAAAAGAATCGTTTCTTAGATATATGACGTCAAGAGTTCAGAAGGTGATGGCTGGGTACGATGCTTAATCCGCCGATGTACCGACACAAATGAGTGGTGGCAGGCGAGTGCTATAATGGTAAAACTTCTGACTCGTTCAAGCCAGCGGAGTTTAAGAATAATTTATAAGCGGATGCGTCAAAATACACTGACGCAGATGCTTATAAAGCCGATACCAATTCGACGCAATTTGGTGTGCATTTTTGTCTAGCCACACTTGAGAGTTTTTCAACGCGCGATTAAAGCCAAATGGGTGATCAACTCGACGCTGATGGAACGAACTTTAGGTACAAGGTTTCACTTGTCATCGAGAGTTTATCTCGGAAAATGACGTCGATTACCTGAAGAGGTATAATTTGGTCGTGAGACACGACACGCTTTGCGTGGTGAGCGCTTTGGCGCGCTACTCATAATGGACACTTGACCAACAGGACATGATTACTGTCTTTTTGTACGGTAATTCTAATAAGAATTCTATAACTTAAATCCAAGGGGGATATATGTTGAGTCAGAGTCTGACGATGCTCATTAACTTCTCAAGTCTTTTTACGATCTCAGGCAAGCGTATCGTGTGAGAAAAGATGCGTATGATGAATATAGGCGCTTCATTGGATTTTACGTATTGAGAATTGATGCTGCATGTATCTCTTTTGCTTGAAAGAGTACTGATGTTTCCTCCTAGTGTAAGTTGGCGATGTGATGATCACTGAAAGTTCTGTCTACACGATGCATCGAGTCAAGGGCAGGCTCAGAGAACAATAAGAGATGGCCGATAGTAAAGCGTGCAAGTTGCTTCTCGACATTTATATATTTGAATGAAAGGATGACGTTACTATTTTTATCGGCGCTAAGTCAAGGACATTTCTCAAATATTTGGAATTTAGGCTGCAGATCTGTCGACAGTCCGGTCGACATCAGCATCTAAAGATTAAATTTTATCTGCAGCCATGGCAATCAATAGCCTGGCGTGAAACTGTCGATGCAGTTATGTATAAGATGTGTACGACTCGACAAGACATCGCCTTTGCCATGAGATGGTCACTCGACATGTGGGTTTTCTAACCAATAGCACACTGTACTTCAGAATTATCATGTTGAACGGTTCTTTACACATATTTGGATATGTGCAAAGGTCCGTTTTCGACAAGTTTTGTTTTAAGCTAAAATACAACCTCGTCTTAAAGTGCCTATGGACGCGGACTGGGCTGGTGATATACAGACTGAAGCTCTGCATCAGTGTTTGTTGTAAATGTGCTGCATGATTGACCAGATGAGGCAGCGAGAAGCAGACAAGAGTGATAAGTCTTGCGATAAAAGAAGGCAAGTGGTGGTATATCACACTGTGCACGATGATAGTTGCCGCTTATATGTAAAAACTAATTCGTGTAAAGTATCTGCAATAAGTCATGTAATCAGATTACAAGATAATTGATGACCCCTTCAACCATGGTCTTGCTGATCGTATTTACTCTCACGATCACCAAATCGTGGTGAGAAAAGTTAAACAATGTCGAAGTAGGGTTCGCAGCAATCCGTCATGTAGGCCTTTTTATGTGATAAAAGTCCTGTTTAATCTAAAACAACAGATCCCAATTCGCGAAGTTGGCTTTCAAGTTGCTTATCTTGTGGGAGGGAATAAAATTTGGTAATAGTAGAGCAGATGCATGACTTTGTTTAAAAAGCGCTGAAGACGAACCAGATGTCGAAGGCAAAATCATAATCTCATGTATATGACAAAAGGTTTAGTACACTATCAAGTCAAGATTTATAAAGATAATTTGGAATTAGTAAAGGCTCTGTCTTGGACAAAATTTTGCTTGAAAGCGAAAGATTTAATACGTATTCCCGTTGTATCTTCTACTCGATTATTAATTATATTTATCGATCAATTTTTCTTACTTATTCCTGTATCGTATGTTTTCAAACAATTGTTCAATCCTCAGTCAGCACTTCATTAATGTCTATCATAAGTATATGGACTGGTGCTTTCAAAATATTAGAACCCAAAGACCTGACTATGCTGTTCTCCGGCACTGATCGCGTGACTATCGAGCTCTTTTTGCTGAACCTTCTCGATTGAGCAACAACGACGTTTGTGCAAAACACATCCTTATACATACAATCTCTTAAAACAGTTATATACATTCAACTAAATTGTTGGTATGCATATGCACTAAAAAGATTACATTTGACGATAATGATGCACCAAATAAGTGCTACATATTTTTCTAGCATAACGGACTTGCTGAACGACTACCGTTTTTATTACCATTCTAGCACAAAAGATGCATTGTTACCAGTACAGTCTGTGTGATAGTAGTTCGCAACGATTTTTACAGCTTTATGCGAGCGTAAATAACCATTAACGAAAATTCGATGGGAAATGTACGTCTTCAGACGCATCGTGCAACGTCAAAATTTTGCTGGAATGCATGCAGAAATTCATGCCTCGAGAATAGGTTTTTGGCTCAATAGGATCCAATCAACTTTTATGCGGTATCCAGTGCTGGGTGTAGGTATAGTATGCATATAATGATAAACTATGTAATAGTTCGAATCCAGACACGTAAACCTTCGGCCTTTTTTTATATATTGTGTCTCACCAGACGCAGGCATCGCATGTTACCAATTGTGACTAACTAAATGTCTAGTTTCCTTCTTTGCTCAAGATAATATAATAATGCAATCTAATATTGCAATATATATATATATATATAAAAGCGAAGGCCATGTATGTTTTAAGCCATGTATTTGTGAGAAGTTAAAGATTAAAATCGTTGCTACTACTCATCGTCGAACGACGGGAATTCTGTCCCCTACCGTTGACATGTCAAACTATATCTTGAAGAAGGAATGTACTGATACTGTGGTGCATCTAACTCACAAAGTTCGGATACGAACATTTGATGGTGATTGACACCCACAAAACATGTTTATTTGCGGTTCCGTATCGTGACTAGACGTTAAATGATCCTATTGTAAGGAAGAAGCTTCCTTTATATACCAAAGGCACAAAATGCAATAGTTGATATGTACGAAGGTCCTACTGTGCATATTAAATAACTTATAGCCTTAACGCGATGTATATCATTTAAGATATTTCTGATA